AAAATTAGATTCTTAAAAAAAATTTCAAAATCTTCGAATTAAACGCTCTCAAAATATGTGTAATTCTATTATTTTTACTCGTGAAGTCTAAAATTTTACTATCAATGGATGATATAATTTTTCTTTCTCAAATTTGATAAATTTCTAATCTATGTCAAATTTAATAGTGATAACAACAATGAATCTTGATATTTTCTTATAATAAATTAGAAAACTTGAGTTCTTTTTTTTTTTTTTTTAAGAAATTGTTTCATTCATTCATTAATAATAATAACTTCATTTTCTACAAGTGATTGTCATAAAACAGGACATTCTTCTATCCTGAACTTTCCTTCATTGGGCAGCTGTATTTCCTTCTCGTCTGATATGCTGCACCGTTCACTCATGAAACTCAATAGCTCTAACCCCTCGCTTCTTCTATCAAATTCCTTATAGGAGACAGATCCTGGTTCCAGTTGTTCATTCTTGTAATTACTGTCAGTGAGTCACCTTCTAAAATGATATCATGGAGCCCTATATCCTTTGCAAATTCCAGCACCCTTACAGCCCGCATAAGCTTTAGCAATGAAAGCGCTTGTCACCCCAGACAATTTGTCACAATAAGCTCCCAAGACTTTGCCTTCATAATCTTTGATCAGTACCCCTATACCTCCTTGTTTCTTCGTTCTGTCAACTGCCCCATCAAAATTGATTTTTGATAAGTGTCTGTCTGGTGGTTTCTATCAGCTCTCCTGTGCTTCAACGGCATTAACATCTTGCTGTCGAGCCCTGTGAAGCTCTCCCATATAGCTTCTCACAAGTGCAGCAGATACCAATGGGTCTCTTCTTTGTTCTCCGTGATATTCATTGTTCCTATCATTCCAGATTATCCACGTACCAACTAGAAGCATTTGCATCTGTTCTGCTGTGATATTCTCCATAGCCCTTGTGCACCAATGTAAAGGCTCATCCTGTTGGTCATCTTCTCTCTCCCACTGGACATTGAGATTTTTCCGTACCTTTGTTGCCCAACATTTTTTTTTGTCTGGTACCTTTAATATTTAATAATTATTTTAGATTTTTATTAATTTAAAATCGAATTAGTTAGATCATGTAAAAAATAAATTTTTTAAATAAATTTTTTTATTCATAAAATTCAAAATCAAGATTTTACTTAAAAAAAAATCAAATTGTTTAATATTTTACCCAACATTTATATGACACTACCTTCGGCTCACTACAATTAGTTTATGAAAGAAAAATCATCAAGAATAATTATAATAAAAAACAAATTAAAATAATAGATTATCTTATTATATACTAATTGTGAAAATATGTAATTTCATGATTAGAATTGAAGGATTAACGTTTACCCTTTTAATAATTATATAATTAATATTTTAAAAAATACATTTTAATGAACACAAATCAATTTTTAAAAACTCAATTATTAAGTTAAAATATTTCACTACACGTATATAGGGTAATAATAGTTAAAATAAAATGTTAAAAAATAAAAATATTTTTTATATGGGTAGGGTAGTAATGTCATTTTAAAACTTTACTTTTTAAAAGGAAATTATAAAATATAAAAATATTTTTAAATTTGGAAGGGTAATGATTAAAAATAGTGAAGGAATCAGCATTTTGCTACCGACGGGCGCGAAAGATGCCGCTTTAGATTGGCCAGGTCAGCCCTAGGTTTTATTCTCACGCGCTGTTTTGGCATGTGCAAGTGGGTAGGTGGACTTTGAAAATGAAGGATGGCACGTGACGGCACGTGCGACAGGTTCACTCGTGTTTGCCTTGGACATTCCCCTAAAGTGAGGTAGTTTGCATGTGAGCCGGCATGTGCCTTGGTAATGACGTGGACCACCATATGTGACTTTCTCGTTTTTCTAAGAGCATATTTGAAATTTTCAAATTCGATTAGACACGAAAAAAAAATAGTATATGATATCAAATTTTAATAAAATTATATAAATTTAATAAAAATAAAAAATATTTTTTATTTAATATATAAATATAAATCATAATATAATATTTTTTTATATTTTATCTGCATCTAACCTAAATTAGATATAGTATAAATATAAAAATTATTACATCACGGAACAAAACTGAATTAAGACAAAATGTTTGAAGGTAAGTAATGTGTAGATTCACCCTTGATTTCAAAGAATCCTCATGGACAAGATTTCAAGAATTTAAGATTTACAAATTTGATTCTAAGAGTCAAAAGCTGATTATAAATTTTAATTTAATTGATTTATATAATTATTTTTAAAAAATATTATTTAATAAATATAAGATTTAAATTTTTGTATCTGTATTTTTTATTTATTTTTAAATTACGATTTATTTTATATCTAGAAAAGCAGGAGATGAAGGTTAAAACCTTTTAACGTTTGGGTATGTTGATTTTTTTTTTTTTGCAATCACATTTTTTTGAACCATTTAGGTATATTACTTGGTTAACTAACAATTTTCTTGTGATTAAAGAAAAATTTTTATTTAATGACAATTTTACAAAAAACCAAAATTTACTTCAATGCATAATATATTATTTAAATTAATGAATTTATTTTACAAGTTTTATAATTTTAGAAATATTAAGAAATATGTTCTAAAAAATAGATATTACGATGGAATGAAAATGACAAATATAGAATATCTTACTTTTAGTATTAAGAAGTAATTTTTATAGTACAAATGAAGTTTTGGTTTAGCGCGAGGAGGAGATTTTAGAATATTAAAATCTTATATTCGAGTTTAATTATATATAGATTTGATTGTTTAATTAAATTATAACTTATTAATTAATTATATGAACGTAATACTTGATTATGAATATAACTTTAAAACAAAGTTTCATAGTATTTTAAGAGTTTAAATGTGATATGCAATTTAGTAATTTACCCTATATGATAAATTTCTCAAGTTTAAGGTTGATAAAACTTCCCCAAAATTTGCAAAACTTTGTTTATCATATTCATCATGAAGTGTTTAATTCTTGAGTAAAACTAAAGTGATTTGCCTTTACAGGTAGAAAAAAATATTACATCGAAAGAAAATGAGAAATGTAGAATCTCTTAGTATTAAGAAGTAACTTTTATAGTGTCAATAAGATTTGGGTTTAGTGATAAGGAAAATGTCTTAAAATCTCGAAGTTTTATATTCACATATTATTGTATGTAGATTTATTATTAATTATTATTTATTATTTCATTATTTATTGGCATAATAGTTGATCATTCAATTGATTATATGAATATAGTATTTGATTATAAATACAACTTTAAAAAAAATAATTTCATAATATTTTAAGAGTTTAAGTGTGACGTGGCATTTACTATATATGGTAAATTTCTCATGCCTAAGGTTGATAAAACTTCCCTAAATTTTACAAAATTTTGTTTATTATATTCATCAAGTGTTTTAATTCTTGAGTAAAACTTAAGTGATTTGACCTTAAAGGGAGACAAAAATGGTATTTTTTTTATCAAAAGCTATGCAAAATCATAGTGAATAATAGCCTTTTTGGCTCTATGGTCCCTCGTGTCATGGTTGAGTTTTATCCCACATTAACCTAGTTTCCCTACTCCATACACCATCTAATATTGTATGCTTAATGTTTTTCCTAAGCAATTGAATTATGGAAAAGAAAATTTTTTCATAAAAATATTAAAAAATTACCTAATAAAAAATAAAATAAAAACATAAAAATTATTTACAGCATATGAAATAATTAAAAAACCCTTTAATCTTTGTATGTAAGTGATCTATACTACGGGAAAAAAAAATCTAAATATTGCAAAAATATAAGGTATTTTGTTTTTAGGAATATCTCAAAACTTAATAATTTGAAATTTGGATTCAAAGGTTTTGAGTTTAAATTCTTAATTAAAAATGATGAATTTATGCCACGAAAGATAATTATTATTTATCTTGTCAATTTCTTAAGTAATTTGAAATAATAAATTTCTAAATTGTGATGCAAGATTTTCTCAAAATGTTTTTAGATTATGAGAATTAATTTGTTATAATAATTTTAATGGAATTTTTTAAAATAAAGAATGTTGCACTTTAAAAATAAAAAAATACAAATTTAATATTTAATTTTCATATTTATTAATCGTTACAACTCAAAAGTAATTTATACGAATGCTTTAGATAAATTTGGAGTTTTATTAAATTTTTTGGTAAATTCTTATGATTTTTAAGACAGGGCGCCTAACAACAAATGGTCCCAAATTGATGTATGCCATTCAATCTCGAATTGATAACGTTGGCTGTCCGATATTATGCTTTCTCCTTTGATCACGGGAGGCAAAAAAAAAAATTACGCTTTCTCTATGACAATTTTTTTTTTTTACCTCATTCCTGCAATTCGAGTGAAAAAAAGTTTTATGAAAGTAAAATGAGGTTTGAATTCTATTTTTGGACAAGAGAATATATATATATATTAATTTATATTTCATGAATTATCAATATATAAATATTAGTGACTCAAGTAATAATATTTTACAAAAAATTAATTTAAAAAATCTAAAAAGTAAATATATTTAATCTTATAAAAGATTTTTTGAAATTTATTTTTATAAAATATAATTATGTATTAAAATAAAATTTTAAAATATTATTAAATAATTTTTACTTATTCTATAAATTTATTAATTTTAAATATATTTTAATATGATCAGTAATAACACTATGCTCTATTTATTAGATAATTTTTTAAAAAGCAAGACTCAAAAATTAAAAAAAGCATTGAAGCAAATGACACGTACGTGTTGTCATTCTAAAAATCCTGCGAGGGCAAATCAGTCAGAAGAAAAAAGAATTGAGAGTGAAAAACTGAACCCCTTTGGTCTACGTAATTTCCAGATAAATCCAAGGGCAATTTCGGAGCAATAAATGAGGGCGCAAAGGGTGGGTCCATTTCCAAAAGATAGAAAAAGATGACAATTACAAAAAATAAAAAGTTTTAATTTATTTTTGTAAAAAATAAAAACAAATCCAATAAAGTTTTCTAATATTTAATTTAAATTATTATTTTTTATTTTAGCGGACATGAAAGTTGATTGAAATTTGGTTTAATATCGTCGTTGATATCCGGATGCCTATCTCTCTCTTCACTTTCTCTCTCAAGGCTTTCTTTGTCCGTAATCGGCTTCACGTTATCACTCCCACAGATTTTCTTTCCAAACAAACATTGGACAGAGAAACCCCAAGAAATCCGAGAAAATCCAAGAAAATTCATTGTTCCACTTTTTCTCTTCAATTCTCCCGATTGAGACGGAGAAAAATTCTTCAGAAGCTGGACAACACCATCGTTTCAACGCAGTAGGATCCGGTTCCGGTTCGGTAAGTTTCTGTTACAAAGCGCCATAGATATATCCTCGATGGTGCCGTTTTGATTTTGGAAGTGAGAAACCATAGTAAGAACCAGTGGTGTTCCTTTTTTTTTTTTTGTTGGGCAAGAAGGGCTAGGCTTTTTAGGGTTTGGTAATTTGGGAAATAGAAGAAAAACGGCGGTGTTTTGTTGGGGTTAGTTCTGCCAAATGCGATTTGATGCCTCCAGAACCGTTGCCTTGGGATCGGAAGGATTTTTACAAGGAGAGGAGGCACGAGAGGACGGAGTCGCAGCCTCAGCAGCCGTTGACGGCTCGATGGAGAAACTCGTTGTCTATGTCGTCATATCAGCATGGGTCCTTTAGAGAATTTGCTCGCTGGGGATCCGCTGACTTCCGTCGTCCTCCTGGTATGTTCTTTCGTTCCTTTTACTCCCTTTGTTTCACCGCAGTCTCTTATTTTAATCCTTATTATTTGAAGGTTAGGATTGTTTCCGCTTGAGTTTTGCGGGATGGTTTCATTTATTTATTTCTGCGTAGGGATTAAGGGCTGGTTAGATCCGTGGGGTTTTTAAGTTTTGATTTAATTTCTTTTGGGAATAAAATTTATTTCTTCTTTTCTTTTGGTTCATTTAAGAGTATATATCTTCATTCTAGTTAATTGGGAATTTTCTTTTTTCTTTTTCAAGTTATTTTTTTGTCTTGTTTTGCTATATTTAAGAAATCAACGTTCTTTTGTTTCTGCTTAGTGTTTTTCTTTTCTTTTCTTTAGGGATAGGAATATTGATTTTTCATTTTTATTGGGTTTATGGAAGAACATATACTTTGCTTTGATAAATGGGAAATTTTAATTTTTTATATTCTCCTATTTTTCCTTTTTGAAGGAATGAATTTTTTAGATTTTCTGTTACTATTTTCTTTTTTGATCTTTGGAGGTAAAGAATATTGATTTTCTTTTTGTTTGACTCATTTAAGAACATGTACCTATATTTATTTAATGGAGAATTTTAATCTTTTTTTCTAGGAAAATATTCTTGTCTATGGGTTTTTATTCTTGAGGAGAAAATTTAAGAGATTGATTGAATTTCCTTTTTTTTTCCGGGATTTGGAAGAATACATATACCTTGCATTTGTTAATTTTTTGTGATTTTTCCTTTGTTGTTTAAATATTTTATGAAGGTCATGGTAAGCAGGGCAGTTGGCACCTGTTTGCTGAAGAAAATGGTGGTCAAGGATATGTGCCATCATGGTCAGGTGACAAGATCTTGGATGATGAGAACTTCAGTCAGTCAGTTTTTCGTGGAGATGGGAAATATAGTCGAAACAGCAGTAGGGAAAACAACAGAGGGTCTTGTAGCCAGAGAGATTGGAGAGGTCATTCTTGGGAAATCAGCAATGGATCCCTAAGCGCCCCTGAGAGGCCTCCTGATGTGAATAATGAAAAAAAGCTAGTGGATGATATGCTAACATACCCTTCTCGTACTAATTCTGACTTTGTAAATGCATCAGATCTACTTCAAAAAGACCTGCATGACAATAAGAAAGGTGGTGTCAATGGGTTAGGCACAGGACAAAGATGTGAGAGAGAAATTTCAATAGGCTCAATGGATTGGAAGCCTCTCAAGTGGAGCCGCTCTGGAAGCTTGTCTTCACGTGGTTCGGGCTTTAGCCATTCAAGTAGCTCAAAGAGCTTTGGAGGTGTAGATTCTGGCGAAGGGAAGCCAGAGTTACAACAGAAAATTTTGACCCCTGTTCAGTCCCCTTCTGGGAATGCAGCAGCCTGTGTCACCTCTGCTGTACCTCCTGATGAGATAAAGTCAAGAAAGAAGCGACGCCTTGGATGGGGTGAGGGTCTGGCTAAATATGAGAAAAAGAAAGTTGAAGGCCCTGATACAAGCATGAACAGAGATGCAGCTACAATTTCTGTTGGTAATATGGAACCTAACAATTCTCTGAGTTCTAACTTGGCAGATAAGAGCCCTATCCTTGGATTTTTTGATTGTGCTTCTCCTGCAACTCCCTCGTCTGTTGCTTGTAGTTCCTCACCAGGTAGATCTTAGAATTTTCTTATAAATTTATTCAGTGTTATTCAGACTTATCTAAAGCAGGTATAATATCATTCACAATAATATTGAAGGCCTGCCTGGTGAACTCGATCATTGTATAGAAGCGGTCTTGGAATTATAGAACCTATGTGCTTTTTCTTACTATTCTCTTTATATACCTGCAATAGTTTGACAGTCTTGTGACTTGTATTATCAGCATGACCCCTTGTTTGCTTATATGTTCCTGACTCTATGCTTCTCCCTCCTTCCTCACCTTAATATCTTTAATTTTGTAGGATTGTTGATGTGTAATATCATTCACAATTATTTTAGAAAACCCAAATGGCCAATAAAATTGTTTTTTAGAACTAGGGTTGGTATTCTACATTCTATATACTCTTTTCTATTATGGTCTTTAACTGGCTTTAGTTTGACTGTTATGTGACTCTTGTCATTACCGTGACCATTTGCTGGTTTCTCATGCGTTGAGAACCGCTAGTTGAGCACATATACATTCTTGTCTCTTCACTTCCCCGTCAAAACAACCTCTATTTCATTACTGTATTTATAGGGTGATAGCTCTTTCCTTTTGGCAGTTCCTAAGTTCCATTTCTCGATGTAGAGCCTATCTATGTAGAATTCTAGGGCCTTATTTTGAAGGAGGAAAAAGTCAAATATCTGGCAAGATTAGTTATTCCCAATTGAGAATCTGAATTCACTATGTTGTAACCATGTATTAGAAGAAACTTTGTTTTCTGCACATTTGGGACTGCTTTATTGTTGACTGGCTTATTCTAGAGCTGTTTTGTTCCACGTTAGAATTTTTTTTAATGTCTTTTTTAATCAGAAAATGTCTAATTGCTGGATGTTAAATGATACCCTTTCTCCCTTTATCTGCTTTCTTGCTTATTGATTGTGTTGAGTGTGCTTTTCTCATTCATGACCAAGATGTTCCTGGTTGTTGCAGGTGTGGAAGAGAAATCATTTGGCAAGGCTGCAGATATTGATAATGATATTAGTAATTTATGTGGTTCTCCGAGTCTTGGGTCTCAAAATCATCTGGAAGTTTCCTCTTTTAATTTAGAGAAATTGGATATCAACTCAATTATTAATATGGGCTCTTCACTTATTGATTTGTTTCAATCTGATGATCCTACTACAGTGGATTCGAGTTTTGTTCACTCTACTGCAATAAGTAAGTTGCTGCTATGGAAAGGTGATGTTTTGAAGGCATTGGAGATGACTGAATCTGAAATTGATTCACTTGAAAATGAACTTAAGTTGTTGAAAGGTGACTCTGGAAGCAGATGTCCATGCCCAGCAATTTCCAGTTCTCTTCCTGTTGAGGAAAATGGAAAAGCCTGTGAGGAACAGGAGGCTGTATCCAGTATGATCCCTCAACCTGCCCTCTTGAAAATTGATACATGTGGTGATGCTCTTGAGAAGCTGCCTGTTTGTAATGGGTTACTGGTTGAAGTTAATGCTGATGTAAAAGATGGGGATTTTGATAGTCCTGGAACGGTTTCATCTAAATTTGGGGAACCATTGACGTTGGAGAAAGCAGTTTCTCCATCTGATTTTGTGAAGTTTGATGAATGTTCTGGTAATTTGGGTGCTGTTCAATTGACAACAATGGAGGTGATTTTATCTACTGGTTCAAGTAACGATGGGACCGTTGCACCCATTTCTGGGGAAGGCAGTGTGCTGAAGGAGATTGATAATGACGCGCATGTTCCAGAATCTTCCAACTCTGATTCTGGTGGAGAGAATTTAATATACGATATAATATTGGCCGCTAACAAGGAATTGGCTAATGGAGCTTCCAAAGTATTTGATAACCTATTGCCAAAAGATCAGTGTAGCATTGAGATTTCTGAAATTGCCAATGTTGCATGCTGGCAGACTGATTCTTCTATCAGGGAAAAAATTGCAATGCGAAAAAGGTACTTAAGATTTAAAGAAAGAGTTTTGACACTTAAGTTTAAAGCATTTCATCACATGTGGAAGGAAGATATGCGTTTGCTTTCAATGAGAAAATACCGTGCAAAGTCTCAGAAGAAGTATGAATTGAGTTTACGTCCAGCACATGTCGGCTACCAGAAGCATCGGTCTTCCATTAGTTCTCGAGTTGCTTCTCCTGGTAATTTATTTGAGCCTCCTGCTTTAGAATAGTTTCTAAGTGTTGCCAGTTCTGTTGTGATTTTGAATTTGGTTGAATGACCTTACTTTAATCTAAGTATGTTACACTTCATTTGTTTCCTCTTTCCTTTTATCTTTTGATCATTTGTCAAGTTGAATTCAATTAAGGTAAAATGTTGAGGATTAATTTTTATTAAATTAATCTGTGGGTTTAATAATTTACATCTTTTTCAATTTCTAATGGAAATGAAGTTATTATAGATGTGTTGAATTTTGTATGGAAGAAGGAAGAAGACTATAAGCTAGGTTATTTTAATCATATAGACAAGTGGATAATCTAGGTTCAGTTCTCTCAAGCCAAGAAAATAGATGTTGAAGAACATTATGGTAGATCAACGCAATTCAAGAGATGAATTGAGGTCAGTTGATTTTGAATCAAATAGTAATCAGTAAGATCAATGTGAAAAAGACTTCTATAATCATTATTTGACAAGGAATTGTATAGATTAACATGGTGGATGCTAGGGTCCTTGCAAAGAGATGATTGTTCTAGCTGAACCTTTTCTTTGTTCATGGGTGGAAGATGCAGCTTTTGACACTTTAGGTAGTTCAGTTTCTATCTTAGTTACAAGGTGTTTTGATATACATTTTTGTTAATGGCCAGTCAATCATGGTATTAGAGATTCTGTTTTTCTGTTAGTGGATATTTGGTAATAATGGAATACATCGAAGGTAACAGTATGCTGCCCTTCGGTTGGTGAACGTCATTGCATTTATTGTGAAAGTCTAATTATTATTCCTTGGAAATTTGTTATTTTGGTGTTAGATAGTGGCTTGAAGTTACTAAAACTTATCTGCCACATTCCCCTCTAGAGCTGATATTTGGTAAATGGTAGTTGGGTGCCATCTCCCTCAATGCCTCATGCATTATATATGAGATGGTAGTACAGATTGCTTGCTTGCAAGACTTTCAGTGGAGAATTTGCTGTTGGATCCTACTAGGGTGGATATGATCATTGTATTTGATTTGGCAGAATTGTATGATGCTGTAAATGTTGGATTGTCAAATTAGATATCTATGATGTAAATTCTAAATGGTCTCCAAGAGATATTGTGTTGTATGAAATTGCACAAAATTTGGGATTGCATGTTTTACTGATTGAACTGGGATTTGATTGAGGGCTTTAATTTTCCTCGTGAAAATTGGTAAAACACATGGAAGTATGTTATTCTCCTATGTTAGTTTTGTCACTTAAATTCTTTCATCCGTGCAAATTGTTATTCCTAATGAGTGCAACTGTTATAGTATTTTTTTTTTTTGTTTATTCCAAGTGAATGTAATAAGTGGGTCACATTTGATTTGGATTTGCCTTTAATTAGTGCTGCTGATATGTGCTCCACTAATCAATTATATTTTCTGTTTTCTTTAAGTTTCTGTTTGTTTTTCTTTTCTAGAAGATTTTTTTTTTAAATAGAAGATTGTTTATTTGAGGGACTTAGCATTTATCAGTAGCGATGCATATAATTACTTTTTGGGTTGTTTTTGCAGCAGGAAATCTGATCCTGGAACCTAGCTCTGAGATAATTAATTTTGGTAGCAAACTGCGTCTAGATTCCCAAGTCAGGCTTTACAGGCATGCTTTGAAGATGCCAGCATTATTTTTGGATGAGAAAGAGAAGAAGGTTTCAAGGTTTATCTCTAGTAACGGGTTGGTTGAAGATCCATGTGCCATTGAGAAGGAAAGAGCTTTGATCAACCCTTGGACATCAGAAGAGAAGGAAATTTTTATGGATAAGTTGGCTGCCTTTGGAAAGGACTTCAGAAAAATTGCCTCGTTTCTTGATCAGAAGATGACTGCAGATTGTGTCGAGTTCTATTACAAAAACCACAAGTCTGAATGTTTTGAGAAAACAAAAAAGAAGCTTGATCTGAGTAAGCAGGGGAAGTCTTCTGCGAATACCTACTTATTGACATCAGGGAAAAAGTGGAGCCGCGAACTGAATGCTGCATCCCTTGATGTTCTGGGTGCAGCTTCAATTATAACAGCTCATGCAGAAAGTGGCGTGCGAAATCGGCAGATGTCTTCTGGTAGGATCTTTTTGGGAGGGCGATTTTATTCTAAAACATGTCGAGTTGATGATAGCATTGCTGAAAGGTCAAGAAGTTTTGATATTATTGGGAATGATCGAGAAACTGTGGCAGCTGATGTTTTAGCAGGTATATGTGGTTCTTTGTCTTCAGAGGCAATGAGTTCATGTATCACTAGTTCTGCCGACCCTGGGGAGAGTTACCACCGTGAGTGGAAGTGCCACAGAGTTGATTCTGTGGTTAAAAGGCCTTCAACATCTGGTGTCACTCAGAATGTTGATGATGATAGTTGTTCAGATGAGAGTTGTGGGGAAATGGATCCCACCGATTGGACAGATGAGGAAAAATCTGTCTTTATACAGGCTGTCTCATCTTATGGTAAGGATTTTGCAAAGATCTCACAGTATGTTGGAACCAGATCCAGGAATCAATGCAAGGTTTTCTTTAGCAAGGCTCGCAAATGCCTTGGACTGGACTTGATACATCCAAGAACCCGAAACATGGGAACTCCCACAAGTGATGATGCCAATGGTGGTGAGAGTGATATGGAAGATGGTTGTGTCCTGGATATCTCTGTTGTTTACAGTGATAAGTTGGGGTCTAAAGTGGAGGACTTACCTTCCATACCTTCCACTATTGTGAACATGAATCTGGATGAACCCAATCCCATAGGGGAAATGAGTTTGCAAACTAACCTGAACATATCAGAGGAAAACAATGGTAGGCTAGTAGATCATAAAGATTCTGAGGCAGTGGAAGCTATGGCTTCTGATGTGGGGCAGACTGAACCAATTTCTGAAGGTGGTGGTGATGATATGGATGTTGATAGCAACAAGGCTGAGTCAGTGCAGGATCAGAAAAGTGTTGTGTTGGCAAATCTAAATGCTGTAAGAAATGCTGAACAGGGTCTTTCTGTTGCAGTATCAGCATCTGTTGAGGAGGCAGTTGATCGATGCCTTCCTAGTTTAGATGCTGTGGTTGAATGCAAATCTGATGCTGTTTGGTCTACTGAGGGGTTTGGAAATGATTTGGAGGCACAGGAAACTTCATTGTCCAAAAATGGTTTGGATGAACGTGATACAAAATGCAGTGCAGGGACTAGCTGTCAAATTATCTCTAGGCTAGATTCAAATAAAATCATTAGTGAGTCCGTTAATAAAAATTCTTGTTCAGATTTTACCTTCAACACTAAAGGCCCACATCAGGCTCCTCTTGACTTGGATTCTGCTGAAATGCCTTCAGTCGTATTATTGCCAAATGGAAACACTTCTGCTAAAAATTCTGCATTGCATGGTTCTGATGCCTTTCAATGTGAGAGGATATGCAATCAAGATAGGTTGTCATCAACACTTGATTATCAGGAGAATGAAGACAAACAGGCTTACAAATCTTTTAGCGGAGATGAGTCTGATTGTTTATCTGGAAAACCCTTAGTGGATCTTGCTGAATCGTACCATATTTTAAGGGGTTATCAAATGAATGGTGATGTCAGTTGTAGTCAGCTTCCTGAAGTTAAAAGCCTTTCAACTTCAAAAAGGGGTGTTACTGGTCCGTATTTGGCTCAAGATTGTTATCTTCAGAAGTGCAATGGTTCAAAATCAGCAGCTGAGCTTCCACTCCTGGTTCCAAACTTGAAACAAGCAAATGGTTGTCCAAAATCCCATTCTCGGAGTCTGTCAGATACAGAAAAACCTTGCAGGAATGGTAATGTCAAGCTGTTTGGTCAGATACTCAATACTAGTTCCCAAGGTGATGAGAAGGTAGCCTATTTCCCTAAACAAAGCTCGAAATCTTCAAGTTTGAAGTTCACAGGTCATAATAATGTTGATGGGAAAACGTCTTTCTCAAAGTTTGACCGAAATAATTATCATGCGCTGGAAAATGTTCCCCAAATGAGTTATGGTTTCTGGGATGGAAACAGGATACAAACTGGGTTGTCATCTTTACCTTCCTCTGCTATTTTAGTGGCGAAGTATCCCGCTGCATTAGTTAATTATCCTGCATCCTCACCACAAAATGGAGCAGCAGGCATTGCAGATTTATGTCAGGAGTAGTGAGCGAGACTTGGAATGGTGTTTCAGTTTTCCCTTCAAGGGAAATAAGCAGCAACCGCAGCATGGTGGATTATAAAGTGTACAGGGACCGTGATTGGATCAAGGTGGCGCCATTTACTTTGGATGTGAATGATCTTCGAGATGCAATGACAAAATGGGTTTGATGGAATTCCCCAAAATGACAGCAGCAGCGAAGGGGAATGGTTGGAATAAATGTTGTGAGCGAGAGGAGATCCTGTAGACAAAACGTAGTATGGTGGGCAGAGTGGGGAGCATCAACAGCAGGGAAGAAGAGCCATGTTGAGTTAAGGGGGGCATAGGCAGGTAATTGAAAGCGACTCACCAGCGGCAAATATTTATTTGCTGCGCAATGTATATTTGTTTTTTTTTTTTTTTTGTAGTATTTGTTTTTAAATGAAATGATGATAGGGGTGGGGGCAGTCATTTTGGTAAAATATTTTTAGGTGCTTTGTAATATTCCAGCAGCAGCCTTGTATTTGTTGTATTTGATGGAAAATACAGAAAATCTGTGAAAGTTTAGGAGGGGGCAATTTCAAGCATATTCCTCCTCCTTCCCATCTCTCTCATATGGTCTTTGTAATGGGCCTGTGGGTCCATCCCAAATTTGACAAGTGCATAATGCTCATTTTGTTAATTTCGTTGGTCTTGTTCGTCCTTGCCAAATCGGATGGCGCAACGACATCGTTGTAAAATAATACGTCGGTCGTTGAGTTGGGGCCTAGGTAACCCAAAAATCAGAGACTGAGTTGGCGAATTGTTTGATGTTCTTGTCTTGTTTTGAAAGGTTCTCTCGGATTTTGTTCTGCTTCTTTCTTCAAGGTTTGGGAACATGTTTGCTTAATTGGGGTCTCAGATGGGCCGGTAAAGAAGTTAATTTAGGTTCGAGCAGGTAAATATTTTTATTTTGTCCTTGGTTTTTTATTTATTTTAAAAAATAACTTTGACAAAAAAAAAATTTGCCAAACGATTTTCATAATGTTTCATAAATTTGAGAATTTATAGATTTTTGAAAAAATTATAATATTCAATAAAATATTATAATTTCATCATTTTATTAATTATATCTAAATTAACAAAATTAAAAGTATAATGATAATTAAATATTGACCCATAATATGATGACACATTAGATCTTAATCGCTTTTAAATTAACATTATTATTATTATGAAGCTAATAAGTTTAAGTTAATAGATAGTTAAAAGAGTATCTTAAAAATATAAATAAAAACAAAATTTGTTGAATCTTTGGTGTATTATATAATAATCCATGTAAAAAACAGATGAATCTCAAAGAAAAAGCAATTGAAAATTTAACAATGAAAGTGTCAACAAAAATGCAAAGACCTTGGCCGCCAGCAGCCAGCCTTAGTGAAATCTACATCCATGGGAGGTTAACACTTGTCTCTGTTTACCAAGTCAATACTTTGAAACGCACGGTTTCAGCCAGCAAAACATGCTTGAACAGTTCCATTTAGTTATCAAAAGAAAAAGGAAAAGAAGAAGGAAATTTCTCTTTCTGCATATTTTATTCTCTCCATGATTTTTTTTGCCGAAACATGACTGGTACAAGAAAGGAACACAACAAAACATAGAACAACTGGGAACTTTAGTTTAAAACACAACGAATTACTGTATGCAGAAATGGCAGTCGCTTAACTTACAATAAGGAGATTAGAATTAGCAAAACACGTCTGTCGATGAAGAAGGCCTTGCCACCTGAAGAGAAACTGGATCCCATTCAACATCTTTACCGCAATAGCCATTTTTAACAGCAATAACTTCCAACTGATTTGCATCACCAACAGAAACAGAGGATTCCTTGATGTCTAATCGTTTTGCTGCTACTGCCTTCATTCGATATCGTTCTGCCCTAGAGCCGATAACCTGTCCTAATATAGATGCTGCAATGGTAAATGCCATGGCTGTCTTAGGCATCAAGACAGATTTCCTAAGCATCGCTATGAATGGAACAGCTGCATGGATGGCCACAAACCAAGATGGTGAGAATTTTTCAGTGTGTTCCCTCCATATACCTAAAGGAACATTTGCTGCCATGCCTAACATCCCAATCACCAGTACTTTTGTGGGCACGGATTGAGGGCGGAGATTCTTGGCAAAAGCAGTTTGTGCTAGTGCTGCCCGAGCTGCAACCACTGCAGGTGGGCACCTGAATTTCATCCCAGGAGGTGGCTGGAAAACCTTCGCAACAAGTGGCAAAACACCACTAACTGCCCTATACGACTTAGCAATTGGACAGTTCCCATTTTGCAGCCATTCATTGCCCAATGCTTCGTGATTGAAATTTCCTCCCTAAAACATCAGCATAAAAAGATGTTAACAAAATAAAGTTTCAAAATAATAATCCAAAATCTTTAAGATATTTGATGATTGTTCCAATTTTAAAAACAGAGGTCAGAAGTCCAAACAACATTCAGAAAATAAATGGATACAGTCCATAATCAGGCGTTCAATTACCTTTGAAGAAGACTCTTTCTTGGATGGTTTTGATTTTCCTTTCTGATTGTTCCACTTGTTGGAAAATGCATCAAAACTGAAAGGCCCTCCTGGTCCAAAGGATGAGAGACTAATGGTGGCTGCCTTGGCAGCCAAAGGATTGAACTTGGGTGGGGCGGTTTCAGGCTCTGCTTTCTCAGTACGCAAGGAAGATCGTTCAGATAGAGGAACTACTCCATCACGTCCATGGAAAAGCCTGAATGCCATGTCGAAATTGGGTCCATCTTCAAATATTGGACCTTTGGCTCCTCGGACCTGAGGCGGGGAAGTGAAAACCCAATGAAAATTTCAATAAAAACACATGATGCAAGAAGCATAATGCTCAATTGCTAATGACAGACACAGCATCTTACCGGCATTGGGAAAGGCAAGGCGGATGAGAAGGAAAAGTTTGTTGGCTCATTAATGTTTCTCAAAAATGGACATCTAAGGATGTCCATTTGGGAAGATGCTGAATCCTCATTTAGACCCCTGAAGAAATAATCCATTTTGATGTAACCTGCATAAAAACATAAAATTGTTTAACAAAATCTTAAAGAGGCAAGTGTAAGATGACGCATATCACCAAATATTAAACCAAACATCAACAAGTTAACAATCAAACATAAAAATGATCAAACTCTAAGTAAATCAATAGTCAATGCCAATAATCCGAAAACAACTAAATATCATAAAAACACAAGCAATGTATCTTAACGACTTCAATTCCTCTTCAACAAAGTCCAAGTAAGATTCTAGAAGACATAGATAATACTAAAAGAACCATGCATATACTCATAAATCAGAACCATAAACAACCACCCACATAAAAAACCAGTATCAGTTGATCACAAAATAAGTCAAACATGTTGATGAAATTAAAGCAGTCCAAAACAAAAGAAAAAAAATGTTTTAAGTCAAAGCGATGGATAATAAACGAAAAATTGAAGATTTTAAAAAGCAGATTGTCTAATTGCTCTTTCAAAGACTAGAATTTTAATAAAATAATTTCCATGTAGACCAAAGAGCCATTAAAAAGCAGTAACTGAATAATTACCAGTAAAGTATATAATTGAAATCTCAAAAATCACATTAAAAGAGGCATTAAGTAAATCAATATATTTCAATAAAAACCATGAATTTCCTGTAAAAAACTAGAAATTACTACAAAAAGTCCCTGATTACTTACAGATCCTTCATACAAAACGGCTAAACTGTTAGAATTTCAAATATAAAACCCAAAAAAAAAAAAAACTCAATCCCAAAAAATTTCAACCCCCAAAAAAAAATAAAAACAGTAGAAAGCATGAAAAAAAAAGATCAATCCCATCAAAGCCAAGAAAACCAAAAATTTAAAACAAACGCATCATAGAATTTGAAAAGATAAAGCGATTGAAATCAATAGGAATCTAAAAAGGGTATTACAAACAAAGAAATTATGAAAAATCTACGAAAAAAAACCCAGGAAAAAACCCCAAAGCAATCTTACCTCTTAGCAGCTAGCAACGATCAAAGAAAGAAACGAAAGAACAAAAAAATTAAGAGTCTCTGGGAGAGAAATGAAAAGAATGGAAACAAAGAAAGGAATTAAAGGAGAGAGAAAGAGAAAGTTAGGTGGCGATGGCTGGAAAATGGAAAACAAGAAGACGAATTGTTATTAATTTTTTAGCTGCAATAAAAAAATAAATAAAATAATTTGTGACGAGAAAAAGCTAGGGAGGAAGAAGAAACGACGCCGTGGTGAGCACACTCCCGTTGGGACAAAGGATCTGGTCAACGTTTGCGCGTGGCCGCCATAGTTTGGAAGTGGAAATTTATTTATGAATTATTATTACGGTAAAAATAAAGAAAGTCGAATCAAATGTTTGGTAAATTATTATTAATTTATAAAACACCTTTACTTTTTACGAATTATTTTAAAAAAAGAGAAAAATCGGTAAATTATTAAATTTGATAAATATATTCACTTATGTATAAATCTTTAATTTTTGAATTATATTCATCCAAACTCTTTTTAAAATTATTTTAAATTTAAAAATAATAATTTTAATTATCTAAAGAAAAAAATTCTAAAAGTCTTTTATATATGTTGAGAAGCGGAGAGATTTGACTTTGGCGCTTTAAAACCCATATTTTTTTATAAATAAAAAAATCTTACGCATGAATCACATTTTTCTTTAAATAATTGTGCATAATTTTTTTTTTTTCCATTTGTTTTATAAAGGGGTAGGAAAATGAAGAGCTTGGTGCATTTTTATGTTGAAGACTTTTTTTTTTCCATTTTTTAATTATTTTTTCTAAATTTAAAAGTGATATTATCTAGTGATAGCAAAGGATTGGATAGGTTTGGATAGAGTCAATTGGTTCGAAATTAATTTAATAATTTTAATTTAGCATAATATTTTTAAATATTTAATTATATATAAATATTATTAATATCTTAAATTAAAATATTATATAATAATTTTATTAATATAATATATATAATATAAAATTAAATAAATAATAAACTATATGAACTATATTAAGATTCTTTTTTTAAATGGACGACGATTAAAGTTTAAATTTGATATTTTTAATTTTAAAACAAAATTTAATACCATCAAACTAACAACCACTAGTTGACAATAATAAAGCAGAAAGTTTTCTTGGAAGGAAAATAAAGAAGACTAGACAAAAGCTCTCTAATTTTCAAAGCTCTTAATGCAACACTAATAAAACGTAGCTATATAATAAATAACATTAACATCTTTTTTTATATGAGGTTGAGAAAATTAGAAACCAGCTGTTGAAGTGAAGAAATTGTTTATTCATCATTAAACCTAATAGTTGATAATGAATTTGCTACTTCATTCTTCAGTTATCCTCAAATCATGTGAAAAGATCAGCATGGAAATAAAAGAAAATTGGCATATTTACCTGAATGAAATCATAAAAAAAAAAAAAAAAAAAAAAACTAAGAACAAATCAATGATGTCATGACAAAGATAAATTCCAAACTGCAAATGCAACTCCAAGATGCTTGAGCCAAGTTGGGAAATGACAAAAATGGCATCATTTACTTGCTCTGTGGAAACCATATAATAAAAAGGAGAATCAAATGATCTTTGGTTATTTCTTGATCCTTCACTTTCATTGAAGAATTGGATAATAATTCCGACTTCTGTTTGAAAAAAAAAAGGCATCAAGGAAGTAGTTTAAGAACAAGCAAAAAGCAAATTAATATCAGCTGATGATACTCTTTCTAAAGTAGCTGATCAGCATTGTGAACTTACTCAAATGTTAGTATTGTCGGTCGCTTTCTTGTATTCAGGCTTCAGCTCATATGATCCTTGATTAGCTCCTTTGTTGTTGTACATACACAGATCTTTAAGTATATCTTTCAGAAATTGCTTCAGACAGAGAGAAAGTCCAAAAGAAGAATCAGAAAACCGTTAATTTTTGGCTCAGAGGCGATAATAAGCAATAGATAGTTTGTATAGCCAACAAAGATCAAAACTATGCCTTCGTTAATGCTTCATGTCAATAACAATTCATCTTTCAATTACCATAATTAGTGGAAGAAAATATGTCATGCCCTGAAGTTTGCAGTAGCACATATCTTAAACAATTTCAAGAAATAAGTTCATAGCACTTGTGCCTTCCAAATGTCTAGAACCTCAGATATGTATATGATCCTATAAAAATTCTGTGCATTAAATCTTAAATCTTAATCTATTGAAATCACCTTTATTTTACAAAGTCTGATGATATTGTTTCCCTTATTTGATGTTTTCACTTTTCTGCTCTTTTTCCGGGGCTAACCATACCTCATTGATGTGATCTTTTTTTCTCTTTGAGTATATACATAGGTGTTATTAATCAGCATTTTCTCAATCAGAGGGCTTAAACACTAGAATGTTCTCTACCCTGCTAGAATCACCTACCCTAGACCATATTCATCTCTAATATAATGCCTTTATCACCAATTTTTTAATCAAAATATCTTCTGAACCATTAGTCCAAACCCTTTTTAATTTAAAAAACAAGCTTCTCTAGTATTCATTGATAGGCAAGTCAATAGCATTAGGGTTCTAAAAGTTACCATTTAAGCATTAAGTAGGAATACTTGATTAAGAAACATACTTCAGGCTGGTCTGTCTCTTGAATCAGTTGTCTTAAAGTCCAATTCGGTTGCCTTTCAAAGAGCTTAAACATAATATCTTCCATCTCTCCACGATCCCTTCTTGTTCTTTTAGTATCTGATGTCTTGGTGGGAGCCTTCTTCTTTTCCTGTTGCAAACACATCAGCTCTCCTCATAAAAATGGTGGACAGACTATAAATAATATTCTGATTGCATATATGAGAGCAAATGGAAGCACAGTTCCCAGGAAAAGAAATCGCTGAAAAACAAAATATTTACTTTGAGAAAATTTTACAAGAAAAGAAAGTAGTCATATGTACATTGAATACAGCAGCAATAATCATCCCTGGCATAGGCCTCATGTGAGTCCCATTGTCATTATCAATAACCTGAAATGTAGAATAAGGGGAAATTTTGAGGAAAAGAAAAAGGAAAGGTAAAGGAATGTAGAATGTGGGGGAAATTGAAGCCAAAAATACCATATAGGAAGTATGGACACAAATATACAAATCAATTACAGGACCTGTATCTGTCTGGATTTGTTCATAGATTTGTTTGTCCGTTCACGGCAGAGTTTCCCATAGTTCTCAATGTTTTCATCATGAGGTCTCATGTCAAACTTGTTTTTTATTTTTCCCTCAACTGAAAGCTTTCCTGCAAGACAAGACTAATTTCATAAAAATGGGAGCAACAGTGTTTCTCAATAATTGAATCTCCATCCTCAGTTAATAATATAAAATTCTAAATTTGTTTACTGCACTAATCATAAAATTACTGCTACTGGAGTAGCAGTAAATTATTGACCAGCTTTTCATGCACAAGTTCTGTGTATGAACAGATCCAACCTATGATCCGTTAATGATTCAAAAGATTTTCAGTTACGGTAATTATTAACATAAGCGTGCATAAATAATATTTTAAGATAGAAGTGTCTCAAACTAGCAACTTGGACCTGTATATATTCAGGTTTCTCGTTCGAATCAACCTTAATTCAGATGTCAAAAGAATTAATAGTATGACACAGTTTCAACATCTACGCTTCTAATAAGCCAATAGAATGGTGTATCACCCAGATTCTATGTATGATCAGTACATCAAAAGTCCAGTCAGATTGTTCTTTTAACATTACTGAGATATAATAGAAATAATTTAGGTCCATGAGAATAATCCTTCTTAGTTGGAAAGTGTGATGAGTTGGCATCACAAAGTTGCCGGTCAATACATCCAACATTCGACATTCGAGTTTGTGTCAAGGACAATGGTTTCTGGATAGCTGCCCTTTGTTTTATCCTCTTTGAAGAAATTGGACATTGGAGGCCCCTCCCCCAAAGTAAACTGTAAACTATGTTAGGATTTCACATTTACCCTTACAGGCCGCAGCCTACTTTAACAACTGGAAAGAAGACACATCATAGCACTACAATTTTACCTGTTAATAACATAAGAATTAAAATATCCCTAATTTTCATGCAAAGAGTACGGAGCAAAACTAGATCAGAAATATCTCAGAGATGAATATCAAGTAAATGCCTTACTTGTAGAAGCACTTTATCCATGCCAGAGTGAAGTATTAACACCAGTGTTTCCTGGAATGACATATACTTACCTTGGGATGTCTCGGAAAACACAGACATTGGAACAAAGTCTTTAGTCATGTCCATGGAATAGCGCTTGGGTACATCTCCAGTTTCTGTGCCAACCAATTCCATCATAAACTGAGGTTCAGGAAACAACTTACATAAGACAGAAGGCAACAAAAGCATTATTATTCTCAGAAAAAAACCATAATCCCACCCCTGCTCTGCTAACTTCAAAAAGAAAGAACATGGGAGGAAAACTCAATCTGTCAGAATTGATTAACAAGTTATGCACAACAGAAGAAAACAACATAGGTATATGGACAAGTTAAACGTAATAGCAGATAATGTGGGGCGTGCAAGTAAAATAATGTAATAGAAAATAGAGGCACCTGAAAGAATGAAAAACCTGGCAACAGTAAATACAAGAGCTACCTAATTCCATTCACAAAATCCTTCCTAAATTAATTTTGGTGATTCGCTATAGTTCTATGACTGCTGAGAACAAAACTTATTTTTGTTAAGTGATTCATGCCCCATTTGATCGCAGGCAATGCTACGACTAAAAGGGCAAAAGCCAAATTTAATCACTGTGATTAAGACCCTCCATAATTGGCTATGACTTCAATTAACTTCTTAGCCAAGGTAAGTAAAATTCCATACTTGATCCAATAAAGATTTTTTTTTTTCTGAAGTAAAACAAAATAATTAAGAAACTATAAGTAATGATAAACCAAGGCCAAAAATACCATGGAAATCGAGAGCCCAAAAATTTAAGAACTCAAAAAAAAAAAAAAGGGGGCAACAATTAACAGAAAAGAAACTAAAAAGATTTGGCAAGAAACAAATGCATGCTATAATAACAGACATAAACCCCTCACATGATGCTTGAAATAGTGCAGAAAAAGAAAATCTCTGGAGCTGTACAAATGTCTATGCATATTAGCTTCGTAGATTTCTTGCCAAAACGAAATCGAAAAGTTATGCAACTTCATTTAAAAAAAAATCCAAAGACTTGAGGGCTAAGCCTTTTGTTGTAATTCCTCATGATTTTGTCCAAGATCTCAATCATTACACGTCTCTAAAATCATTGCTAAGATCCTTCACCCACTTTTGAAACCAATTATGATTTCAGCTAACTTTCATTGACAGTGACTGCCATAACTTCCTTCTAATATTATGGCTTCAACCAACTTAATTACTATGACTACTGTCATTCCCATCAAGCCTTTCTCTAAAACATCAATGGCAAATAAAACAACCTAAACTCAAAGTATTAGCCAATGGAACCAAAAAATAAGATTCATTCTTTCATATAAACATCAGAATTATCATAGAATAAGAATTCACATCTATTAATTCACAAACTCTGCATGCAAGCAATTTCTAATGAATGGAAACAAAACTCAACCCTACCAAATCCAAAAAGTAACAAAAAAAGAATCAAATTTGCTGAAGACATTGCTAAAAGATTAAAAATAAAAACATTAGTAAAATTTCAAAACTTTCATCATACCCAACAAGATTTCTTACTTTATTTATATTTTATTACCCAAGGAAAGAAAAAGAAAGATGGATATACCAAAGTTCACAGATTTAAAACTCCATTAAACCATAATTAAAAAATCTTTAAAAAATCAAATACCCACTAAGAAAAAAAAAAAAAGAATGCACGCAATGCAACAAACCCAAAACACCAAAATATCCTTGAAACTTTTAAAATTAACCCTGATAAAAAATAAATCCCAGAAAATCAAATAAGATAAAAGAAACAATAGAAAGAACACCCAATAAGGAAAAACAAAAGCATGTAAAGAAAGTTAAAACAAACCCAATAAATCACAGCGATGGAAAACATAAAAATTAAAAAAATAAAAAATGGGTTTCTTTTAGAAAAAGGAGACCTGAGTAGAAGAAGAGTCATTGGAAACAAGAGGGTCGATTGAAAGAATAACTTTGGCAACAGCTTGAGAAGAAGAAGAAGAGAGTTGAGGGGTTTTGAGAGAGCGTGAAACTACGCCAGGGCATTTCATCAACCACATTGATCTTTCAGCTTTGCTTGTTTCTAAAAAGCCATCTTTGTTTTCCATGGAGGGAAAAAGAAAGGAAAGAGAGGGAAATGGTTTTTCTTTCTTTTCGGGTTTGGTAGAGAAAGCAAACAGCAGAAAGGAAAACAAACCGTTTGCTTTTTTTTAACAAACTCAATATATGGGATTAGGTGGGTTTTTATAGGGAGTTGGACTCGGAAGATCTTTTCTTTTAGTTATTTTTTATTTTAATTTTTTCTTTGCATTTTCTTGAATAATAAATAAATAAATAAGTATAATTAAACTTTTTTTTTTCATTTATATAATTAACAAGAGTTCATTTTTTATATGATATTCAATTTTTTTTTTTAAATTTTATAAGCGGTATTAAAAAATTAATACATATTTCACTTTAAATTAATTTTTAAAAATTTTTAATATATATTAATAGTAATATGTGTGGGAAAACCGAAATAGAAATCTTGCAATTACGAGATCATTTGTTAGTTAATATTAGTTGTAGTTTCATTTTTTATTTTCCAGTTTCCTTATGTCATGAGACTCTATGATTTCTTTTACTTTTTTTCTCAGATTTTCTTATTTTGTAAAGGTTTAAGTTTCAAACATAGGAGAATTAGTTATTGTAATTTGCTATAAGAAGTTATTAATTCAATGATGATTATGGAGAGAAGAAATATTGTTTCCTCCTTCACTGGTTTTATCGTATTAGAGCCGGTCCTACCATAGGCGTAAATGTCATCAACAACTGTTGCTGACCAAATGGCAAACCTTACGTCGCCTAAAGCAGAATCATCTAGGATTCTGATTGTCTCTGACCCTCAATTATCCATCATACCCAATCACCTCGAAAACCCCTTAATCCAAATCTCCTCACACAAATTGAACGTGAGTAATTTCAGAGAGTGATATCAATCGGTCTTATTTATGATTAAGGGTAGAGGAAAAATGGGATATTTGACAGGATTCAATTGTAATGGGAAGTAGAGAATTCAATTGTAATGGTGTGGTTGATTACCTTAATGAATCAAAAGATTGGGCGCTTGTATCTGTTCTACAAAATGGCGAAAGAAGTGTGGGATGCAATAAAAGAAATGTATTCGGATCTTGAGAATATATCATAAAGCTTTGAAATTTGTTCCAAGATTCGAAATACTCAACAAGGTACATCATCCATCATAGAATATTTTAATACTCTCTCAGAACTGTGGCAAGAAATCGATCTGTTTCATAATGTCACCTGGAAGCGCCTTGATGATGAAGTATTACATAGCAAAATGTTAGAAAAAGATCGAATATTTGATTTTTTACAAGGTTTGAATCAAGAGCTTGATGACGTTCGAGGGCGTATACTCGGCGCAAAGCCTCTACCCACGTTGAAGGAGGTGTTCACTGAAGTCCGGCTTGAAGAGGCAAGGGGAAAAGTGATGTCCTCGCCATCACAGAGCACGACAACAGAGACAGCAGTCCAAGGATTTGCTTTAGCCACAAAGGGAGTTTCTGGAAAAGATAAACAGTTATGGTGTGAGTACTGTAAAAAGCCATATCATACCAAGGATACATGATGGGATATCCATGGAAAGCCTACAGATTGGAAGCCATGAAGTGAAAGGAGAAAAAATTCCACAAAGTCAAATGAGAAAAAATGCTTGTATGGCTGAGACAACAATCAGTTCTAATTCTCAACCATTCACGACGGAGCAAATGGAGGTTCTTTGAAAATTGATGAATTTTTCATAGTTACAGAGGAGTCCAAGTTTGCCTCATCAAATTCTACTGGTTTTACAGCTTTAACAACCCATAAAGGTATTTTTTCTTTCCTGTCATGTAAAGGTCCACATGATACTTGGATAGTGGACAAATGTACTTCTGACCATATAACAAGTTCCAGTACAGGAATTAGTAACTACAAACCGTGTAAAGAAAACGTTGGGATTATAGTGGCCACCGGGTCTGTGTGCACGGCAACAAGGGATAGGAGATTAGGAAGTTAAGGGGCTGAAGTTGAGTTATGTTTTTCATGTTCCTAATTTGAAGTGTAATTTGTTTTCAGTAAGTAAAATAACCAGAGACTTGAATTGTTCCGTAACCTTTTTTCCTTCTTGTTGTAAATTTCAGGATTTTTCATCGGAGAGGATGATTGGGAATGTTGAGGAGCAAATTGGCCACTATTACTTGTCAGGTGCTGGTTCTTCTCCGAGTTTGAAGTCATCTACTATTTTTTCCTTGTTTTCTGATTCCAATGTTCAACTATGGCACAATAGATTGTTTCACCCAAGTTTCTCCTATTTAAAACATTTGTACCCTCATTTGTTCCTTAATAAAAAGCCTTCGTCGTTTCATTGTGATCATTGTATTCTTACAAAACAAAGATGTGCATCTTATCCACCTCACCCGTACGAACCGTCCACTCAATTCGATCTAATTCATAGTGATGTGTAGGGACCATCACGAGTGTTAAATTTACCTGGGGAACGATGGTTTGTTACCTTTATTGATGATCATACTCAGGTATCTTGGGTCTACTTGATGAAAGAAAAATCAGAAGTGACTACAATCTTTAAACAATTTCATAAGGTCGTCACTAATGTCTTCCAATCATGCATACATATCCTTCGAAGAGACAATGGGAGTATTCTTCTCATGAACTAAATGAGTATCTTCAAGAATATGGGATACTTCATCAAAGTTCATGTATGAATACTCTTTAACAAAATGGGATTGTCGAAAGGAAAACCGTCACTTAGTGGAAGTTGCCAAGATGAATTTTGTTTGTTAGTCATGTTCCAAACTCTTTTTGGGGTGAAGCTATTCTTACATCCGCATTTCTTATCAATCATGTTCCTTCCAAAGTTCTAAAATACCGAACCTCTATTAGTGAATTATTGTCTGTTTTTCCCTCTTCTCGTGTTCATAATTCTTTTAAACCTTGTGTGTTCGGATGTGTGGTATTTGTTCATAATGTTCAACCCAACTGGGGTAAGTTGGATCTAAAAGCCCTTAAATGTGTATTTCTTGGTTACTCTTCCGCACAAAAAGGTTATAAGTGTTATTATCATCCCACAAAACGATTTTTGATCTCATGTGACGTTTCCTTTGTAGAAGATCAAACTTTCTATTCCCAAGTTTCTCTCTTGGGGGAGAATGGTACTCAGGGAGACAAATTTGGGATCTCACTTTTTCAGAGTTTTTCCCTTTGATCACCTCGTCCTTTCCTTCCCAATCCGAGTCTAAAAATGGTGGTGACCTCGGGGAAGGGGGAGAGTCCAAAACTGCAGACCTGATACTAACTCTGGTTTACTCTACGAGACCACAGGCTCCAATGCAAACTCAAGAGTCTGAACTGATGGCAGATCCCATTACTGCGGACAATCAAGAGGAGGTTGAGGCATGTCGCGAGAATGAAGAGCTGATTAGTGATCTTGATCTTCCGATTGCCATAAGGAAGGGGGCAAGGTTTTGTACTAGAAATCTCAGATATCCTATCTCATATTATGTCACATATTCCAAGTTGTCAGGGAATCTCAAACCCTTTATTGCCAATATTGATAAGATACAAGTCCCTAGAAATGTTCCTAAGGCACTTCAAGATCTGAATTGGAAGAAAGCAGTGCTGGAAGAGATGAAGGCATTGAATGATAATGATACTTGGGAGCTGGTGCAGTTACCTAAGGAAAGAGAGTTGTTGGTAGTAAGTGGGTATTGAAAGTGAAGTATAGATCGGATGGGACTTTAGAACATTATAAAGCGAGGCTAGTAGCACAAGGTTTCACTTAAACCTACGAAATTGATTATGAAGAGACTTTTGCACCAGTTGCCAAGCTTAGCTCAATCAGAATTCTACTGTCTATTGCTGCCAACTTAGATTGGAAACTACATCAGCTAGACATTAAGGTGTATATGAAGGCTCCTCTAGGATTTGAGATAGGGGGAGGCTCAGACATGATATGTAAACTAAAAAAGTCCCTTTATGGTCTGAAACAGTCTCTCAAGGCTTGGTTTATGAGGTTTAGCACTGTGATGAAGGATCTTGGGTACAACTAAGGGCAAGCCGATCACACCTTATTTGTGAAGAAGCATAAGTCAGGTAAACAGGCAATACTCATTGTATATGTAGATGATATGGTGATCACAGGTGATGATGAAGTGGAAATTGGAAATCTCAAGAAGAGACTTCAAGCCGAATTCATGGTAAAAGATCTTGGAGAACTTAGATAATTTTTTGGAATGGAGGTTGCAAGAAGTTGCAAAGGAAGTACACGCTTGACTTGCTTAAGGAGACGGGAAAACTTGGGTGTAAACCGTTTAGTACACCCTTGGAACGTCATTGGAAGCACAAGATGTCAGATAGTGATCCTCCAATGAACAGAGAGCTCTATCAGCATTCGGTAGGAAAACTCATCTACATGTCACTCACGAGACCTGATATTGCCTTTAGTGTGAGTTCATGCATGCTCCCATAAAAAGGCACATGAAGGCAGCAAACTAGATTCCAAGGTACTTAAAGGGAAGTCCTGGCAAAGGTTTATTGTTCAAGAAAACCAGAGTTAGGGATGTTGTTGGTTTTTCAGATGCAGATTGGACAGGAGTTGTTGATGATAGCAAGTCAACAACCGGGTATTGTACAAAAGTCCGGGGAAATCTAGGGACTTGGAGAAGTAAAAAGCAGTCTGTGGTTGCCCGAAGTAGTGCAGAAGCTGAGTATAGAGCCACAGCTCAAGGAACATGCGAACTTATCTAGATACAGAGGTTGATAATAGATTTAAACATGCCGATAGTAGAGCCTATGAAGTTGTTTAGCTACAGCAACTCAGCTATCAGTGTGGTCCATAATCTAGTTCAACATGATCGAATGAAGCACGTGAGGATTGATAGGAACATCATCAAGACTGAGATAGAAAATGGAATTATTGCCTTGTCCTATATTCCTACCAAGTCTCAGGAAGCTGATGTTCAGACAAAAGCTTTTCAGAAATCAAGTTTCGATCATTATGTTAGCAAGCTGAGAATGATTGGCATCTATTTACCGGCTTGAGGGGGGAATGTGAGAAAACCGAAATAGAAATCGTATGACTATGGGATCATTTGTTAGTCAATTTTAGCTATAGTTTCCTTACCTATTTTTCAGTTTCCTCATGTTATGGGACTCGGTGATTTCGTTTCCTTTTTCTCAAGTTTCCTTATTTCGTGAAAGTTTAAGTTCCAAAGATAGGAGAATTGGTCATTGCAATTTGTTATAAGAAGTTGTTAATTCAATGATGATTATGAAGAGAAAAAATATTATTTTTCTCTTCAATAATTTTAATATGTCACTAAATTAATTTCGTATCTGAAATTTAAAAATATTAAAATAATAAAAAAGCTTTATGATTTTAATTTTACTGCACAAAAAACTCTTCAAATTTTAATACATTTATATCAAAAAAACTTTTAATTTTTAATTTATACTTAAATAAACCTTTAACAAAATGCCTATAAAATATTAATTTTTTACTGTTACAAATGCTTGAAGTCAAACCTTTACGCATATAAAAAGTCAACTTTTATGTGATTAAAAAAATTTAAAAAATTTATAATAATTAATTTAAAATATAAAGTTATTTGAATACAAATTAAAGTGTAAAAATTTATTTAAATGCAATAAAAATATAAAACTTATATAAGTAAAGTGAAACGATTCAAACCCGTCAGTTTATCCCCTCTACTTTGCTGCTATTTAAAAGTACATAAATACCACAAATATGTTGATGAAACAGAGAAAAAAAAAAATTACTCAGGTCAATGCTTATTATGGATGCAAAATTGGAGAATCTTGCTCTTATAGGGTTAGGCCAAATGCAGAAAAGGTTCCCTTAAATTGAAAATGGCAGTTCCAACAAGTAACATGACTCAAGGAATTCCACCAGTTAATGAAGTACTCCATAATAATACAATAATTGATGGGAGGATGCATAGTACACTCAAATACCGAAATGTGCTCTAAGGCTCTTCCATCGACAACAAGAGACAGAAGGCTGAACAATTTTAGATAACAATCACAAAATGCATTCATGTATGGTTAAATATGTTAACATTTAGACTGCTATGGTATCAGAGCTGTTGCCTCCGGTGGAGCTTTGCTTCCTCTCCGCTTGAAGTGATCGGCACAATGATTCTAGCTTTTCTTTCTGATTCTTTGTCTTCTCCAATTGTTTCTTCAACCGCTCGCGCTAGTCGTGCAAAGACAAGAATTAAGTGCTAGGTAGATACCCCCTTCTTGAAATAGATAATATAGTTCTGAAGAATGAAAGCTTAAAATGACATGCTAACTATACCTCCTCCACAAGTTCTATGAGAGTAACATCTGATTTGTCACATTTGCTCTTCAAGAATCCATTTTCCTTCTTGAGTTCCTTGATTGATTTTGCCGTCTAATTTTATACACATTAGGGAAAAATAGTCGGTAACTTAGAAATCATAATGCAACACGCAACCAGCGATTGTACAATGGAGCAATAGGAAAAACCAAAAGGCAGTGTTTGAGAAAATATCTCTCTCAAAGATAAAAGGCACATGTACCTTCTCAATCTCTTGCTTAAATGTTTCAAAGACCTCATTACTCTTTAACAAAGCATCCTGCAAAATCAAGTATAATTTTAAACATCATGAAGATGATAAGATAGATTCAACTATCACTAGCGCAACATGGAAACACTAATCCGACTTCAGCAATGCCGCATCTCGACAGAATATGCAGAGGATGTCAGATAAGTGAAGTGCATTCAATGGTGAGGTTCAAGCAATTCCAGAGGAAAACACCTCAATTACAAAGACAGGTCACTTCTTAGTCGCCTAGAAACGTATCACAAAAGCATTCCACTACTATTCTGTCAATGATTGCACTTCAAATGTTCACAATTTTTCTGTCAACAATAGCACTTAGATTGTAGCTCTCTACTAATTTATGATACTAAGATTTTAGCGTTATGCAGGTGACAAGAATAAGACCTCTTAACTGATGGATTCTCTATCCAGCCATCCAAGGCAAATGATAAGAGCACTCAATACAGTATATAATATTCATCAACCTAAAAGAGAAAAGCAGCCAATAATACCAAGGTGATAATGACATGCAAAGAATCATACTTGAAAATGTTGAAATTTTTCTCCATCAGCTGTCAACTGCATGCGTAAGTTCTTTTCAGTGGCCAATAACTGAGACACTTGCTCTGCATATACTTTCATCTGTGCTTGTTCCTGGATCAATTTCTCTTCATGTTGCTTAATTTTCAAATCAGCAAGCTGTAGTTCTAGTGTTTTCTGCTTTAGCTGTGTCAAATGTCCAAAACATAAGAGTAAGCTCACAGTTCCTGACAATATAATTGATCAGTATTTCAAGATGGAAAATCTTAGATATATCAGGAAATCAAGCCTATACCTTCTGCGCATATTGTTGTTCAGAGAGGGCGTATTGATCAGCGAACTGTTTCAACTTATTTCTTAACCTATACATGAAGAATTCCAAAAATTCTATGAATAATGAAAAACTGGCACTAAAACAATCTGTTTAATCAATAAATGACATGGGTGAGGATGATGCTTTCCCAGATGGCAGGAATTCTGTTAAAATTTACTCATGAAATCCAATATATCTCAAAACTTCTAAATGTAAGAATATCAGAGGCCCAAGTTAAAAGATTCTAATTTGCAAAAAACCCAACATAACCAGAATGTGGAACAGATGTAATTTGGTAATTCATAAAAATCAGAGATTATAATAATTATTCCAAGGAGATTATAGTAATTATTCAGGATTTAATATATGCGAATTCTGCCCCAACCAAACGAGTGAATCTAAACACGGGATGCCTTGAAAATGAAAGAAAACCCTGGGTATTGCATTTTTCCGGGGATCACACTTCCCCCCGGAATCTACGATTCTGCGAACCAAATGCCCCCCTTATTGTATAGGTGTTACCAAGCTCGAAGGACAAGATCTATAATAATTAGACATGCATTTCCTGTCTCTTACATCTCATTCTCCTTCAGTTGAGACAGGCATTCATCCTTCTGCTCTTCCAGCTTATTGCTCACATCCTATAGGAGGAAAAAAAAGATTAAAAACCACTAGTAAAACATGTTAAAAATGAAAAAAAAGTATGGCTATTAAAATTAAGGTTTTCAGAATGTTATCTGGAAGTTCAGGAAACATTTACATTTTGTGCATGCCAAAACTGAAAGAGTCACAAAGAAAACACGCACACACGAATGAAAACACACATGCGCACACACTCACACACTCATGCACAGAGAGAGAGGAGGGATGCCAGGAGGAAGAGCGAATTCAAAGAGCAGAAATAGGGCAGAACTAGAGTATTATTGTAATTCTATAGTGATATGTAAAATGGAATCAATATGAATTATTCATCCAACATGAGATGAAGTTTTCAACTCTTGCTTCAACTAATAGACTTGCAATACTATCATGATGAGTGATGAGTAACTTCACTTTCCCATTTCTCTTGCTTTAGACATTCATCTCCATTGACCTATGCTACATCTATGCTATTCATGCAAGCCCATGTTTTGGGATCAATCATGCTTAGTGGAAGAGTTGTATCATAAATCTCCTTATAGTTATAAGCTATTTAATATTTAGGAGTATCAAAAAGTTTAGCCACTGTTCTTATGAAGTAACATGGCTAGAGTATGAAGTAACATGGCTAGAGACAGATGGACTTGTCAGCATGTAAGTCAGCCTATCCACCATGATCACTTTCAAAATCAAAATAGGGACATCAAACCTTGATTGCATCTTGGAACCTGGCTGATAAATCTAATCTTAAGTTTTGCCCTTCTGTTGATACTCGTTTGCATTCATCCTGTGAATCATAAGCAGCTATCAGCAACTTCATAAAAGAAAAACAAACAGCTCAAAAATGGACAAGCAGAAATTTATCATGGAAGTTGAAGAGTTTAAACAGATCATGATCAGACATGACATTTGATGATCTCTTTAGTATATCAAAATGTAAAATTGACATTACAAACGGTAAAAATAAAGGAAAGTTGCTTTCCCCATTAATTAAATTTGTTATGCAGATCTACCATCACTTGATCATGTGTATGCTAAACGCTTATGGAAGAAACCAAGTCCACAAAACGTTAATCACAGCAAGTACTACTATAAAGTTTGTAAGAGCAACTTTATAGATGAAGAGCAGTTGAGATAAGAACTATTATTTATTTAATTTTATAGATGGTTGTGTGAAATTGAGAAAATTCACGATCTGTGATTGGTGCAAGGCAGCAGCTTGTGCTTTAACACTCAAGATACCTACAAATGCAACCAAAGTGTGCAACTGCAACCAGAATTTAAACCTTGGTTGTTTTTAATGGCCTTTTCAAAACTAAATACACTTCCATTTAACCTAGGGCAGTAAATCGTATGCTTCTGCATTTTAGTCGCTTACTTCATGCCTCCTGCCCACCCACCCCCTCTCCTACTCAGAAATTTAGGTACATGGTACCTTTGACGGCTGGAGAAATGACCCAAACCAGAAAGGGGAAGGATATGAAATAGAGACAAATTTCAAGACCAATTCGCAACTCATAACATTATCAGAAGGTTAACATACTAAGTACAAAGTGCATAAAGAATAACTACTAATTGTAGAAAGTAATCAATCAAAAAGTGATAATGTATCCAAAGAAAAACATACCATTAACAGTTTGTTCTGACGTTGTAGCTCCCTACAAAGTGATTCAAGTTTATCTCGAACAGCAATAGCTACAGAGGAAGGCAAAAGCAAAAAGAAAAGAAACAAAAATCAATCTTCCATGATGTTTAAGATATATAGAGACATTATCATATATCAATATGTCATATTGGCCTCTTAGATATCATACAAGACTTGCTAAACTCTAATATTCACCTATAGCTTCTAAATTCAGCTGGTCAAAGTTTCCAAGGAAATGAACATATCTCGATAAAGTGAAGTCCAAAGACTTTTCTCATCATTACAACAAAAGAAAGAGAGAACCTGTATTGTTAAACAGAAAAACAATTCATAAAAGAATAACTCCTTCCAAGAGAAAACATTAAGTTAAAATTTATTTGGATTTCAATAAGGCAACAGTGTACGAGGCAAGATGGTTATAGTCTTTTGGGAGGATCATAGCAATAGTTATCTCCAGCCACATTCCATGGCAAACCAAAGAGACCAATTGAACCAACTGTTTTCATTTTCGTCCTTGAACACTCACATCTTAACTTATTTATTTATTTTTTAAATTTGTGACACCAAACATCCACAAACTGCATGTTTCCTACCTATAGCATTAGGCAGAAATACAAACCAGTGTCCAAACTTAATGGACAAGTATTATCCTAGCAACATAAAAGTATCTTCACATCAAAACAAATCAGACTATTATGATGGAGTGATAAAATTTGAAAGAGTTTTAGGTAATTACTGATTAAATTTGAAAGAGTCTTAGGTAATTAGACCAATATATTCATCACATCACTTGACAGTGACCTTTTGGACATCATAAATGTTATTTCAACTTACCTGCATCTCTTTCTGCAAGGACTTGCTGATATTTCAAAGAGAACTCAAGAAATTCCTTTTCCGATTTGAATGTACGTTTTGCATTCTTGCGTTTGGTTTCAGTAGTTTCCTGAGAAAAAAACAGTCCAATTAAGACTAGTGAGTTCACTTATATAGATGAAACTGATGTAAAATGAGCATATGAAAATAACCTCTGAATAAACTGAACCTAACTCAACAGACTGTCATATTCTTGAAAAAGAATGCAACTTATCATAGTTATAAACTATCAGTTGTAACTCAAGAGCTCTTCCAATATACACAGCAATTGAAAAAAAAATGGAGATATCTAGAGACTCTTTGTGTAATAGATTAACAAAGTGAAAGATTCAAATTCTTAAAACTGCTTATCTCAAGAATCAAACAAGTTTCTTTTTCTCCTTGCAACAATCATTATTTTAATGATCATGAATTGCTATAAAGATTATCATCAAGACAAAATATGTGAACTAGTAAAAAATTTACTAAAAGCCTCTGGATTAAAAAACACAGAAAAGATGCTTTCCAATATATAAATAAGCAATAACTATCAGCACATCTTTGAACCTTAAAATAACCATTACTCAACTCATGCATTCCTGATGCTCATACTGAACCCTACCCACAAGCATAAGAATTTCAAAGAACTTAGTTATGTACTATGATCTACTAACTGGTTTTTTATTTTTCAGCAAATCCACGCTTTCCGAAGAAGATGTTTCCTTCAAAATAGTCGAGTTAGCTTCTGATCCTCCTTCAACTGCTGTGAAAAACAACAACCAATGAGCACTAAAAAACCTAAAAACTACCCAAGTTTCATAAGTGAAATTTAAAAAAAAAATTGAGAATCAGATTCAAAGTAAAGAAAAACTACTTCTTTCTGTACTTTGACACTCCCCTTTAACTTCTCCTTTCACCTCACTGCATTCTACCACCCCAACTTCAGCGGCCTCAGGAACAGAATCACTTGACTCCTCACCAACTAATTTACCTTGCACAGAGTCCACAGAACCACCAAAAGAGTCCCCTTCAGACAATGGCACAGGAAAAGTTCTTTGCTTTTGGCCCTTGCTTGCTCCAAACTCGGTGGAAACTAAATCATCTTCCGTATAATCAGGCTGCAAAGGCTTTTCTTGTTCTAAAATTGGAGTATTTGGAGCCAAAGGCTCTGAAGGACTCGCAACAAAGCCATCTGGCAATGAATCCACTTCAGGAAGCTGATTTGCTTGTGGATTTTCCATTTTCTACCCAAAAAAACAAAAACCACAAAAAGAAAAACTCAATCAGTAAACAAAAATAAAGAAAACCCAGATAACAAAAAAATATGGGTTTTCATTACAAAATGGGTAAGTCAATCTGTATCTTGCCAAAGTTTTTCAAGATTCCAACTTTTTTAACATGGGCATAAAAAAAAACAAATAGAAAAACTCTAATTCAGTAACTCCAACGGGGTAAAGGAAGAGAGAGATTACCAGATATGAAGATGAAGAGAAGAAGAAACTGAAGGATTTGCCGTTTTCAAGATCTTTGCCTTTGCTTTTGTTTTTTAGGTATGTTGCAAAATGATTTGATTTGTCCATATGTTGGGTTTTTGTTCCATTTTTGGAAGGAAATTTTTTATTAAAATTTTTAATTTTCAAATGTAATTACTATATATATATATATTTATTTACAAAAAAAATAACCGAACAAAATACATTTGAAATTTTGAAACCTTTCTTATTGGATAAAAACATAAAAATTATTTTGGATCATATTAAATATATATGATTTGTAATCATTTATTTTAAATTATTAAATATTAAATATTTTGTTTTAATTTAAAGATTAAACAGTATATTTATTTTCAAATTTTTTTATATAACCAAAAAAAAAAACATAAAAATTATTGGTTTCATTTTATCGTCATAAGTAGCTTTGATAAGGGTTTTAAGTAAGCTAATGTCCATAGCTTTAAGCTTTAAGAGTACAACAACAGGTATTTTATACTTTCCGTCTCTCGTGTCCACGTGTACTAGTGCCGAAGGATACATGTATACTAAGCTATGTTGCTCGTACTTTATATCGTTTTAAAAATTAAATCTTTTGATTAATATAAAATATTATATTCATATTATATATTATATAAAAATTATATATTATAATTTATATTAATATAAAAATATAAAATATAATTTTTTTATTTTATTAAATTTATTTATAATTTTTTTAAATATTAAATTATATTATTTTTATATATTTTATTCGTTTTTTTTTATCTCATATCACCATAATATATTTCAATACATGATAAAAGAAATCTACAAAATATATGAAAAAACTTTGATACCAACTTCTGAATACGAGCTACGTAGCATATTACTGGTCAATACAAAGTAATTCTCTCTCCAAAAGTTATTATGATTTGTACAAAGAATGAAAAATAAAAAAAGGAAAACAACGAGATTAAGATTGAAATTTTAAATAAAATTATTAATTTAAATGAAATGAATTTGAAAGAAAAAAATGCAAATCTATTCATTTTCTTTCTCTTATTATTTATCTGCTACCAAATGAAAAAAAAAAATTTTCCGTTCACTTACCCTCTTTCCTTTGTTCCTCTTTTCCTTCCAACCATAACATAAATCACCACATTTTCAAATTGTTAACCATTTTCAGTGCGAGAACAGCTACTTTCCATGGTTAATAATTTGAGTTCAAATCAATTGTTAGTCTATAGCAATATACACCAGGACATGCATCCAATCTTCCTCCCTGTTTTCCACAACATTCACCGCAAACTGTACACAAAAACATGTCTGTTACATGCAATGGAATTTTCTTCTACTCGTACAATCCAGCCATCTGAACAGTCCCTGGGATAGTACTAGTGAAAATGAAGTAGACAAATGAGGTTGAAAGACAGGACTTTCTCTGAACACTTACCATCGGAGAATCAAAAATTCAACTTGCCTCGTCTCTTTTCCCTCTAGCTCGATACTTGCTGCTTCCAATGCCGGTGTCTCTACTCTGAAACCAATATACATCTCAGTAACCTTTAAAAATCCACACAATGTTTATTTTAAGGAACAAATAAACCGAACAACATGGGCAGCTATGGATAATAGAATGGCCAGGCTTCCAACAATGTTCAAAGATGGAGAATTAGGACGAGTTTTTCAGCTTTTCATGACCTGAAATTTATTCTTATATCCAACACTAGAAGGTTTAAAAATAAAAGTCACCAGATATGTTGTCCAATCAAGTAAAACTTTACCTGTTTAATTTGGCTCACCATCCATAAAACATGTATTTTAAAAGCTGAAATGATAACAAACCAACCAACTGAAGGATGAAGCTTTGATTCATCAGCATAACTAATTGAAGAAGTTATTTTTCATAATTATTATGAAAACATAGATTGATTTGCAATGTTGAAGAGTATATTTTCTTGTCATACTAAATATATCTGTTCCACAGCTGCCAGTGAAAGCCATTTCAACTAACAAGACAGTCAGTAGGCTTCAACTGCAACCCAAAAGGAAGATGCTTGTTTCTTCTTTGATAAGTAAATAGTTGTGATAGACATGAGCACTGTGATTATCACATTTTTTCCGTAAGATAGAAGTAGATATCAATGACTTCATCAATGAATCCTGAAAGCAAGTTTCGATTCCATCTAAATTATAGTCCGAGTCTATCAGAGTACACCTGTCGCCTGACAGACCTTCGTTGGCGAGGAAACGAGGAAGGGCCATTTAACTTTTTCCTCCCTGTAAAACAATGCGCACGTTTGATTGTTAGCCTAACCAGATGACATGCACAAATGTTTCACTCTTCTTCCACCGGGTAGATGTAGACCCACTGAGCAGAAAATTTTGTCCGAAACAAAGAGATGAATTTATGATTTGACAATCCAAGAGTAGTATAACCACTTTTGAGAGAAATACAGCACTAATTAGACATCTGTACCTTCATTCTATCCGCAGTCATTTATCAAATCCAGGCCCTTTGAAGCAGGAGATTGAGTAATAGTACTAACACCACTGCTAATACTCTCGCCATTGCTGCCAAGCTTAAGAGAAACCCAATCTTCAGTATGGATACCATTTGATATGGGGGGATGGTGTCCTATATCAGATTCTTCCAAGGTTTCAACAGGTTGAGTAGGAAGGAAATTTTGTAGCGAAGGGTCCTCACTTACAAATGCAAAGGGATCATCAACCAGGTCATCATCTTCATCAATATTGGCATTGCAGATAAAAGAATCAGGAACCTGTCCACTAGAGTTCATGGTTGACTTTGAAGCTAATGTGTAACCATTCATGGGCGCAAAGCATGTGCCAATGGAATGCTCCAAATTAATAAGAAGATCTGAGACATCAGAATCTTCACCAAACAGTTGGAACCCTGAACCTATATATCCCTTACAAAGTTAAAAATAAAATGATCAACCGTATATCAAACGCATACATGAATCTATATATATATTTATTTAAGCAAAGATTTTTTTATTATTTGATGAATAAAAATAAATACTAAAAAAATTAAAATTTAAGCAATCAAATAATCAAGATGAATTACCCTGCAAATTGACACCGAATCCATTCCTCTTTGACAGATAAAAATGAAAATTAACTCTGCAAAATATAAAAATAAAAAAATATATCAATGGATTATTAAATTGTGATATAAAAATGAATAATGAACAATCATAATAATCAAATTACAAAAAAAAAAAAAAATGGCGACTCACACTGGTCTTTGGAGTTTCAGTTGAATCCCGCGGATGCTTCTGACTGACTGCGACTTTGCATTTACCATTTTTTTACGAGCAAGATTTAATTTATATTCAAATCTGCAGTACTCGATTTAATTATTAATTATTAATTATTAAAATAAAAAGGGACGTGAACTTGATTTATTAAATCTGGTTTGGGCCTCAATCATGGACAAATTAACTAAGAGGGAAATGATAATATTTCTCTACTAATAACATAATATTTATTTTTTTTTAAAAAAAAATTTATAAATAAATAAATTATTCAATCTGTTATCGTATTTATAATTAATAATTAATAGTTAATGGTTACAATTTTTTTGTCCTGCATTTTGACTTTTGAAATTGAAAATTGACATTTTCTTTTTCAATAGAAAAGAAAAAAGAAAGAGAGTTTTATTTTAGATATTGTGTGTCTTAAGATACTATAACTAATTGAAGGTATGGATCCAATCTAAAATTAAAAAAGAGATACTCTCATTTTTTTTGTTTGTAGTCTTTTGGAGACATGGCCGAGCGGTGAGGCGGGGGATTGCAAATCCCTTATTCCCTGGTTCAAATTCGCGTGTTGCCTTATCAACAAAAAATACGAAATCTTATATTTTGTTTTGCTAATATAACTTGACCAATTTTCTCTAGCAAAAACAAGTGTAAGAAAATTACTTTTGATAATTTTTTTGGATAAATTTTTTTTATAAAAAAAAGTTTAGGGATAAATAAGTTATTTAATTTTTTAGATTAAGGTAAGATGTGTCGTACCTCACAGCTTAAAACAAATGACTGCAGGTTGTGTACTCTAAATAACCTCAACAAATGATTGATATAACTCGAATTCAAAACCTCGTGCACTCTAAATAACCTTAATAAATGATCATCGACGTGGCTCGAACTTAAAATCTTTTTCGTAAAAAAAATGACATTAATCAATTAAATTAATCACTTATTTTGTTTTTATTGATATGTACAAATTTTAACAAATTATAATTTTAATATTTTTCATTCAAATAAAAAGCAAAGTTCCATTTCTACGTTTTTATGCTTTTGTGTTTTAGTACCATTAAAACATTTGGCCTCAATTACTTTTGTGTTTCATTTTTTCTACAAAAGCTATTATTGTCCTTTTTTATAATTTTTATTAATAATAATTATAATTAACAATAAACAAAAATGATAGTTTCAATTTCCTTAATTAGAAATTATCAAAGTTATTGTTCCCTATTACTAAATATTTATTCAAATGGAAAGAAAAACTAATTTCTTTTTGTACACTACCCTTATTTCTAATTTCCCCTCTAATATCTTTCCAACAGTGGTGGAAAGCTTAGCTTATCACCGATTTCCTACTACATCTCTTCGTTCAAAAATTCCTGGTCAGTGAAAATGTTCTCACTGCCATTTTCAGTTGGAACTCACATCCCCAAAATCCTCACCACCCCAAACCCTAAGCTCCTCACAACAAAACATGTGGAAAAAACAGTCATCAAATTCTCAAACAAGAAACAAAAGACCATCTCTCCCATTGAGCAACTAAACGAGGATCCCAAGGTGTTATTGAAGAGAAGAGAAGCTGTTGGTTTTGGTTTACGTTTTGGGCTTGTTGATGTTTTGTTGCAGCTGCTGCCACAACCTAATTCCAGTGAAGCTGTTGAAGCAGCAGCAGCTCCCTGTGAATTAACTGTTAGCCCTTCTGGCTTGGCCTTCTGTGATAAGGTTGTAGGGAAGGGCCCCGAGGCTGTTAAAGGACAACTGATAAAGGTAAGTAATCCATAAATTTTCACTCACTTTTTGGTAGATATATTAAGTTCAAACATATATGTACGTTTTTATCAATTTAAGAGGTCACTGCCGAAATGGCATTCTAACGCTTTAAAGTAGTGTTATCCCATGATATGTTAAATATTGAGTTTCCTATGGTGTTATATTCAAGTTGAGCCTCTTAACTTATTGTTAATTGATTTTATGTTTGATGTTTATCATGACATGAGAGCACAGGTTGTATTATGTTGTTTTTTATGTTACTCCTGCCTATTACCCCTTCCAAGGTTGTCCAGGCTTCTATCTACCCTACACGATATGGGAGCATATTAAAATGGTGTTATCCTAAATCTTTTAAATATTGAGTTTCCTGTTTTATTATATTCAAGTGGGGTTTCTTCACTTAATTGCCAATTGATTTTAGATTCGGTGCATGACAAATGCGATAGAAACCTTCCAATTAAAACTTAATGCTTAGTTCAGATAGCCCTTGAGAAGGTCCTGTGTCAAAACAAAGTGATGGCGCGATGACCATCCTTTCCCATAAGCCATCCAAATGAAGCATAAATTAGTGTATTGGATTGTTGTATTTTCGATATCATTATCTGTTGATGATATATAGAAGATAATAATGGAGTACAACAATGGTTTGAAAGTATAATCTTATCAATTTAGTTTACAAAAATGAACAGGCACATTATGTTGGGAGATTAGAGAATGGGAAAGTTTTTGACAGCAGCTATAACCGAGGGAAGCCTCTTACATTCCGCATTGGTGTTGGTGAGGTACTTGCATTCTTTGTTTTAGTTGTTTTTCCAATAATTCTTTTCAGTTCTTTAGAACCTGGACACTGGAATTTCCAAACTGTTGGCTTGAATGTTTAATTTCAAATCTCTTCTCAATTAATACAAAAAGCAAAAGGTTTGGATCATTTCTCAATTTCTGTGTGTCATTCTGGTGCAGCAACCATGCTAATTCTCTAAAATGAAGCTTAAGGTATTTCATGTAAATTGCCACAGGTTATCAAAGGGTGGGACCAAGGTATTTTAGGTGGTGATGGAGTTCCTCCCATGCTTGCTGGTATGACATAAATCATAATCTTAAATCACTTTAAATCACTGTAACCCCTTCCTCTATCCCCAGGTTACGGCCTTTTATGTTAAAAAAAAAAAAAAAACCACTTTTACTAATCAAACGACTTGTAGTAACTGTTAACATTAAATATGTTCATGAAACTTTTTTTTTCTCCTACAAAATTTAGGGGGAAAACGAACGTTAAGGCTTCCTCCAGAACTCGGATACGGTGTTAGAGGGGCCGGTTGTAAAGGAGGTAAGCAACTACAATGTTCTTCTTCATCTGCCTTTTTTGAATTACATAGGTTAAGAAGTATAGATTTTACATTTCTTCTTGTTGATCTTTAGGCAATTAAGTTTCTTCATTGCTCTGGCCAAGAACAGGGGAAAAGGGGATAATAGAATTCTCATAGTTTTAAAATTTTGCATGTTTGGCAGGTTCATGTATTATTCCTCCGGATTCAGTTCTCTTATTTGATGTGGAATTCATTGGCAAAGCATAAAAAAAAATATAGCTTCCTTTCATCACCAAACTCAAATGAAAGCTTGGATATGAGCTGTAGTGTTCATTTTAATTTTGTGGTGAAGAGAGGGAAATTTTACAAGAAATCACACTTAATCCTTCTTTTAAGTTTTGTTATGGATTAAATGAAGTCATTGTTATGATATTTTTACATAAATTAAAATTTATTTTTTAAGTAAAGTAAGTTATACAATAACTTTTCTTTGAATTAAATGTTCAGATACAATCATGATTTTATATGTTAGTTTCAAGGACAAGGCTCCAATTTTTTATTTTAACCAATTAAAAAAAAAAAAGAAAATTTTGACCCTCTTAAATGAGAAAAGGCATAGTCTATGAGCAAGTATTTTTTTAACTAAATGGTTCACTCAGTTCCCTTAAGATGCAATTTCCCTTCTCTAATTTTCTAGGCTGTAGCCTCCTTTTATAAAAAAAAAAAAAAATCTTTAACTAAACATAATTTAGGCTTCACTATCTCATTTCTTCTGTTTTATAGCAAAAATGAGGGAAAAAAGGGATTAAATAACAAAATCATCCATCCATATGCAAGAAACTTAGTCACAGAATAAAAGATGAGAAGGGATAATAAATTAAAAAATTAATTGTCCATATTATATCCTATGATATATAATACAGAGATTAGCAGGGCACAGTCACAGGGTGATTTACAGTGCAAACTTAGTTAAGCTAAGAATGATCAATGCCTGGTTATGTCATACATCAAGTCAAAATCAAGATAGTCTCACGGCCTAACTTAAAGAAGTGCTTCCTTCGGTTATTGCTATGAATGGAATGCAACCAATGATAAATATTATGCTACAGTTATCCATGATGTGATGTGATCAAGAGGAAGGCTTTTTAAGCAGTTTTGGTAATAGCATCACAAATCTCTTTCTTCCGTTTGTTGTTATTATTGTTGCCACTCGTGTTTGCTGCTCTTACCCTGACCTTCCAGAGCATCCTCGACAAAAGATTTTAACCTCCATAGGGTGGATTCACACTGCATAAGGAATAAAGTACACTCAAACAATTCAGTATTGAACCTTGATTGAGCAGATTGGAAAGCGAAAATTACAGAAAGAAAGCAATTATTGAGTTTATCTGATTATAACCTGAGCATCAATGTCAATCTCCACCTCTTCAGCCATTGCTTGAAACCCGGGATTATTTTGAGCAATAATCTCCAATGCCTTGCTAAGATCCTTTGTAGACAATCTGGCTATGGCCGACCCAAGATTTCTTTTCTCTTCAGTTGACATTTTCCTAAAAGAGCATTTTCAAAATTAGATTTTTTGTTCCTGAAAGAATAGAAAATATCATTTAAATTGAAAACTTAACCAGGTTTTACATGCATACAAACATCTGTATATAAGACATTAAATATTCATGACAAATGCAACCTTAATTAATTTCATTAGGTCGGTTAGGGTGCAATCCAAGTAAGGCAGGCAGGACTGGGCAAACATGATCTATTGATATAATAAATTAAGCATCAGATGAAAAATCCCAAGCAACCTTATATCATAAAGAACAAAGCTTACCAGTCAACAGGCTACGTTAAAAACATATAGACTGATATATTCTACTCATCAGAATGAGTCATTCTCCATTTTTTATAGAAAAATAAGTAACACATGTACCAGGATAATTGCACATTCACAGAAAATGACAGGGAAATATAAACAAAGATAAATATGTAATGTCATATAATATAATTGCACATTTATTTTTTCTTTTCTAGGTACTTATGGTAAGCCATCTTAATTTAACTTTAATTTTTTTCATATATTATAATTTACAAAATTATATAAACATACGTATTCTTATATTTTGTAGATTCTGTTCGTAAATATTTTATCTTTACTTTTGATTTTTTAATTAATCAGGTAATATTTTTTTAATTAATTTTTTTTTCATATATTATGATGCAAAGTTACAAAAACATTTATCATTATCTTTTGTAGATGCCATTTATAAAGTTTTTATTTTTACCTTTTATTATTCACTCAGGCAATTTTTTTTTCTCTCAATTCTCTTTTTTACAATATACCAAAAGACTTTCATTATCAGTGTACTTGATTACAATTATTTAAACCTATTATTTATATCAAAGTGCTATTAAAAATAACAAGAACTTTATTGAATTTGAAAATCATATTATATAATATAAATGGCCCATTGATCATTACTTTATATAAATGTTTGTAATTTATAATTCCTCTTCTTCAAAATCATAACACTCATTTTATTTATAAAAATTTTGGGATAAATTGAAATTCAATTTGATTTCTGTCTTTTTTATTTTTTTTAGATTTTTTTCTTTCTCCAATATTTTTAATTTTATCAATTTTTAATTAAAAACTATTTTTATTATGATTTGATATATTAATTATATTATTTATATTTTACATACATTTTGAAAATATAAATGATTAAATAATATTAATTTTTATTTAAATAAAATAAAAATAATCTATATATCGCATGAATAACAAACTAATTAAAATATAAAATGGTAGAACGTGTAAAAAAAATGTAAATTTAATTTTATTTGTTTCATTCATTTAACCAAAAAGAAAAATACATTATCTTATTTTTATTATTTTTACAAATAATATATTAAAATTAATATTTTAGGAGAATTAAATTTAAAATTTTTACAAATAAATATTTTTTACTTTTTACTTCAAAAAATTAAAACACGAACAAATCTAAATAATTTTTTTGATTTAAGATCAGACTTGTATAATAAATAAGACTTATATTATCAAATTGAGTTAATCTTATGCACGTTTGAAGCTTATTAATATTTCGTTAAAATTTGAATTTGATTCAGCATAACAAATCTAAAATTATTAGTAGTTTTTTTTAATTTCTTTAATTAAGAAAGAAAAACCATTGAATAAAAATCCAAAATATATATATGCCAAATTGCAAATACTTGATTTAAGTAAATAGTAAAATATATATGTAAAAAAATAATCTGCATGTAACAAACATAAATTTAGATGGGTTAAAACCAATAAAAAGGAAAATTTGTTGACTATAATAATATTAGTGGAATTTTCATACTTCATCGAGAATTTTAGATAATTATTACATGTTTTATTAAAAAAATATAAAAAATTATTAGATCATCTGTTGCAAAATTTTAAAAATTTACAATGAAAATAATAATTCTAGCAACAATTTTAGATTTTAAAATCAACAAAACAAAATCCCTTTAATGCCCAATCCTGTCACGAGTGCGAGGACCACAACCTTTACACATGTGGAATACATGAAGCCTTGGCCAATGCACTAGCGAGTTGAGCTCTACACCTTAACAGACCCCAAAGGTGGCTTCTCCTGCCACCACCACCAGAGTCGCCACTGCAACTCTTACCGGCAGCCACCACCTCTAGATCACCGCTGGCCGCCGGAGGAAACATGGGTGATGGATTTCTTCTACTTTGTCTTTTCTTTATGTCACTTAGTTCCATCTTTGGTGGCATCTTTGCTAACCCTATTAAAACCTTCTGTTTTCTTGAAAAAGAACAGCTTTGAGACCTGAAACTTTTGGTTGATAAAGAAGAATTTGGCTTTGAATTCACTAAATAAATAGAACCCAAATCTTTTTTCTTGTTGTTTAATAGCCTGGCTGAAGATAGAGGGAAAAGATACCGACTTTGACCATCATCATCACCATCAAAACCTTGTTCCTTAATGAGTTTACCACAGAAAACGATGTCTTTGTTCTTGCGTAAGGAAGTGTTTGGAATGAAGGGAAACTCAAAATGTTCATAAGAAGGAGAGTTTGGTGATTTGTTGAAAGAAAGGGATTGATCAATGTCTTGGTCTTCAAGTGGAAGGTCACAAAAAGAAAGAGTTTCTTCAAGTTCTTCTTGGTTGATGCTGTAAGTGTATTTGTGATCCATTTTCTTTTGCTGTTGCAGCAAGAAAATGGGTTTTTTCAAGAGAATTGAAATGAGAAAGAAAAGTGGAGAATCAAAGGAAAGAAAATCAAATGACTTGGTTTTTGGAAAGTTTGATAAGCAAATTTTCTTTTATATACACGTGTTGCTTCGGGAAGGAGAGCTTCTAGAGGGAGAAGTTGTTAAAAACATGGGATACTTATTGCTTTGAGAGAAAGGCTTCTAGAGGCAGGGAAAGGTTTAACAAGTGAGGGAGAACAAACAAATAAATTAATAACCACAGCAGCCTGTCTAGAAGAGTAGACAATGAAACAGGGGAAATAAATGACTGTGGAAATATGAAAGAAGAATATATATATATATATATATATATATATAAACTAAGTTGATCTAGAAAGATAAATCATCATGTCCATTCAGTCATGAAGTTTTTAAATTTTATTATCAAGATTAATAAAATAATGTATATTTTTCAAGATATAATAAAAAATAATTAAAAAAATATATGATAATTTTTTAATTTCATTTATAAAATTAAAAAATTATACTGTAAATGTATAACTCTTATATAAAACCAAGTTTTATCTAGGAAGATAAGTGGGATTGATCTTTATTCTCCATATGTATACTCCAAATGAGAAAATAATTGGACCAATTAGCTCTTTCTATTTTAAGGAAAAACGAAGATCAAATATTAAAAAGTTATGATTAATATGTGTAGAATTTTTTAATTATTTATTTCATAATCATGTATAGAATAATAATTATATAATAATTTTCTTTTATTAAAAATAAAATAATTATGTTGACCTAGTACTTGAATGAACTAAAAATTAAATCATTAGATTACTAAATACTTTTCAATTTTCATTCAATGGGCTCAATCGAAGCCCAAATTTTTAAAATAAGAATAAAAGGGGGCACTCCGAGAATTGAACTCGGGACCTCTCGCACCCTAAGCGAGAATCATACCACTAGACCAAGTGCCCTTGACGGCAGGGGTCTTCGAAATGAAATTGAAATGACAATGAAAGAGAAAAAACAATTTAAAAATCTCACAAATGAAGAAACCCTCATTTGTTTTCATTTCTCAGTCCCGGACAGCTGATAGAAATGGCGAGGGCTGCTGTCTTCAACCTCCTTAGATCCCAATCCAAGCAACTCATTTCAAGAAACATCCATTCAGGTTCTCCTTTTCTTTACTTTCAAACCCTTTTTTTTTTTTTTCCATTTTTTTAGATACCCAATTTAGACGTTTGAATCTAATATCTGAATTAGGCTAAAAGACTAAAACCCATGTTTGGTAATCGTCTTTATGATTTGTTCTGTAGTTGAAACTTGAGGCTTTTCCTTCGATTTTGAAATTGGGTTTTTTATTTTTCTAAGTTATAACAATTAATATTAACATAAACATATTATAGAAGGAAAAATATTGGATTTTTATGTTGTTGGGGTGTGCCATTTTTCTAAAGAAGCAATCTTTTTTTTATGGGTTTCTGATAATTTTAGTGTTAGTGATTTACAAAATATTAATGGGTTTTTAGTTATAGGAAGTGGTTGAAATTGTGACTTGTGAATTCCTTCCAATGTCTGTAAGATATTTTGACTGCTTATCTACGAGAACCATTATTGCAATAAGACCAAGTTAGTTTAAAGCAAGTTAAAAGCATCTAGTATGGCTGTTGTTTATGGCTATGGATATGTAGTATGTGAAACCAAACCACTCACAGAGAAGTACTTTAAAGTTTCATGGCTCAAAGTATGTCGGAAGGGGGGATTTGCATTAAGTTATTGCATGATAGAGTGCTTGAAAAACAAGGAAGGTTGCACATCTGTTGAACACCTTCATTAAAATCTCCTTTGCTTGCATATTTTGGCTACTGATAGTTCTGTTGTTCTATGGCTATGCACCTATATTATGTGAAGCCAAACCACTCACTGGCAAGTACTTTGAACCTCCATTGCTCAAAGTGGGTCAGAAAGGGAGATTTGCATTAAGTTATTGTATGATAGAGCTTGAAAAACAAGGAAGGGTGGACATCTTTTGAACATCTTCATTAAAATCTCCTTTGCTTGCATATTTTGGCTACTGATTGGTTTCTATTTGTTGCTACTCTTGCTTTGCTTATAGTTTCACCATTCATGATATGACCTGTACATGACTAGTTTTTTCCAATCACCGAGGCATTTGATCTACCTAGACCACATTCAGGATTTATTTGTGCCAATAATTGCCACTCATCAACAGCTCAATCCTGATATGATTTGTGGATATTACTTTAGTAGCATGTTCCTTACAATATCACCTTACCGGTATTTGATCTAATCCCCAATCTTTTTTGAATATAGGAGAAGTTGGGGATGTGTTGTTTCTCGAATTCATTAATTTTCCTTTGGTCATTGTTCAACAAGCTGTAATGAAGGAAACTTTAAAACATATAGGACTCTAACTACTTACAAGTGTAAAACTTGGGAAGTCTACTATATATGTGTTAAAAATTGTAACAGGACATGTAGTTTTTTTTTGCAAGAAAAAAGTTAATCTGGATAGCACTCGAATCAGAAAAGGAAAAGTTTGCACAGTTTACTGGATATTCCATTTTGTAATATATTTTGGTCTGGAATGTCGTGTTAAGACTTAATGCATGAAATTATGTTTCATAATGCTTCTTGTTAGCATTATATAATTTGGATGTTATGTCTGCTGTAATTATATTATTAGTCTACAACATTTTATTCTTCTCTTGCACATCTGTATGTGGAAGTTGTAATAGCTTGTTATAAAATAGAAAACACAAATTTTCTAAGCTCAATTGTATCTGACTTTACGGTGCATGATCTTGTCACTGCTTTAGGTTATCCTTGTAGGGTTGCAACATGGTCCCACACCCAATGTGCCAAATCCAACTTCAACTCCGCAACAAGCATTTTCACTGCCCAGAAAAGATGGGCTTCTCAAGCTAAGACAACTGAGGATGACAACAAAATCAGCATCGGTCCTCGTAAAGACAGAGAAGATGACAAAGATAAGAAGGATGCTGGGATTGTTTACTATGGTCCAATTTCATCTACCCTCAAGAAAGTAAAGATGCTTTCTCTTTCAACCTGCTGCCTCTCAGTATCCTTGGGCCCTGTCATTACATTCATGACTTCTCCTGGCATGAATGTGATTCTGAAAGGTGCAGTGGCATCCTCCGTGATATTCTTCAGTGCTACAACAACTGCTGCACTTCACTGGTTTGTGAGCCCTTACATCCACAAGATCAGGTGGAAGCCTGGTTCAGACAGCTTTGAGGTGGAGATGATGTCATGGTTGGCAACATATATTCCACGAACCATCAAGTTTGCTGACATCCGTCCACCAGAGACCAACAGGCCCTTTGTGACATTTAAAGCCAATGGGAACTTCTACTTTGTAGATACAGAGCACTGTCATAACAAGGCTTTGTTGGCGAGACTCACACCCCAGAAAGCAACTAATGAATCAGCTCTTAAGAACATATGATTGGAAAGGTCAGGAGCTCGTGCAAATTTCATCATTAAGATGAATGATCTATAGTTTTGGATTTATGATAAGCCATGAATAGGTTCAACCCTTTTTCTGGATAAGCCTGTTGATTACAGAAACACAAAACTTTCGTTGGTTTAACTAGAATTTCAGTCTATTGCTGCTTCTTGTTTTTGATCTACTGGCTTTCTACGAGTAATAAAAATTTTATTTACTTGAAACTTGTAATGCATCGATGACTGGAAGCTAAATTTTCAGGATAATCTTTGCAGCAATTGTTCAGTCAGGATCACGAGAGCATAACAATAGCAATGGTAGAAAAGATCTCAGTGCATAGCAATTACCATGTTTGGCAATTATGAGTGACAAGTTATGTTACTAATTACTACCAATATTTAACAGCAAATGCAAATTACAGGCTTAGACCACTTTTTTCTTTTGGTGTTTTGGGTTATAACTGGAGTTTCAATTCGAAATCTTCAACCTCGAAGCTGACTTCGGTACCACTGTTAGCTCTGTGAGCTAACAGCTCTTAAATAGGAAAAGTAATAAGAGAATCATAACAACCCTACAACGAATAATAGATAAATTTATCAAAAGATTCAAAACACAACAAATTTATTTTAATTACCCAAGTAAAAAGCTCATAACACCCTCTTAAGTTTTCAACTGCTCAGATCCCAATCCAAGCAACTCGATTCAACAAACATCCATTGAAGTTCTATTTTTCTATGTTTTCATACCCATTTTTCATTAACAGAAACTCATTTCAATAGATAAATTATTGAGTTATAAGGAATTTTGAAGATAACAATTGAAGTGTGCTTAGTACCACCACACCACACTAATCTAATAGTAATTATACGGTAGGCAAAAGTATAACTGGAAAACAGACAAAGTTTAGATGATATAAATTGTTGACAAAACATTCAAGGAGAGGAGGCCAAGGACAGACCTAAAACTCCTGAGCTGAACAATGGTGAAAAATAGGAACACAGAATTACAGACACCATTTAAAAAAGTTTATAATTAATAAAGACAAAGCAAAAGCACACTAGGGACTTTGTAAATAAAACCTCACCACCGCCTATCAAGAACCCAGTTCTGTGAACAATATCCTCGAGAAGTCGGTGAGAACTTAAAACTATAACCATCAAAACAAGTGATTAAACGTCCAATGATGGATGAACATCTAACAAGAACCAAACTTTTATTGCAGTAACCATGATATACTTTTGTTGAATCTACCAAAACCCGCTCGGTTCACTTGCCACCCTTCTTGGCTGCAGATTTGGTAACCTTGGCTCCACTTGGATCCTTCTTCTCCACGCTCTTGATGACACCAACAGCAACAGTCTGCCTCATGTCCCTAACAGCAAAACGCCCAAGTGGAGGGTACGCGGAGAAGGTTTCTACAACCATAGGCTTGGTGGGAATCATCTTAACAAATCCAGCATCACCATTCTTCAAGAACTTGGGCTCCTTCTCAAGCTCCTTACCAGAACGCCTGTCAATCTTGGTCAAGAGCTCTGCAAACTTGACAGCGATGTGGGAGGTGTGACAATCAAGGACAGGAGCATATCCATTTCCAATCTGCCCTGGGTGGTTCATGATGATGACTTGGGAAGTGAAGTTGGCTGCCTCCTTGGCAGGATCATCCTTGGAGTTTGAGGCAACATATCCTCGCTTGAGATCCTTGACAGCAACATTCTTGACATTGAAACCAACATTGTCACCAGGAAGAGCCTCCTGAAGGGCCTCATGATGCATCTCAACAGACTTAACTTCAGTAGTCAATCCAGTCGGACCAAAGGTAACAACCATAGCAGGCTTGAGGACACCAGTTTCAACACGACCCACGGGAACAGTTCCAATACCCCCAATCTTGTAGACATCCTGAAGTGGGAGACGTAGGGGTTTGTCAGATGGTCTTTTGGGCTCATTGATCTGGTCAAGTGACTCGAGGAGGGTTGGACCCTTGTACCAGTCGAGATTGGTGGACCTCTCAATCATGTTGTCGCCCTCAAAACCAGATATGGGGACAAATGGAATCTTTTCAGGGTTGTAACCAACCTTCTTCAGGTAGGAAGAAACTTCCTTCACAATTTCATCATACCTTGCCTTTGAGTATTTGGGGGTGGTGGCATCCATCTGTACAGAAATTAATAGAATAATTAGCAACAAAAAACCAATAAAAAATAACTAGCTGAAGTTGAAGAACTATTCAACTCCATACTAAAAAAAAGGTAAAATTCTACCTTGTTGCAGCAGCAAATCATTTGCTTCACACCAAGAGTGAAGGCAAGGAGAGCATGCTCACGGGTCTGTCCATCCTTGGAAATACCAGCTTCAAAACCACCAGTGGTGGAGTCTATGATAAGAACAGCACAGTCAGCCTGAGAGGTACCGGTAATCATGTTCTTGATAAAGTCACGATGCCCAGGGGCATCAATGACAGTGCAGTAGTATTTGGTGGTCTCAAATTTCCACAAGGCAATATCAATGGTAATACCACGCTCACGCTCAGCCTTCAACTTGTCAAGCACCCAGGCATACTTGAAAGACCTCTTGTTCATCTCGGCAGCTTCCTTCTCGAACCTCTCAATCACACGCTTGTCAATACCTCCAAGCTTGTAGATCAAGTGACCAGTGGTAGTCGACTTTCCAGAATCGACATGACCAATAACCACAATGTTAATGTGAACCTTCTCCTTACCCATTATGCAGTATTAGCTTGGAGCTGCAACAACAATACATAAAATGTAAAACCCAAATCTACATGTAAACAATCAGCAAAATGAGCAGCTAGAAAAAAAATTAACATGTTAAACCCAATACAGATTTACCCCCCAGCCCAGAGGAATACGCAATATAAACACTTCCCAATTTATTTTAGTTTCGTCATGGGTTTAAAATTGAACAAAAGACTAAAATTTAGCATTCATTCCAATAATTTGTCCTCCAAATAATTATTTCAGTTCTGATTGCTTCAATTCTTCTTTGCTATTGTATCCAAATAAGTAGCAAAAGCATTCCACTTATTCAAAAGAACGAACAAGTAATAATAGAATGATTTTACTTTTATATAAACAATTATAACAAAATTTACCATTCAGTTTTGACTGTTGGTAAATTTTTTTAGGATGCAAAAAAAGCCAAAAAAACAAAACCCAAATAATTCACTAATTTCATAAAATCAAATCAAACCTGCCTAACAAATAGACTTATTTTAGGGTCTCAGAATTTAAAACAAAACAAAAGTTAATGATTGAATCATTTAAAAGAAATGATTTGATCACAACAAAATCATAAAATAAATTTTCCTCAATGTATTAACAAAATAACACAAATCAAGCCGTTTTAATTTAATTTTACTTCATATCATATTCATAATTTACTCATACTAGAAAACATATCTATAAAAAAAAAAAAAATACAACGATCTTAAAAGACAACAATATCTCATAAAAATCAAATCAGATCTTCGAATTATCATATTTACAATAAATCTAATAAACACAAACGAATTAAAGCAAAACAAGAAAAAGGATCTTAATTCGAAAAATAAACAGAAAACTGATCTCAGAAATTACAATAAAAATGAAAATAAGATCCTAAAACATCAGACTATATATATATATATATATATAATAAGCAACAAATAAAGCCAGAGAATAAAAATCAGGAAAAACAAGAAATGCAACAAATAAAGCCAGAGAATAAAATTCAGGAAAAACAAGAAATGAATTAAGCAATTAAAAGGAAGAGAAAATGAATTCAAAACTCAGGATCTGAAAATCGAACCTTTCAAAAAGAGAGATCTGAAGCTAAAACCCTAGCGGCTAAGCAGAAGAGAGAAAATAGGAGAGTGAGCGAGGGGTCTGGGAGTGCGCCTCTCGTTCATCTTTATAGTCAGGTTTTCACCTTTTATTACCTAAAATACCCTTTTTCAGATTTGCTTTGACAAATATGTCCTACGGTTTCTTTTAGCAGGGGAGGCTTCATTTTCACGTGCGTGGAGTATGACGTGGTTTAAACGGACTCTTGCTATTGGGAAGGTGATATTACGCGCTTAACAGAAGAATGGGATGGTTTACTTTTGGTTTTCGGGTGCGGGTCGGGGTTAGATTGGATGATCCGGAAATGTCGTCGAAAATTAGGAGCTGAGAAGTGCTTTTGACAACGCACCTTGGGAAAAGCTTGGGGAGAACGAAAAGGTGGAAACGACGTCGTTATCATTTCTTTAAGGAAAAAATCTTTCCCATTCATGGTGGGGTGTGGGGGTCATGCTCGTTACCCACCGCTACTTGAACCGAATAAGTCAATAACCATGTACCATGTCGACATTTGAAAAAAAAAAAAGAATAAATTATTATAGATGTCGAGAATCAATCCAAGAACCAGATTAGGCTCACGCACAAGGGACATGCAAATCACTTTCCTTACGGCATTTTACGAATGAGATTGATTATTATTATGAAATTACAAACAGAAGTAGTAAGTGAAATTGAGAGATTAAAATCACTATGGAAACATTGTTCTTTTGGTCAAAACAACGGTTGAGGGTGTGATGAAATGCATTGATGGACAAACTATAGGAGCCAGAGAGAGTCCGGCCACTTTAAAATTTATAAAACTCCTTTAATTTTATTATTTTTTTCGCCTCAAATTATTTAGACTGTATTAATTTTTATTAAATTAAAAAAATAATTTTAATATATTTAATATTAAACTTAAAAAATTTTTATAAATTAAAGTTCTATAGTTTTTAATGTTAAAAAGTAAAAAAAAAAATCATAAAAAATAAAAGTTTTAGATATTAAAAAAAACATAATTTTAAAATATCCTAAAAAGAAAAAATGAACAAAAAAAAAAGAAACAAAAAGAGTAAATAGTTATATTAAATAAATATGAATTGACTCCCTCAAATTAAAATTATTATATTTTTATTTTATTTATTTATTTTTATGCATCTTAATTTTATAAATTATAATTTATGAAAGTTAAAATGTTATTGTTATTTAGCTATTTATTTATTACACTTATCACTAATTATTTATAAACCATTAAAATTAATAAATTTGTCAAAAATGTTACAACGCAACACAATCATGTAAGTTGATTTTCTACCCCCCTCAGCAAGTCTAAATTGTGAAAATGATTTTACGGGCAACACACCAATTAAAATCGATTCACACAAATTACGGATTTGAAGGAAATTTGCGGATAATGATAGGAGGGTATTTATACTACTTTTCCTACACTACAGTTATTTTTAAAATGGCTAAAAATATATTGGAAGAATTATAACAGTGAAACTAATAAAGTTTGAACAACATGGATAGGTTGACAGGAACATTCCCGGAGAAAAGCATAGGAACAGACCTAAAACTCCTGAGCTGATCATGGTGGCAAATAATACAGAAACGACACCGTTTAAAGTTTATAACAGTCATAAGACACAGCAAAAACACACTACGTACTCTAAACAAAAACCTCACCACCGCCTATCAAGAACCCAGTTCTGTGAATAATATCCTCGAGAAGACGGTGATGACTTAAAACCACAAACATCAAAACAAGTAACTAAACATCCAATGATGGATGACCTACTAACAAGATCCAAAGCTTTATTGGAGTAACCATGATAAACTTTTGTTGAATCTACCAAAACCCGCTCGGTTCACTTGCCACCCTTCTTGGCTGCAGACTTGGTCACCTTGGCTCCACTTGGATCCTTCTTCTCTACACTCTTGATGACACCAACTGCAACAGTCTGCCTCATGTCCCTCACGGCAAAACGCCCAAGTGGGGGGTATGCGGAGAAGGTTTCTACAACCATAGGCTTGGTGGGAATCATCTTAACAAATCCAGCATCACCGTTCTTCAAGAATTTGGGCTCCTTCTCAAGCTCCTTACCAGAACGCCTGTCAATCTTGGTCAAGAGCTCTGCAAACTTGACAGCGATGTGGGAGGTGTGGCAATCAAGGACAGGAGCATATCCATTTCCAATCTGTCCTGGATGGTTCATTATGATGACTTGGGAAGTGAAGTTGGCTGCCTCTTTAGCAGGATCATCCTTGGAGTTTGAGGCAACATATCCTCGCTTGAGATCCTTGACAGCAACATTCTTGACATTGAACCCAACATTGTCACCAGGAAGAGCCTCCTGAAGAGCCTCATGGTGCATCTCAACAGACTTAACTTCAGTGGTCAATCCAGTCGGACCAAAGGTAACAACCATAGCAGGCTTGAGGATACCAGTTTCAACACGACCCACAGGAACAGTTCCAATACCTCCAATCTTGTAGACATCCTGAAGTGGGAGACGTAGGGGTTTGTCAGATGGTCTTTTGGGCTCATTGATCTGGTCAAGTGACTCGAGGAGGGTTGGACCCTTGTACCAGTCGAGATTGGTGGACCTCTCAATCATGTTGTCACCCTCAAAACCAGATATGGGGACAAATGGAATCTTCTCAGGGTTGTAACCAACCTTCTTCAGGTAGGAAGAAACTTCCTTCACAATTTCATCATACCTTGCTTTTGAGTATTTGGGGGTGGTGGCATCCATCTGTCAAGGAAACGAATAGATATATCATATATATGAATAATTACTAATTAGTAGGCAACCACTTAGAAAACATTAAATAATTACTGGGCAACCAATTAGAAACTACTGAACTTAAAATCATGAATGCAATAACTTACCTTGTTGCAGCAGCAAATCATTTGCTTGACACCAAGAGTGAAAGCAAGCAGAGCATGCTCACGGGTCTGTCCATCCTTGGAAATACCAGCCTCAAAACCTCCAGTGGTAGAGTCAATGATAAGGACAGCACAGTCAGCCTGAGAGGTACCAGTAATCATGTTCTTGATAAAGTCACGATGTCCAGGAGCATCAATAACAGTGCAGTAGTATTTGGTGGTCTCAAACTTCCACAAGGCAATATCAATGGTAATACCACGCTCACGCTCAGCCTTCAACTTGTCAAGCACCCAAGCATACTTGAATGACCTCTTGTTCATCTCAGCAGCTTCCTTCTCGAACCTCTCAATGACACGCTTGTCAATGCCTCCAAGCTTGTATATCAAGTGACCAGTGGTGGTTGACTTTCCAGAGTCGACATGGCCAATAACCACAATGTTAATGTGAACCTTCTCCTTACCCATTATGCAGTATTAGCTAGGAGCTGCACCAACATATACGAAAAAAAGGTTAAACCAGAATCCTATATATAAAGAATCAGTAAAAAGACCAGCCAAAAACAATGAACATGCTAAACCCAGTGCCGATTCACCCCCCCCCCCCAACCAACTCCTCAATGAAAACACAATGAACATGTAAAGGGTTACCAATATTTAATTTAGTTTCATCATGGGTTTAAAATTGAACAAAAGACTAAAACTACAACATCAGTTCTAACATCATAGTTCCCACTTCATGATTTAAAAGCAAAAATTAAGTAGCAAATACAATAATTAAACAATACCCAAACAAATGCACTGATTTTAGAGTGTCTCCAAAGTTTTAAAAAAATGGTTGAAACATAGATTGATTCATAAAAATGGCTTAATCACACCAAAATCCTAAAACAAAAAATGATTAAATAAACATATCTATAACCAAAATATCAATACAACGATCTTAAGAAAACAATTTCTGATAAAAAAATCACATCTCTGAATTATTATCATTACATCAAATCTAATAACAATATAACAGAATCAAAACACAAAGAATTAAAGCAAAACAAGAAGCGATCTCATCCAAGAAAAAACAAGAAAGAGCAAACAGATCATTCTAAATTATAATAAATATAAAAATAAGACCTTAAAACGGTAAACAAAGCCAGCGAATCGAAACCAGGAAAACCAAATAAATGAATTAATGGATTAAAAGGATCTGAAAATCGAACCTTCTAAAAAGGGAGAGAGATTTGAAGCTAAAACCCCAGCTGACGGCCAAGCAGAAGAGAGATAATAAGAGAGTGAGTGATAGGGTTTCTAACGAGCCTCTCGTTTTATTTCTTACATTCAGGTTTTGGCTATTTTATCTTTCCTAAAATGCCCTTTTTCGGATTTATTTTGGCATATATACGATAAGATGTAAAGGAATAGAGCTTCCAAGAATTGTCGTGAATATATTCTATTTTTATTTGTTTATTAAATTTAATAATGACGTTGAATAGCATTTTTCATATTTATTTATTAAATAAATTAAATATAAATAAAAATTTATTCAATTTATTTATATTTATGAATAAATTCACTTAAAATTTATTTATTTATTATTCATTTGTAATAATATTAATAAAATTATATTTTTATCATTTATTTTAATTTTATTTTTAAATTTATTTATATTTATTTGAATTCGTTTATTTTTTGTAAATTTATTTATTTAAATTTATTTAATTATAACTTTTTATTATTCATGAATATATTTATTTATATATAATTATAAATATGTTCTTTAAATATTTACGAATAAATTCGTTTAATTTAATTAAATCGAATATAAATTAAATATAAATATTTTATTATTTAAATTAATTGAGTTTAAATAAATTAAATAATTTTTTTATTAAATACGAATTGAATTTAAATATTTTAAAAATAAATAAATTAATTAAAATTATATATTTATTCCAATAGTTTATAACTTTAAATATATCTACTTTGAGTACGACATGGTTTAGACGGACACTTGTCTTTGGTACGTGATAATATCCGTTTAGTTTGAGAATTGATTTGATTTTCTTTTGGTTTTCCGGTTTGGACCAAAGTTAGATTGGATGATGGATGAATGTAGTGGAAAATAAAAAATTTACTAGGACACGAAATCCTTCGGTGAGAGAATTATTAAAAAAATATAAATTGTACATTATTTATAAATTATAATGACGTAAGTATCAAACATGAGAGAGTTTATAGCATGTAAATATTAATAAGAGTTTAAGGTTGAGAAAAGTTTAGACTAGAGGATGGTAGTTTATAGGGTTGGTAATTTAATATATTTTTGATGGGTTTCAATTTGATCTGATTTTATGGGATCGAATTTTTTTTTTTAATTCGAGTTTCGAGTTGAGTAAGATTATGAAACAATCTGGGTCGAGACGGGTTCAAGTTTTAAGTAGATTCGATCTGATATTATATAAAAATTTATTTTTTAATTAATTATTTAATTATTTATATATTTTATATAATGATATTTTTAAATATTTATATTTAAAAATAATATTTTATTAATTTTAGATCGAATCAAGTACCATTTATATAGTATCAGGTCGAAGTCGAGTTCTGATATGAAAAAACAAAAAAAAATTCGAGTATGATTGGGTTCGGATTTGATAACACATAAAATTAAGTCGAATTCGAAGTGAGTAAAACCCGTTTTGAATTTGACCCGATGTCAACTCTAATAGTTTATATCATATGTATAACAAAGGTTTATATTAAATTTACAAATCATTAAAAAAAAAGATGACTGGCAACAAAAATTAACTTACATACAAACAAAAATTTGATCTTTACTAACTCAATCTATCTTATTCACAAATATTAAAAGTTTTAAAATGAAAAAACTAAATTCAAAATTTAAGATAAATACTGAATAATTAACGGATAAATTAAGAGGACAATAATAATTTCGATAAAGAACACAAAACTAAATGTATTTATGGATTGAGTTTGGATTAAATCTTGACATAGTATTAACATTATACATCAAAACAAATAATTGACATCATCAATTTTTTCGTACCTCAAATTTTATCAAATTAGCATCGCTAAATTATACCATCAGTTTCTATTTTCAATTGAAATTGAAGATTTAATTTATATTATCTAATTCATACAAATATAATCTTTATACTAAATTAATTTAATAATTTTAGTTTAATTTTATTTCATATCTGTTGAAAATTAAGTATCGATTTCATATATAATATAAATTAGCATCACTAATTTATACCATCAGTTTTCTATACTCAATTGAAATTTGAGATTTAATTTATATTGTCTAATTCATACAAATATAATTTTTATACTAAAATTAATTTGATAATTTTAGTTTAATTTTATTTCATATACGTTGAGAATTAAGTACCGATTTCTAATTTTAGTTAATTTTTAAAACCATGATTTTGATTTATAATTTTATTTGAAAACACTGCTAAATTTGTAACATTTGGTAGGTAATCTAACATCTAAATTTCTAACACTCTATTTGAGAGTCCAATTGGAGGTCTCTCACCATATAAAGTGTATTTTATAGTTAGATCTCATTCGAACTTTAAAATGAACTTTAAATTATTAGTTTCCTTCAACGGAAAAACTTATATAAAAAAAAAAAAGTGAAAATTAGTAAACAAACTGACCAATTTGTAGAAAATATGTCTAAAGTTAGACCACTTAATTTCTTTTGATTTCTTATAAATATGTATGGACTATGCTATAGAAAATAGAATTCGAATAAGTCAAACTTGGTAGGCACTTAATCTTATGCATTTTCTCTTGAAACCAATAGTGTATTTTTCAAAGTTGCTTGGACGTTAGGGTGCTGACATATTGAGGTTTGAACAAGGTTTAGGTTTGAATTATAGGATATGATCAAACCAATCAAACATTCACAATGATGGATTCAGAAAATTTTTTTAGAGTATTCACTTATAATATAGATAAAATTTATGAAAAATTTTATTAATTTTATTGACAGAATTTATTAATTTTTTGATGGAAAAGGTTTCAAATTTTCTTCAAATTTTTATATTTTTCTAATTTTTAGGTGTTTTATAAAAATAAAATTTGAGAATTTCTAGTTAAAAATTATCTTCAAACTTTCAAAAATTTCAATTTTTGATAAGCTAATAAACACCATAGCATCAAAGGTATATCTACCATTAAATATAGAAAAAAAAATCAATTGGAAAACAGTTTAAACATGTCATAAATCTAGGATTATTGCGTTTAGACTCTTTTACTTTGTGTGATTTCATATTTCTAACAAAATTCATAACTCGAAAATCTTATATTCGTATCGTATTTAAAAAAAAAATATTATTTATAAATATTATAATACAATTAATCAATCATAATTTAATATTATGTGAGGTTTAATTCATACTTTTAAAAAATAAATTTTTACATAATTTTTTATTGTGATTAACTAATTATAATAATATAATAAATATAATTATAAGTTATGTATGTCCATTTTAAAAGTATGATTTATAAAATTACTATCATTGCATCAAATTTACAGAATTCACTTTGAATTGACTATTCTAACTTCTTACACATGTTATAATTTGTCTGAACTTCTTGTAAATAAAAAAATAATTAACGAATTTTTTTTTCAAATTTGAAAGTTGAAACTTGCATTTTCTAATAATCTCCCCCATGATCTTGGGTTGCAAAGAAAATTAATACAAATTTGTTTTTCCTTAAAATTAATTTTTTAAAAAATATTCTTAATTATTTCCTCCCTTTTGTTTTCTTCTGTGTTTAATTTTAAGGTTATGCATTAAAATTTTACATTTTTTTCTAAATAGTAAAAATATTTGACACTAACCTACCATTTAGATCCAAAATTACACCTGTTTTTAGATATTTTATTTTTTATTCTTTGTCGGGCACTCTGGCCCAATGCGTACTTTTGGGCCCCATTATGAGGTCCCTGCAGTCAATGGCATTAAAGAATTGTCTTCGGGTGGACCCCATAACATTTTGGAACTTCAAAACCGAAAGCATAATCAAAACAAAAGCGAAGTAAAAATACAAAAGAAAAATTTCAGCCTCAGCAAAATCAAGAGCACTTGATTCAAAATAAAAATAAAAAAGACCCAAAATTTTACAATTTGAAACAAAAGTTTTAAAACCTTTGTATAATCAAATAGATTGAAACTAATTATTTTATTGTAATTTTGCTTTTTGAATATGATATTTTTCTTTCTCATTCTAATAAAAAATATTAAAAAATAAATTAATAACACTTATAATTCTTAAACTTTGATTCAAATTTTATTTTGATATCTAAATTTTAAAAATTTTAATTGAATCCTTATTCGTTTAATGTTGACATATTTTAATCTTTTATCTATAAAATCATTTAAATTGATAGTAAATGTCACGTGATAACATCAATAAATATCTCACGTGACAGATGATGAATTAAAATAAATTTTTTTAAAAAATTTATGAATTAAAAATAAAATTATCTCCAACATTTTATAAATTTCATACATATATTATAAAAAAATAAATTTCGAAACATAAATAACTAAAAAAATATTTTTTTTAGAATATAAAATTATTATCCTATTATAAAACATAATTTTCAATGCAATAAAAATCTTATAATCGAGCTCTCAAATGACTCTAATCAATTGCCAAAAAGTTTAGGCTTTAAGTAGTTAACCAATTTAGACCCTTCATTTTCACAATTTTTTTTTAAAGTTTTATTCTCCTTTTAATGCGAAAAAGACAATATTAATGTTGGTAGTCAAAGAAAGTGCATTTAGAAAAGCCATCATCTAGAAGTCTTGTGACTCAAAAAAGTATCATTATTTTTATTTTAATATTTTTATTTCTCTAGAAGCCATCTTAATCATATCAAATCAATCAAAATTTCTAAAGCTCCTTGTGTATATATGTCTTTGAACATGTTTTTCACTCTCCGATAAACCGAGTTTTCCTTCATCAAATCAAACCTTTCTTCCCTGTGTTGTTCATACTTTTCTTTTTCTTTCCGATGGGTGCTGAGGGATTAAATTATAGCCTGGAAACTATGCAACAAATCAATGAAGAGTTTGGAGATGAAGCAGATGAAGAAACACTTTCTCTTTGTGATCTTGTGATGAGCAGTGATGTAAATGAGTATTGGAATGATGATTTCTCCAAAGAAGATCATCATCATGATCAAGATTTCTTTGAGTTCTTCAGTGAAGATTTTCCTGCTGCAGCAGCCTCAAGTACTTATCCTGAGGATAATAACATCATTTTCTGTGGGAAACTCATTCCTTTGAAAGAAGATGTCAAGCAAGAAAATGAAAAGAAGAAGAAGAACATCAGCAGCTGCATTTTTCCATGGAAAAAGTCATCACATTCAATATTCAACAAGTCAAGAACATTTCCTTCATCATCATCATCATCAGCAAAAGAATCACGAGGAAAGAGTTTCAACAAGTCTTTGTCATTGCCAGCTTGGGGCTCCAAAAATAACCATGGGAAATTTGGGAGTGAAATTAAGAAATTGGGTGATGATGAAAAGTTTGACTTTTCTGTTAAGAAAGTATCGATATTAGCAACTCCAGTCAAGTCAAGATGGTATTTGTTTGCATTTGGAGTGGGAAGATTTCCAATGGAGATTGAGCTTAAGAACATGAAGATGAGGCAGAGCAGGAGGAAGAGTAAGGCAATGAAGTTTCAAGTACCGGACTGCGGCGAACCGGAAAATGTCAAGGGTGATAAGGAAAGGAGGAGATCAACCAAGGGTTTGTGGAGGTTGCTTAAGGTTTTAGGGTGGAATATTAAGTATACGAATGCTTCTGTAATTTTTTAATCTTAATGCCACAAGATATAAAATCATTCAAATTACTAGTCCATTATTTTATGGATGGACAAAAATTACATCAAGGTGAAATTTATGATTTTTTTTATAAAAAATAATTTAATTAAAAACACAAATCAATAAATTAATAAAATTTAATGTAAAAATTAATAATATGTAAAAAATTATTAAAAATATTATTTATAATTAAAATTTAATCGATACAGTAAAAATTTTACCAATATTTTTACTTTATCAAAATTTGTACACTTAATTTATATAATATAATTGCTTTTTATATTCAATTTATGGATTTATTTTAGGTAGTTTTTATAAGAATTATTATTTTATATTAAATTTATCGCATTTCCAAGATTGTTACACGTTTATTTTTTAATATATTAATTAATTATTTTTTCAAATATACAATAAAAGATATGTTTCAATTTTTAAAATTCTTTAATGTAGTTTTTAAAATCATATTTGACGTATAAAATGATAATTATTTTATAAATTTCAATATTTATAATTTTTTCTTTTATTTTCAAACGATACTTCAAAAATTGATCTATGCGTGAAATTCCAAATGTATATAACAAATCCTTTCCCAAAATCCATAAATACAATTAAAAAAAAAAAAAAAAAACTTTGCTTTTGTTCGGAATAAAAGGGGCAGTTTCCATGCACATGTTATCAAGGTCTCCACATGCATCATGCAACCTACTACTGTTGTTTTAAAACTTTAAAACGAAAAACAAACCCTCTATAATAAAAAGAAAGAGAGTCAACCTAATTTGGCAAATCATTCCTTTAGTGCTTTCCATGTCCAGCTTTAGTAGCCGAAAGAATCAGAAATAAGGTGAGTTAAGGGCATCTCCCCCCACAACTTAAACTCCAAGTCACCAACTACCAACCATAAATCAATAATATATAGATCAACTTCATTTTTTTATTTTGTTTTCATCTTGTCATCATCATTTTCCATCATGGGTCGATGAACAAAGAACCAGTGAAAGAATCTAAACCAACAGATAGTCCAAGATTATATTCTCTCAACTAATATCACATGCAACACTTGTTTGACTTGGTGTTCGAACTTTAAAACCTAACTTCTGCAGCTCTAAACAAAATTTTTCCTTCGCATTTCAGATCTACAAACAGAAATCAGAAAGTCCTAGGAGCACGTTAAATAATTTGTCTATTAAATGAGAAGGAATTAACAATTCGTGGGTTTTCTTACTCTTACGTATTAGTAACCAGAGGCAACCAGAAATTAACGATCTTAGGTTTTTCTTTTCTTTCTCATTTTCCCATCTCTTCCATTGTCAATCGACAAATCTACTTTCTTTTCCTCCGAACCATTTTCATCATTAGCACCCACATGGACGGTATTGTTTGGAAGTTGTCGTTTTCTTCTTTTGGACTTCTTTTGAAACAAGGAACTGCAGTAATAATAACAGGTTAGCTCTAAAAGCATTCAAATGCAGAAAGATACTATAAATTTCAGTATTATTAAATGCTCTTTCATGGTTTTACAATGTGATAAATAAAAACTTGAAATTCACCAGAATCATAAAGCATCCCTCCTTCCCCACCCCACAAACCCAAAGCAATGTAAGTTTAGAGCCAAGTCAGAGAGAAATAATGGCACCTTATCTTCTGATTCATAACCAGATTTCTGGAAGCAGCCTTCTCCATAATACTCTTGTAATATTGTGTAAATGGAGCATTAGCACTGGACTTTTCTAACTGCAGGCCAACCACTTAGGAAGTTCAGGAAATTCACTTCATTATAATTCTAGAAAATTTAGGTATAATTTAAATGAAGAATGCAAACCTGCCAAAATGATTCAACAGGTTGATGATCTTTCGGTGAAAATGCCACCTCATCTCTCTTCCTCTGTACAAATTCAATGTTCTCCTCCACCTATGACACCAGAAAAAATTAAACATTTATGACGTTTCCTCTTTTCCCTTTTCTTTTTCTTTTTCAAGGTTGGTTCTGCAATTTTTTTGTTAAAAAATATTCATTTGCCAGTGCACTGCATAATGCAACATCTTACTTCCTGTCAATCTATATTGTTAAGTAAACCGTAGGTGACTGCCAAAATCATCATAGCATGATTTAAAAGGCCACATTTTAATTTTATTTTCTGGGAGTAGGGGTTTGAGATTACTTTCTTAGTTTCTTATATTCATATCCAGCCCAACACTGATATGGCAGATCAGGTTAAACATACAATAACTATGAATTTCATAAAAATCTGTACCTTGTCAATAAATTGCTTCACCACACGCCGGAAACTCTCAATGGTTGTCGTCTCATGAAACTTCCTTAGGCGGATGAGGGGGATAGTAGCCAACTCAGGAAAAGTTATGTGATAACTCCACTGAGCAAAGTGCATTGCAAGTAATTCAATGACAGAAGAAACACACTTTTCCTGAAAGTTTCGAGATTTTAACCAATGTTTTGGCAACTGCACCATAAACATCCACATTAGTTATAGCAGAAATACATAGTCATGCCCAGGAGACATTTCATTTCATAGTAAGAATGATGACCAATCTCTAACCTTCACACTCGAAGAGAAGTTGAAGTCTTTTCCAGTATTACCATTGTCCTTGCTAGTTTTATATTCCAAAATATCCAAAGCAAATGATGTAACAGGAATGAAAACCCCACTTGAACTGGAAAGGTTATTCAGCCACTGAATGCATTTAAGTCTTAGAGGCAAATATCTTGGTCCAGGAAACAAGACAGCTACTCCATTGATAATCTGAATGATCATGTACAACAGAGGCTGAAGATCATAATCTTGTATGTTTGCTGATATAAATGAAACCCACAGATCAATGCAATTTGTATACTGCCAACTGCATATCCTTTTGACAGCTTCCTGCTTACAAGCAATAACAAACAAGCACCATTAAAACTTGGCCTTGCCTAATAACATCAAAGCCATAATGAACTACATATATCCATAGGCATCTAATTTAAGGGGCAATGAAGTAATGCCTAATCCGGTCTGATCTGAGTTAAATGAGACACCAAGACATGTGCATCACATACCTTCTTCTTTGTTCGTAGGCCCGCTTGCAGTATCTTTGAAAGTTGCTCGACGCAAACCATAGCCTTTCTAGATGAGTTTTGCATATCTAGAGAGCATAGCTCAATAAAGGAGTCACGGAGAAATTGTATATGTTTGGATGAAACTGGATCAACAAATTTGCAGTGACCGACAAAGGCCTTGTATGTTTTAATCAAGCATGAGTCAAGGCAATCTGAGCTAAACACAGAAGTCACATCTTTTATGACCAGGAAAGAATGTGATGAAAGAGTCCCTTCACCTGTTACCCACAAATGGACTGCAATCTGTAATCAATTTAAAAAGTTATTATAAATCGGAAAAAAACATTTAAGAGTTATTTATATTGCATGAATGAAATGAAAACATAAAAAAGAAAACAGAAAGAAAGTAAGACAGAACCATTATGAGAAAAGATATGGATACAGCTAGAGTTTAAGATTTGTAATGTCTTGCATTCTCCTAATTCCCACATATATTAATAATCAAAACATTAGGTGCACAACCATGGAAGCATGTAACCTTATATACCAACTGAATTGTACAAACACTAATATAAGACAATATTAAAAATCCTTTATCATATCCTAAAATTACTATTATTATTTTAAAACTGCCCATAAAATAGATATTAGAAGTGTCATATCTCAGAATTATAATACCTTGATCAGTCTGTGCAGCAACGGTTGAAAAGCAGCGAAAAATATAATAGATGCTCTGAGTCGAACCAAGGAGAAGGCAAGTATCTCCGAGTCAGTAACTTGATTCAGAAGAAATAGTGTACTTCTCAAATAAGACTTGATCAGTGGTTTCATAGTTTTCCATTTTGAACTATTCTTCAACTCCAAAATGGTCTCTTTTTTGCAACTAGAACATGATATTCCTAGCGTTTCTCGAAAAATATTATCAGCCTCCTGAAGCATGAAGATTAAAATCTTGGACAAAGTTTTGCTATCTTTAAGTCCATAGCAAGAGCCGACATCAAGAAGACCAGATAATTCAGTTCCATAATGGCAAGCAGCTCGATACCCATTTAATAAACTAGTAAGTGCAGATATATTATGCTGTTCTCTGACTAGTTGGCACAAAGAGTTAAAGGCAGAGCTAGTCAATAACTTGTCCATTCTTAAATTTACAGAGCCTTTCCTGGAATTCTCTGTGTCGTCGTCACTAGTATTATCCTCATCTGAATACTGTTACAAAGAATAATATAAAAAGTTCACAGAGGCAAGCCGTGAAATGGACAAAATAAGGGCAAAAAGGAGGAATCAAGGAAGTCAACTACTTATTTTCCTTCTTTTTCTGAAATACTAGAGAATGATCATGAGTTTATAATTCTTTGATAACATAGTTTATTAGCATATAACCATTACATCTCAGAAAAAAAAAAAGACATAACCACAATATACCCTTTCCCCCACATATCTGAGTATCTGAACTTCATGGTGTGATTTTCTTTTTCATTGGTCTTAATCTGCACTAAGCAAAGTTGAAATAATAATAAAAGTGTTGCTTTCACCCCACTAGGCTTACAATTTTGTAAACTTTGGATCCAGAAAAATAGCCCAAAGTTAAAAAGCTTGTATGTTCTTTCTTATGTCCATCTAAGTGACCATGTAGAGTTATTTACACATATATATCAAGTAATTGAATGCCAACCAAAATCAGACGATAGCAAGAAACAAAAATTAAAAATATTGATGCATTTTCCCATCTAATCATTTGTCTTATTACCTAGTTAAAAAGAAAATGGACAAACTAAATAACTTACACTCTCCTCATCCCTCAATTTTTCGAGGCCATTCTCATAGCTTTCCAGAAACTTAGAAAATTCAGGGTCCTGAAATTTACATAGTAGAAATGCTCAATTAAACAAATATGACAAAAACTATTTGTGTGCTTTAAGTAACAAGAAACTTACAGGTTACAGCTTGGTGTAACATAAGATAAAAATTAACATTCAACCAAATGAAAAGGAGAGAGAAAGAGAGATTAAAAGACCAACATATGTGTATAAGACCAACATATATTTATGAGGATATATATGTGCAAACACATCCAACTGCACGCATTTATATAAAGCAATTAATTTTAGTATCATCTCCACTACATAATTCTAATCAAATCAAAGGAGGTATTTTGCTCGAGTATATCAGTGTGAAATTAATTTGTGTAACTCCTAGCTGGTTTCAGAACGATCCAATTATTGACTCTCAAATCATTATTTAATACCACAAAATCAGCAGTTTGACAGCAATAAGACATAATTACCTTTGTCTGCAACCTCTCTAATTTTTTCTTCTTCTCCGTAAGTTCTAAAAGAATTTCCCTGTTTTGCACCAATAAATCACTAGCACCATCGTTGTCTGCATCCATATCTACAAAAACATAGAAAAATGAATCAAAGATATTAGCAAAAAGGAAGGAAACACATAAAAAAAACTATTTATAGTGTCCTCACCTTCTTGATTACTCTCACTTCCATTTTCATCCAAATGTGCAAAGCCCGAGTCCTGATCATTAAATTCAAACATCAACATGAGAAACACTATCAACCCTCAAACAAAAGCAAACAGAAGGTTTTCAATGTGTTTTATATCTCAAAACCTCAGATAAATATCCATCACTCTCTGAATCATCTTCAACCACATCGCTCTCATCACTAAATACCGCATCCAGTGCAGCATCATCTATATTTTCACCTTCCAAGTCTCTGAAAACATATTTTAAATCTTTTAAGGAAAGGCACAACATCGCATATTGATATCAAAGCAATATTCAAAGAAAAATTAAAAAGAAAAAGGAGAGAATACAGATTAAATTAATGATTATCAACAAATAAAATTCTTTTAAACTCATTTAATTGTTACTTTCTTTATATTTCTTCAAAAATTTCTAAAAGCAATTATACTCAGACCAAAAACGAACAAAAGAACAAAATTTCACATGCATTGAAACATAATTGTTCTATACAAAAATTAAATAATATATTTTCTTATTCAAAAAATTTAACTTTTTTAATTTACCTTCCATTAAATTTCCCTATTTGATCTTCTTCTATGTTTTGGGCTCCATCCTGCTCATCTCCTAGAAAAATTTTCACCAAAACAAGTTCTCATTAACAAATTTAATTAATTTTTACACTCAAGAACAAGTGAACAAACCGCACATTAAACTTAAAAAAAAAACTTCGACAATGCAGTGAAAAAATAAAAATAAAAATCCTTACTTTTAGAACCTTTCTTTTTGAACATAGATTTCAACTTCCGCTTTCTTTTCAACACGGATTGAAGATTCTTCCTCGCAAATTTCCTCGCCTTTTTCCCTAATTTCCCCATTGTTCTAACTATTCCGCAAAAATCCTAAGAAAAAACAAGATAATCATGAAAAATTAGTAATTAATTACAATACCTTCGATTTCAATCAGTATATCAAAGAAAGAAAGAGGTTTTCGAACCTGCAACAATGGCGGCTTCTCTATTTTTTTGAGGCTTTTTTTCTATTTGTTTTGTTATTTTGGGGTTTTAAAGTGAAACGGAGAGATAAAGGGCCTAATTTTCAAATTTGAAATATTTGGGGGAGAGATTGGTAATTTTAAGAAATAAGTGGGTTTTGAAAGTCAACGTACTTTTCTTCCCTTCCACCGATAGATCAAAATCTGACGGTCAGAAATCGCTAGGGTTTTGCAATGTGAATGGGCGGAGTTCGAAACAACAACCGTATCGTGTTGATTCCACGTGGCAAACTTTAACCGTCGACTGAAATTTTCGAGGAATCTAATCGAACGGCACACCGATGTTTTCTCTCACTTGTCCAACACACTCTCTCTCCTCTCCTCCCTTCTCTCGTTTACGGATTTTTTCAGCAACCGGCTCTTGAATTTTCAAGGTTCGATTTTCTCTCAAGCTTTTCTATTAATCATATATGATTTTTCTTGTTAATTTGTTTTTAATCAATGATTAGATCCTTGTTGTGATTATTATTATTGTGATGGCGATGTCTCGTTTAAACCTATCTATTCTGCAATTTTTATTTTCATGCATTTCTTACTATATCAATTTTTATTGATGGTTTAATTTTATAAATAGTTTTTTAATTTAATCTGATTTATTATATAATTTGAATATATTTCTGAACAAAATGATTTCGATGTAGATATAACGAAAGATAAATGAAAATTTTAAGGGTAATTTTCTTCTGTTAGAATGTATAAAGAGCTTATCTGAATATAAATGTAGTTCTTGTTCCTATCTGTTTTCCAGTTTCAATTTCTTTTATTTTCTTTTTGTAAAATTTAGGATATAAGGCTTTAACTTCTTGTTGTTGTTGTTATTGAAAATTTAGGATAGAAGTATTTGTTCCAGTAGGTAGGATGAGAATTTAGGGTTTAGGCTAATTGTATTCCTTCATATATGTACTTAATTAAATTTAGGGTTTAGGTTTAGTTTGAAATTTTTCATTTTTTTGCTTAATTAGTTTTAGGTTGTAAGTAGATTGAAATTTCTTCACTGTTTTATTAATTAGTACTGGATAAAGGTAATTTGGTTTTTTAATTTTTTTGCTTTATTTATAAAAAATTCAATACTATTTGCTTGATTAGTGTTGGATTTGATCTTGTGTGGAAAATTTTCTTTTCGGCTTAATTAAAGCTCACTTTTGAATTTTATGGGATTAATTTCTTAGCAATATTTCTGGTAAATGTGGTCGGATTAACTTGCCAACAGCTCCTTAGGGTTCCATTTTTCTTCTTTTTGTAAGATTTCTCAGCATCAAACAGATTCTTAGGGTTAGCTATGAAATTCTGTTCTAATGGAATTATGAGAGATTAGTTTCTAAACGTTACTTTTTTTAATGTCTCTGTAATCATTAATTTGTTGATATTGGAATGCTGCAAGTTTGATTTTCTTTTGTTGATTTCTTTTTTCATTTTGTGACAGTTAATAGAAGGTTGTGAAGGAAACAATGATCTATACGGCAATTGACAACTTCTATTTAACGGATGAGCAGCTAAGAACTCACCTTCAAGGAAAGATGGCATAGATAAAGCAACTGAAACTACACTAAGAATCTATGGCTGTGACCTCATCCAAGAAAGCGAAATTTAACTTAAACTGTATCTATTTCTTCTTTAATTTCATTATATAAATTATATATTTGTAAATGATTTTCTGGTTGATTTATGTTTCCTTAATTTTATACTTACAGGCCTCAAGCTGTCATTGCCACTGGCCAGGTTCTATTCCATTTTTTTTATTGCAAGAAATCATTTGCTCGCTTCAATGTCAAGGTTAATCTCTTTTTGTTGTTTATTTGGCTGTTGATAAATTGTTAGATGGGAGGAAGAGAAGTATTAGTATAATTATCTATGTGTTGCATTCAGTTGTAGTGATGGCTGTTTCTGCCTGTTTTGACAGCCTAATTCTTTAAGATTTTAGGAAATATGGTTTTTTTATCCTGATCAAAGTGGAAACAGGTGCAAAAATCTATTTTCGTTTGACATTTTTAATTTCTGTGTAGATAGTTGCGGCTAGCACTTTGTGGCTTGCATCAGAAGTAGAGGAAAGCCCTCGGAGGGCAAGGCAAGTGATCATAGTTTTCCGCAGAATGGAATGTAGGAGAGAGAACTTACCAATAGAGCAATTGGACCTATATTCAAAGGTAAGATTGATAAGTTTACATGTTTTAACAAAATTCATGGCTTCGTTTTCAAAGCAGATTGTCTAGGCTTTATTCCTTGGGACTGTTTCTTACTTTCTGTTTGTTATGTGCAGAAATTTTCAGACTTGAAAGCAGAGTTGAGCAGAACAGAAAGACACATATTGAAAGAGATGGGTTTTATTTGTCATGTTGAGCATCCCCATAAGTTCATATGAAACTACCTTGCTACCCTTTACACTTGAGACACTTCCTGAGTTGAGGTAAGAAGCATGGAATCTGGCAAATGATAGGTTTTTGTTGCTAAACAAGCACCAATTTTTTAAACCTTGTTTCTCTTGTTAGTGCTTGTATTGTTCATTCATGTAGTTATTTCACATAATTAATATTAACTACTGTTGCCAGTATTAATTCTATACACTCTGTTCATATGTCAGCCAAAAGGCTCTGCTATTAAGAATAGTTTATAATCGAGGTTAGATGGCAAGTTCATTTTCCAATTGGTAACTCAGTGGAGGTACTGGAATTTGTTCTTAGAATTCTGTTCTTACGTTGGATAACAGTCCTCCTTCCAATGAATCTAATGATGCTACAGCAAATGGAGCATCGATGAAAATCTAACATTGAACGTAATGTTTCCGAAGCACAGATCTTGATATGTAATAAAAAAGAAGAGAAATGACATTGCTGTAATGGAGAAATTTAGATATCTACTGGGTTGTGCATTAACTCTTTAGAATAGGTTCAATTTTTTAGAAACCATAAAGTAAATAGAGTATTGATGACAAATCAAACATGGGTTATAAGAATTCCTTTGAGATAATTTTGAGATCCAAGTGGTTTTATACTGACAAAGATAATAATTTGTATTTTTTTTAATCATTGTGGCTTCCAAAACATTCCTTCACAAAGACCAGCATGGGAAGTTCGTTACTTATGGCAATAATAGCTTCAGTTCTGGTTTTCCTTCTTAGGAAAACTTTGAGCATAATTAGGCATGCTTGTACCCTGTTAAAGTTAAAACTGACTAACGGTATGTGACGTTATACGTGGCTAAGAAGAATTGGAGATAGGGTGAGTGGAAACAAGGTAGTGTGAATAACAATGGTGGGAACAATAATATTTAACTGAAAGAGTGGTGTCGGGACACAAGAACATTCTTTCCCACAAGAATGCAACATTATTTTGTAACATTTCAGTAGATAATGACATGGTTCTGGTCAAAGGAGCCATTGCTTTCAAGGCTAAGTGTTTAAAAGTTGTTGTCCAGGCCTCTGGTGGTTTATGGCAGAACGACAACTATTGACCTAGAAATGGATATAGATGGTGTAGCTAATATTATAATTGCTTTGAAGTTCTTGTTGCAGATAATCTTTTCTAATTTTTTTTTTTTTGCTTGAGCTATAATGCTTGAAGTGTCTGCATATAAATGTTTTTTGTGTGTGGATAGTACTAGTTCCATATTTGGATGACATTAACCATGAAGGCATGTAACTGCCTTAGGAAAGCCACTGCTAGTGTTTATAATAGAATTGTATGAATTTAGTTGGAAGTGCTAATGCATCTTATTTTTAGTTTGTGCTGTTCAATTTCCTGTTCATTGTGCCTCTAGCATTTTTTTTTTTCTTTTGGTGGAACTTACAATCTTTTCTGTGTTTATGTCCATCAACTCTGGAGTAGCTTACGTACAACCTTGTGCGTTCGGTTCAAGAGTGAGGTTGTGGCTTGTGGGGTTGTACATGCTGCCACTCGTAGGTTTCAAGTACCCCTTCCTGAGAACATGCAATGGTGGAAGGCTTTTGATGCAGAGAAATCTGGGATCATTGAGGTTTGTAGGGTTCTGGCTCATTTGTACAGCCTTCCCAAGGCACAATACAATCCTGTTTGTGAGGATGGAAAGTCATTTACCTTTTCCACCAAGTCTGCAGATTCACAATCTTAGCCAATTTCAAAGGTGAATCTGACTTTTAATTTCTCAGCTTTCTCCAATTCCTTTTAAGTTTCAGTGGTAGGATGTGGCTGTTTAAATATTCTTTCTTCAGTGATTTTTAATTTTTATTCCATCTCCAAGTGCATAATGATATATGCAGAAAGTGCTGCTAATTTCTTCTTTAGCCGATCTTTTGGACCACTAATTTTATTGTTATATAATAGCTGCACCTATGGAATGTGAGAGAAAGTATAGCATTGAGGAACTCCTGAACTTTACTTTATTATGTAATGCAGCTAAATTAAGATAAATGAGTTATTGCGGTGAAATTTTCTTCACTGTTTTGCAGGAAGTTCCATTGAGCCCACCAGCAAATAATAATGCCAATGTTTCCAACACCACTGTAGCAGCAGCTGATCTGGAAACTGGGGGATCAAAAGACGCAAAGATTAAGATGGCTCTTGACAAGTTGAAAGAATCTTAAGCTGAGTGATGATGGATCCAAGAGCATGCCTACAGAGGGTGATGCAATAGAAGAGCCTGGGCATAAATCCAAGTCTGAGCACAGGACAGAATCTGGTGAAGAAAAGAGCAAGGAGAGGGACAGGGAAAGGGAAAGGGAAAGGGAAAGGAGGGACAGAGAAAGAGATAGGGAGACAGCAAAGGCCTGCGATCGGGACAGGGGGTGAGATTCTGACAGGGAATGAGAGCGAGATGAGACTGAAAGGGACAGAGATAAAGTCAAGGATCGAGGTTATCGTTCAATGGATAGAACAAAGGATTCAGATTATTTCATATATTCTCTTTAGGGCATGGATTATATATCTGATTTTGATTATTGTCTTGTATATGATTTGTCTAACTTCTATTTCTATTTTTAATTCAGGGGGTCATTCTGAAAGATCAAGGCACCACTTATCACGTGGTATGTTTTTAGTTTTCCAAAAAGTTTCATCACTGTAATTTGTTCAATAAAGATGAGTGGTTTTTCATCCTCATAAACCTTTTCTGTTTTCCAGATCGAGATTATCGTGGCTTATCATATTCTTCAAGGGAGAAGGATCAACTTCGACATCAGTCATATGCTTAGAACAATCTTCAAAGTGTATGCACCTTTGCTAGCTTAAACTTGTAGCCAGGAGAATCACCTGCCGGGCATGCTCAAAATGTTTAATGTGCATAAATGAAAGTTTAACACAATTTTATGTATCGTATACGGAGTTAAATGTCTTCGGTCCGAATTTATAACGTGAACAATGACTTTCAAAATTTTTTACACAACAGCGTCTGGGTTTTCGAGCTACCAATAATAAATTGTCCAATCATGATGCAGTCTTAAACTCATTTGATATATATTGTTATTTTAACTGATGCAAGGCAAACAGGTTTATGATATGCCATGCTGTCATTGATCAGGTAGTGGAGGTGCACTTACTGTAAGCATCAAATTTTGTGCGAATTAAGTGATTCAGCGATCCAGCGCATTATAACTGGATGGTGACCTTGATATGCTGCTAGGTGGCCTACTTGGCTGCTCATGAAGGTCAAAGTCTTTTCCTTGACCTTGTTCTAGATTTGTGCGTCATCATCTATAGTGGGTGGCAATACAATATGAATCTTTTTTTAAACAAAAAAAAATCTAGTATTTCTTATGTTTGATTAAGTTCCCTCCCCCCCCCCCCTTCTTTTTTTTTTTTTTTTTTTTTTCTGATGGGATTCTATCGTCTTTACATACAGAAAAGTGACCTCATAATACCTCAGTGTTTGAATTTTTTATATATATAAAAAAATCGTATAGAAAAAAATTGTAAGAATTATTATTTGAATTTTAAATTTATTGAAAATTATTTTTTAAAAATAATTGTAATAATCGTGTTAATTTTGAAACGGATTGTAAAGGTTATGTTAATGTAAAACCAAGAATATTGTGCCATATCCGTAATAAACTTACGTGTTAGTGTATGTGATTAGTGATGCACACGTCTTTTTTTTTTAATTAATTTTTAAAATTTTTAATATGTCTTTAAAAGATACCTAGTATTTTGTTAAAGTTGGAGTTTAATAACGAAAGAGTAGATTTGATGAATTATGTATTTATATTATAATATAAATTATATTTTATAATTTTATGTGAAAATTATCGTAATTTAATTAATATAAAAATATAAAATATAATTTATTATTTTATTAAATTTATATATAGTCATTGTTATAATTTTAAGTTAAGTTATTTTTATATTTTAATTTTGTAATACAATATTTATAATGTCATTACATCATGTTTTACAGTACGTACAATTATAGATTAAATAGATCTGGTTTAAATTGACAGATCTACTCGAGAGATATAATTTAAAATTAAGAAAAAAACAGTTGAAAATGTTACAACACGTGATGTTATTAAAGTTATCACCGGAAGCACGCACATCTCATAAATATTTGCCGATAAATAATTACATCAATTTGTGAGCACCATTTTCCACCTCTACTAGAGGGGTGTAAGAAAAACGCTCCGTTAACCTTTTTACTCGTGGCGTACACGCGCTAATTTTGCGAGTGGCTGACAGGAGGATCTGATCTTTTAATTTTCATTGCGTTACCTTACGAAACTGGTAAGTAACCTATGGCGTGATCTGTTATAAATAGTTGTCAGCTGAATTAAAAATCTGATCAACACAATTTTTTTTTAAATTTCCTTAAAAAAGATTATGTCTTAAAGGAGAGAGCTATAATCTCATGTTTCTAATCTCACCAAAAAACTATTGCTAAATCTTATCCGTTGGTATATGATTTTTAGAAAAATGTTAAAGAGTTCAAATAAAAAAATTTAGTTCGAATTAAAAGGGATTTATGGGTTGAGTCAGACCATATTAGATTGGATGTATTTATTTATTTTAAAATATTAAAATTTATTTTATATTGATATTTTAAAATTAAATAAAAATAAAATTTTAATAACATATTATCTTATAATGAGTAATCTTTAATTAAAAATTTTTATTCAAACATCAATAGAGTTGTTTTGAAATTTAATATGTGACTCATCTCAAAATAATTTAAACAAAATATATTAAATTTTAAACTATTTACACAGTTTTATTATTATTTTTTGCAGCTATTAGATTTAGATAATTTAGCATATCTCGTAGATTATAAAGCAAAGGGTTTGTTGTAAAAAAAAAAAAAACCGTTAGGTACCATCATTTGTTTCTTGTGTAGAAAATAAAATTAATAAGGGTAATTAAGGAAAAATAACTTATAATCACAAAAATATTTTATGTAAATTAATGTAATTTAACTAAAAAATTAGATATTGTGAATCGAATTAAAATCTTTATCCAAATTTCATATTATCCAATTTTTTTTACATAGACAAAACACAGTATAAAGTAAAATTATGATAATAATTTTTTTAAGGTAAGCGAAAATAATACAAAACGCTCATGTTTGAAATTTATCTATCAATCAAATTAAATTAAATTAAATGTAAAAAAAATGTTGATAAGAGTACAAAAAATTAAAAAGCATGTTTTTATTTTGACAGAGTTAGAAAGAAAAAGGCAAACCAGGCAGACTTAAAAAAAAAGAAGACAGCTTTTAAGTGTACTTTGTTTGTTGTTGGCTTGTTGCCGTTGGAGTTATGTTTTGTCGTTTGTTTCTTTTCAAGTGTTTTCGGATGCCGCCATGATACACTTTGCGTCCCACTTTTTCTGGGTCCTACACTAAATCTGATCTTAAATTGCCAACCTGTTTTTTTTTTTTTTTTTTTTAATTTTCCCCATTTTTGCTCTCTTTTGAAGCTTTCTTTGCAAGATCCGCTTCTTTTTCTTTCTCTCTCTTTCTTTCTTTTTTTTTTTCTTGCATTTTGGTTTGGAACAGAATAAGGAGAGTGAGAGAAAAAGAGAAAGAGAAAGTTCCAATCTTTTGACAGAGATCTGGGAATTTTTCTATGTACAGGTATTGAAGATTTTCAGCTTCTTTTTGGTACATTTTGTCTTTGTTTTGGTTTTTTTTTTGGACACATTTATTGAGTTTTTGTCTTGAAGCTGTTTAAATTTGGAAACTTTGATCTGGGTTTTGTGTTGTCATTCATTTTTGGAATCGGGGTTGTTCTTCATTTCTTAGATTGAATCATTAATTGGTTTAATGTTTCAATCCTTTCCAATATTCATTCCATTTTTTAATTTCCCCACTCTGAAATCCTTTGTTGATGTCGTTTAAGATAGATCTATTTCCTGCACTTTTAAACTTGAACAATGCAATTTGAGAGTTTTTTTTTTAATAATTTTTTTAACATTTAATTCTCATTGGAATTTGAAATTCCATGGCTTGTCTTTGTCTTGAAGAAGAATTATTGACAGATGGGGAAAAAAGAAGGGTGGTTTTCTGTTGTGAAGAGAGTTTTGAGCCCTGAGTCCAAGAAAGATCAGGTTTGAATGATTTAGTTCATAACTCAGAGGATAATTTTCTTTTTCTTTGGTTTTCTTAGAGAGATTTGTTGGTGCATTTTTATTTCACCAGAAAACTCCAAAATCAAAGAAAAAATGGTTTGGAAAAAGCAAGGACTTGGGGCCAGTTTCTTTGCCAGAAGAAACTGAAGTGACTGCACTTCCTCCTCCCACCGAAGATGTCAAATTAACAGATGCTGAAAATGAACAAAGCAAACATGCCTACTCCGTGGCTCTTGCCACGGCTATGGCTGCTGAGGCCGCGGTTGCAGCTGCTCAGGCTGCTGTTGAAGTTGTTCGTCTCACTTCTGTACCACGCTATCCGGGAAAGTCCAAGGAGGAAATAGCTGCTATCAAGATTCAAACTGCATTTCGAGGATACTTGGTATGGATTCAATTTGAGGGCTATTCATCCTTTAATTCAATTTGCTTCCTTTTAAGATTTGCCTGTTCTATATTTGTGAATATATGCATGAACTTTTGCTAAATTTGTCTCGTCGTTGTGATGCTTGAAACCGGGGCCTTTTCATTCTCATGAAATGATGAGTCCTTAAGAGTGTATGATTTTGAAATTCTCTTTGGACTTTGTAATAGAACTCAACACATCCCATTTAGTTGTATGGACCTTTCTTGAATTTTTTTCTGTCTTTAAAAAGGGTTCCAAACTCTCTGCATTAGTTGTTTCTGGCTATTATGTCAACTTTAAGTCATGATGATTTTGAAAATGTGTTCTGGTCAATTAAGGAAATAAAAGCATGGTGATTTATAATCATAAATTCCCTGAAACATCCCATTCACGGCTATTATCTCAGGCTCGGAGGGCATTGCGAGCTTTGAGAGGGTTGGTGAGGTTGAAATCATTGATCCAAGGGCAATCTGTCAAACGGCAAGCAACTACTACATTAAGATGCATGCAGACTCTTGCTCATGTGCAGGCCCAGATTCGTGCAAGGAGGATTAGAATGTCAGAAGAAAACCAGGCTCTCCAGTGGCAGCTTCAACAGAAACGTGAGAAAGAGCTTGAGAAGTTGAGAGCTTCTGTAAGTGCCTGGCTTTTGCACATTTTACCGTTTTGACTGTAAATTTTATTATGCGTGTTGTGGTTTCATTATATAACTTCTACAACGGTTTGCGCTCATGATTTCCTAAAACTTCTTGGCCTTTTTGGTTTCCCTTGGATTGCAAGTTAATTAGCTGAGTTCTAGACTTCTAATCAAATGAGGAGCATGTTTTTATGGATCTTACCCCTCTTGGATTCCCAGCCTGTTTTTGGGGTTGATTGTAAAAGCATTTTAGGCACTTTAAAAAAATTAATAAATAATTATATAATTCCTACCATTTTAGGATTTAAGTGGAATTCATATTAATGCTGTTAAATGTACGGATTGGTCGTTTAAACACTTATTTCATAGATGGGAGAAGACTGGAATGATAGTACACAGTCTAAGGAACAAATTGAAGCAAGACAACAAAATAAGCAAGAAGCAGCTATGAGAAGGGAAAGAGCATTGGCTTATGCATTCTCTCGCCAGGTATTTGGTTTTCCCTTTTGTTTGCAAAAATTTAGATTGTGTTGTACTGTTGTCCTAACTGTGTTTTCAATCTCAAGCTTTTAGTGCTTACAATGAATGTAATTCGGTACTGACTTAAATGACCTTTTTTTTTTCTTTAACAGCAATCATGGAAGAACTGTTCTAGATCAGTGAATCAAACATTTATGGATCCAAGTAATCCCCATTGGGGTTGGAGTTGGTTAGAACGATGGATGGCAGCTCGGCCATGGGAGATCCGAAGCACAACAGATAACAATGACCGTGGCTCAGTCAAGAGTATGGGTGCCTGTTCCATGTCTATTGGTGAAATCAGCAGAGCTTATTCTCGAAGAGATCTTAACAATGATAATAACCCATCTCCAAAACCCCCAAAATCAAGTCAACCTCGCAGCCATCAATCCCCTTCAACTCCACCTTCAAAGGCACCTTCTATTTCATCAGTTTCCAGTAAAAGAAGAATGCCGAGTCCAAGGGGGAGTCAATGGGGAGGTGATGAAGACTCAAGGAGCATACTCAGTGTCCAGTCTGATCGTTACAGGAGACATAGCATTGCAGGCTCATCAGTGAGAGACAACGAGAGCCTTGCAAGTTCACCTGCTATTCCAAGTTACATGACACCAACACAGTCAGCAAAGGCCAGGTCCCGATTACCAAGTCCTTTGGGATTAGAGAAAAATAGGATGCCAGAGAGGGGATTGGCCGGCTCTGCAAAGAAGCGGCTTTCATTCCCTGCATCCCCAGCTAATAATAGGAGATATTCTGGTCCTCCTGAGGTGGATATTACACTGATTAAGGATATTAAAATGCAGAAAGGACTGAAATGGAGCAATGTAGGAGGGAGATAGTCCGGCTGGGAACGAAAGAACTTTGAGTTTAGAAACAAAACGGAAACCAAATCAGAATGAATCAAAGATGTCATCATGATCATCTTTAACAACTGCTCTCTGGTAAACAGCTGCAACAAAAAGAAGTGTGAATAAAATGGGGGGTTACCACTTAATCTATTGTATTGTCTTTGTGATCATCTTTTTTCTTATTCTCAACTATCTCTCTTCTTAGGGTTGTTACTTAGGATTGGTTTTGTGGTGAGATTACTTTATGTTTTGTTTGTTTGTTAGTGGTCTTGCTGCCAAAAACTCAATAATTTTCTAAATTGAGTTTAGTTTATGATTTGCTTGTTGTCTTGCCAAGACTTAATACTAGTTTTCTTTTAAAATATAAAATTTATTTGAAGTGCAAAATATTTTAGATTGACATATAGAGATTCACTTTAAAAATATTTTCACTCTCCAACTAATAACTTTTTGGCATCGTATCTTGAATAAAGATGTTCATGGATCGAGTTAGATTATGCTTAAGTATGGCATCAATATTTTGAATGCTTGCCAAGCTCAATCCATCCTTATAAAGTGATAATTAGGATCTCAAATTTTGTTTAGATTCATTCATATTTGTAAATGCTACATTCTAGCTCTGCTTAAATTATTCTTGTTCCTAAAAATTAAAATTACAATAATTAAAATCTTTAATAAATTTACTTTTTTTCTATTAACGTTTAAAATATGAATAATTTAGTATAATTTCTAATATTTATAATACAAGATTATATTAAAAAATTTGGCTTGAGTAACTAAGGAGTTCACTTTCTCTTAAATAAAGTTTCAACTTTTGAGAATGGAAAAAATAAATGTCGAAAAAATTTATCTTTTTTATGAGATTTGATTTAGTTCGATTTTAAATTAATTAATGTCTAAAATGGCCATCGAACACACTAAGAGTCTTAGATAAAAAAAATTACATTGAAAGATGAATCAGTCGGATCAAATTTGAGCATTAAATGTGGAGCCAAAATTAAACCCGTTTTTGAAACGGGTTGTATTTTTTTGCTCAAATCAAATTTTTGGGCTTTATTGTAACCGCGGACGTGCCGCAATAGTATTGGTTGGGGCACCTTAATCGAACGTATGTGCCCTAACAAAACCCAATGACCAAAGCTGAGGTTTAATTTCAGCGACAGAAGCCGAAAGCCGAAAGACGAAAGGCGGTTTCGAGTTTAAAAAAAAATTGTTTATCTTTAATGAAATTCAGAGTTTTCATTTCAAAGACTGAATTCCAAATCTCATAAAAAATGGTAAATTCGCAAAACTCATAGTATTCATTTTCTCTATTTCATTGCATTGTCGTATTTATTTCCCCTTTTTTCTGTGTTTATGTTTTTTTTTTTCAGAATAATTTTTTTATGTTTTTGTTTTAATTTTCTCAGTCAATATTTTACTATTCTAATGAAGTTATAAATTTGGGTATGAAAAAATTCTTAATTTTTTGGAATTGTTTTATACTATGGATGCGATTTAGCTTCATAACATGAATAAAAAGGTAAATTTTTTTTAAAAGAAACATTATTAATTTAATTTCATGTTGAGAGATATGCTTTTTGATTAAAGGGGGAAATTTGTTATTATCCTCAATTTTCTTTTGTTTGGGTGAAACTGGAAAGTTAGTTGCTTTGGTGTTGTAAAGATTGTAATTTTGACTTTTTTTTTTTTTAAGTTCCAAGTATAAGAGGATTCACCTAATCTTAAAATAATCATATCTTTTATCATAATTTAAAACTTTTCCATTAATTCATGCTGATGAAATCCTTGAAAGTTCAGCAAAAGGCCCCTTATGTATAGCATAGTGACTAGTATGCCTTTTGTGAAACTTCTGGTGATGTCATTTGGCATTTGAAGTGTTGCCCCTGGTCAAGAAGGAACTGAGGGGGTGCTTCGACCTTAGCTTATGTTTTAAAATGCTTGGGAAGTGTTTGTTTTCGTTATCGGTTTCTTCCTATGCAACTTAGTTTTGTTGTTTATGTGTTACCTCGCTAGGTTTCTTTTATGGCTTTTGGTTATTGCTATTAAGCAGTGTGTTGGCTTTCAAAGAATCAGTGAAAAATGAATTTCAAATCAGTTAAGAGTTTGTTGGCACTTAAAACTTGGTAGAACAAGATGCTTGAAATGGAGAGGTTTGGATAGTGAAGTAAAGTCTGATTTCATAATTTTTCTTTGATATTTTGATCATATTCATTAGCAAGTATGTAAACTTTTTGGTAATAATGGAGTCTCTCACTAGTTAGAGCTTCCTTGTCACTTGACCAGTCTCCACAATCCATGCATTGGCTCATTTGTTGCGATAATTTAAAGTGTATTGTTTCAAGTGAAATGACAGAATCTTGCCTTTCTGTGATTCAGTTTATCGATTACAAGAACTAGTTTATGCCAACTAGTAGAACTTAAATATTTTAGCTGTAATTGAGGATTATTTGTGCATTTCTTTTCATGTTTAAACCAGTTGGAGACTTAGTCTTCCGTTACAATAATCTTAAATTAATGAATTTCTAGATGTACACCAGGCTACACCATTTTTGGCTGGGCTTGCAGTTGCTGCAGCCGCTCTTGCTGGCAGATATGGAATCCATGCTTGGCAAGCATTTAAGGCAAGACCGCCAACACCCAGAATACGCAAATTTTATGAAGGTGGTTTCCAACCTACAATGACGAGAAGAGAAGCTGCGCTGATTCTTGGTGTTAGGTAAATCTGTTCAACATTGATCATAAACTAGGGAATCGTATTATGATACTAAAATTACTGATTCTTGAGCATACATGAAATTAATCCCAAGAATATCTAGCTTGTGGAAAGATAAACACTGCCTTTAATTTGAATTAGTTCCCAAATTTTAAGGATGACCTCAACTTTTGAGTGATGGGATTTTTTTTCTTTAATGATCGTTTAAGTTGTAGCATGACTACTTGTCAAAAGCATTTCCATTTACAGTGCTATACCACTTATGTCTAATTACTAAGCATATATCTTTGATTGTTTGAATGCTTCCTACATTACAGTTTGAACTTTGAAACGATTTACTGATGCCTGAACCTGCCCTAACTTTTTTTTTTTACCTTGTTGGCCTTGCCAAGGAGGTAATTCACACTTACCTTAAAAGCGTGATACATTTATTATTTAGATACATTTATTATTTAGCTTACATGTCATATTTGCTGAGATGACATATCCAACGTGGCATTTTTTATGATTATGTGGCATGATTGTTTTATAAATGGAAAATCAAAAATGTTTTTTTCTTTTATTTCTTTCATTCTTTTCATTCTCTAAATTCATCCTCTCTCTCCAAATATTCATTTTCAACAAGCCATCTAAAAACCCAAATTTTGACACCAGATCATCATCTGTCACCACCGACCGTCATTGGTCTACATCCCTCTGATCCCAAAACTTCTCCATTTCTTCAACTGCAACTCCTCATCACATCTATCGGATTAGATTTCCGTAAAAATGCCTAGAAATCCTTGCATATAAAGTTTAACCCAAACTTTCTCGTGTTCCTCGTTTCTTCTTCTTCATTGCCCTCTTTACCCTCTCTTTTCCTTTTTTACGGCTGAAACCCTCCTTGCCCCATACGATTCACTCATTCTGTTTGTTAGCTCTCATCTCACACACCACCTCATCCGGTATGGTCGTCAACAGCATGCTCATGAAGAGGATGAAAAGGAGTAACAGTGGATCTCTGTGACTTCCTAAGCTTCCCTTCCTCTGCTTCTGCATTTCAGGCCAACGTCAGATCATTTCTAACGAAGCACGTGCTTATCTTGCCTCCATCTTCGCTTTTCTCTCACCTGATGACTTGGCAGATCCTCTCCAGAGTTGGTTATGAGGCAAAGGACAGGCAATTTGGATATGTTGCAAGAGGAAAGAGGAGTTGTTTGGAGTTTGAGATTGCTAACTTGCAGTGGAGTCGTTTGGAGTTTCCTCAATGGACAATGGAGAGCCAAATCAGACTCATAAGATTGATGAATTAGAATGTGCAGGGCCACTGTGGAGATAGAAAGGCCCAGAAACCAATAACTCATTGAAATTAAATTAGGGAAATTCACATAACTCTTAAACACAGCTTCTCTTTTGTTGGATTCCAACCAATCAGAGACTCTTGGGTCTGACTCAAATTGTAGATTGACTGGAAACTTAGCTTCATTGCCTTTATTCTGGTCAAGATTTAAAGCTTGGTCTTTTCTTTGACGTTTCCCCAAAGAGGATTGGAGGATTAAGAGAGTTTCTAGGGTCTTTTCTTTGATGAATAGAGGGGCATTTTGGATTCAAACAGAGGAGAGAGGCGAAGAAGTGGTCTGAGCAACGATTCGGCGACTGACTTGAACTGATTAGGGAAGAGATAAAATGGGTAAAACTACAAAGAGTGTGTTTTGTAATACCATTAAAGGAGCTTAAAAGTAGGAGATTTTGATATACTTTCACTATTTTCTCTTGCATTTATCTTTCTATTCTATCTCTCAAACAAAAAAAAAAAAAGAATATTATTTAAGTTTTAATTTTTATTTTTGTTGTCAGATTGAAAGTTAAGAAATAAGAAGAAAAATAAATTTATTGCTTTGAGTGGAGTTAGAGAGAGAAAGAAAGAGATTATAACAATTTTTATTGATAAAAATAAAAATTTACCAGTGTTATTGTAGTTAACGGCGCGTACAATGCACTGCTTTTATGAAGTCTTGTTTTGAGCTAATTCGAAAACTTTTAATCCTTAATTGAACCAAATTAAAGATATCTTTAATTGAGAAAACAGTTAAACATTAAATTTTAAATAGAGCATTTAGCCAAAATAATAAATATTAGAAATATAGGGATAATGATTTTCTATACCAAATGTATTTTTTAACTGCAAAAGCACCTTTGTAGGAGTTTTTTGGTTTGGGTTGGAAAACCAGACTTTTAGATTGAAAAGCTAAATTTTTTTTTGGTTGTTTAGCATTGCAATTGGGGTAAAAGTAGCTTTTGAATGCAAAAGTTACTTTCAACAATAATGCTAAATGAGGCCTTGAGATTGAATCAAATTATCATCAGTCAATGTTTTTGCTTTACGCATTTGTTGCAGGCATACACATTAATTGTACAGGCCTCTGATGTCAGAAAATTCAAAGATAAATATTAATATGTCAAATTCTGAGATCCTTTGTGTTTTTTTTTTTTAATGACTTTACTATTCGATGATCTGAACTATACGGTCTATTTGTACACCATTATACCTTATATGCATGTCTTCCTGTTCTACATAACATATGAACTTTATTTATACAATATGATTTTAACAGGGAGAATGCAACACCAGACAAGGTCAAGGAGGCGCATAGGAAAGTAATGGTTGCAAACCATCCTGATGCTGGTGGTAGCCATTATCTGGCTTCAAAAATCAATGAAGCTAAAGATGTGATGCTTGGGAAGAAAAAGGGCAGTGGATCTGCTTTCTAAATCCTAAATAATATTTGAGTCTGGGATGCATGTGACAACCTGCAAGAAGTAAACCCTCTTCATCGCCCTTCAAAAGTATATTTGTTTAGAGGTAGGTTATGCTTGCCAACGAATATGCCCCAAAAGCATAGAAATTGTATGTTGAAAGCAAGACTTATCTTGAAATGTTCCTAACAATTAGGTAGTCGATGTCAAGTCCTAGATGAGTTTAAAGGAAATTGTTTTCAAGAAATTTCATGGTCATCTGCTATAATTGTTAAAGATATTCATGAGTTTTAGTTAAATGGCATTTGAGTTCTTTAATGCTTCATGACTTTCCCCTTTAAAAATGAACCCTATCATGATTCATGATATATAAAAGATGAAGTTTGTTGAGCTTAAGGTCAATATTGTTCTTTTTTTCGTCTTATTCAACATATGACCATTGTTCTTGGTATTACTATATATTTCATTTGAAGAGAATCAAGTTTCATTCTAGTCCTGTTTCTGTATTTACTTCATATTAAAATGCCTGAAAAGTTGATGGTATCTTCATATTCAAATGGCAAATGGCTTCATTGATTATTGAACTCCATGTTTTCCTTGTGAGAAGTTTGTGAAGATTACAAGAATTGGTTCTGAAGCAGTTGATTATCCAGGTTGGATTTTTGAAGTTTGAACCCTACAATGGACTATAGTTATATTGGAGAGCTATCTTGACTATTATCCATGAATTAATGTGGCATAATAATTACTCATTGACTTTTTACAAACATCTGTAATCTTTTCCAATCTCCAAAAGCCATGTAGCAAATAAATAAGAATTGAGTAACCATTAGGCCAATCATTTTTTTTAATTGGTATGTGCAATCATTATTTTTATAGTATAATTTAATAATTATAATTTAAAATTATGTAAGATTTATGAGTTTACATTTATAAGTAAAGGGTTTTATATAATTTTTTTATTGTGATTAAACAATTATAAAATTGTAATAAAAAATTATAAGTAAAATGTTACCATATATTAAAATATATAATGGAAATGTCAATAGAATTCTTAATCTAATGATTATATGATTAGCCTTTTGTATTTTTATGTAGGTTAGGAGAATTGTTCACTCTTTTGTTTCTTTAAGGAAAGTTCTTCATAAAATTCAACTATTCAAGTGTTTTGAGTGTTCATTAAGGCATGTCTATTTCCTAGGGTAGATAGCATTTGAAAAAATTGTTTAAATTTCATTGGTTCATTGCATTAATATTTAAATATAAAATCAAAATTATAATTTGCTTTTTTTTTTAAAGAAAGAGATAAAATAAGATATGACTCTAATTAACTAAAATTTTTAAAACTTTTTTATGAAAAAATTTATAATTTTGAGATAAACAAAAAGACTATAAGTTTTAAACTTTAAAATTTAAATTTATTATACGTATATGACTATACAAATTAATTAAATTAAATTTTAAATTTTTTATATTAAAATTTTAGTAAATAAAATGTTTCAATCTTAAATTGGAATTGGAAGTGGGATCATATGAACGAACTCTTAAATTAATTTATTATTGATAATTTTTTAATTAATATTTTAATTTATAAATTGAGTTAAATTTCTATTTTTATATATAAAAAAAGCACTTTTATGGGCATGATTATAGAAAAACATTTTGAAAAAAGTGAAGAGAAGATTTAGATTTTTTTATTATTTTTTTTGAGGTTCAATTTGAACCTTGAATATAAGAGAAATAAATAAAATCTACTAGCACTGAAAGAAAATATTTTGAAAATAAAAGAACAAAAACTAATTTGTTTTTTTCATATGAGTCACCATTACAGAAGGGAAACGTGTCAAAAGCAGATGGAAAAGAACGCTAAATGCAAATTGTTATTGGTCAACCTATTTATAGCCACTAACTCTATTTTATTCTGGATCAGTAAATTTCTTTTGTTTCTTTTCCTTTTTTCACAAATTTATATTTTAAAAAACAAACGAAAATTAAAATATTATTTTATAGACTTTTTATTTATTTATTTTATTAAAAAATTATTTATTTATTTATCTATAAAGAATATATTAACCAAATTAAAAAAAATATCTCAGTAATAACACCATTAAAATTTACCACTGTTTTTTGTCAAATAAAAAAAGTAAAAGGGTAAAAAAAACCCTAAACAAAAATTCAATACTCATTAAAATTTTTATTGCATTCAATTAATTAAGTTTTGAATTTGTATTTTAAAACAATTGAATTCTTAAATATTTATTTTCATTGAATTAAAATTTAAAATATATATTTTTACTGAATTAAATTCTCAATTGGAATGAAATAATTAATATTTTTAATAAAAATTTAGTTAATAAAATAGATATTTGAGAGTTTAATTGATTAAAAAAATTGGATAATTATTGAATTTAAATACAAGAGTTTTTTTTTTTTTGATATTTTTACCTAAAAATTTTTTGAATATTAAATTTTAATCACACATTTTTAAAATTATTTGAGAAAAATTTAGATCATAATTTATTTGAAAATATCTTAATCATATTAAATTTTGTTTTTGTTAATTCGTATAATTAAAATGAATACTTTTTCTATGTTTTTTATATAATATATATTTTTTTTGTAAAATTTGCTTCTTTATATCAACTATTAAAAATTTCAACAAAATTTTTTATAAAAGAAATTTTATTTGTAAGCAATACAATAAGTTTTCAAACTCAAATTAATTAAGAAAAATGTTATTCATAAAAAGAAAAAAAAATTAACCAAGGAAAAGATAAACATGAAAAAAATTATTCCACGTTTTAACCACTTACCAAAAACTTTCACCAAATGGATAAACATATTTTTCAATTTTAAATTAATTTATATTTTGTAAATTGCAGAGGCAAAAAAGCTTCCTACAAAGCCTTACGTCAGCCTTTTATCCATTCGTTCTTAGTTATCCAAAAAAAAAATATATATTTTATTTAAATATTTTTCCACAAATGATAAAAAGGCCTATTCTTCATCGTCTCCTTCTTCTTCTTCCATTGCCGCCACCCGACCACCATATATCTCGTTCTCTTGATAGAAGAAAACTGTCCAAAAAAGCTTAATTTACCTTTTTCTTTTTTGAGAATCCCAAATTGTCCCTCACTTTCCACTTCAAAAACACCCCTTTAAGTCAGTTCTTTATTTTGGCACTTCAAAAGGAACTCAAAAGAACCCATTTCAAAGCTATAATTTTTCTCCTTAAAAATGAAATCTTTTTCCATAAAATAGAAAAAAAAAAAACTAATACCCATTTGGCTATCTTTTCCATACAGATAAGGCTGATTTGCTTTAAAAAGAAGCGTCAGTTTCTTCAACAGATCCACCTCCCCTAGTAAATTCTCCTTTTAGTTCATTTATTGTAATTTTATTGTTTAAAGATTTAGTTTTTCCTTCTGGGTTTTTAATTTTATTTGTAATTTTTATTTTGGCTTGAAATTGTGGTTCTAGCTTGGTGGGTTCTTTTTAGTTGGTGTAAAGAATTTGTTGAATCTTAGGAAAAGTGCAAAATTTGAGTTTATCGTATAGGAAAGTGAAGATTTTGGCGAATGGAATCGATTTTCGATTCGATTTAAGTAGTAAAAGAAGCTATTTTTACTCTTAATATTAGCTAAAGATTTTTTTTTTTTCAATTTGTCTTTTGATTTTTATGGTTTTTTTTTTCTTTTATTTGGGTCTTTTTAATATAGTTCTTTTCAAATCTCTATAGAGAAGGAGATAGAGTTTGGGGGAGTTTGTCTTAAGGAGTGAGGAGTTTTTGAGGTGGTAGAAGTAATGGTGTCTAAAAATGATCCGATTGAATCGATTTTGAATTCGATTCAATTTATAAAAGGAGCATTTTTACCTCTTGAATTGGGTATTAAGAAAGTTGCAAAAGATCTTGAAAGTTGTTGGGGAGTGTCAAATGATAAAGGAAATAATGTTGAATTGATTGCCCCATTGAATGGTAGTGATAGGAATGGTAAGGTTCAAATCTTTGGTGTGAAGAAGAGTAGTGGTAGGTTTGGTAGTGGTGTTAATAATGGGCAGTGTTTTGTTGGTAGTGAAGAGAGAAAGAAAGGGGCGACTATTAAGGTTCCCATCAAGGCTTTTATGGGAATGTTTTCCCCAGCAAATGGGAAGAACAATGAGAAGGTTGAGGTGGTTAGGGAAGGATTGAAAGAAAAGGATGTGGATAGAGATGAAGAGACTTGTATGAATTGCTTACAGTTTGCTGTGACTTGGTCGGTGTTGGTTAACAACTTTGTCCAGGCAATACTGAGCTCGTTTAAGTCAGGGAGGAAGAGAATTCAGAAAATGGGTGACGAAGATAAAGGGTGTCTAAATTCGTATACTCATAACATGAAATCAAAGGCACCGTTTGAGTTTAAGCATAGAGATTCAAGGGCTCAATTTATTGCAAAGAATGAGGGTTTAGAACATAATGATGGGCATCATGTATCATTTGAATGCTTTATAGGGTTCATATTTGATCAGTTGACTCAAAATCTTCAGAAGTTTGATCAACTTCTCCAGGAAAGTAATCGGAAGCATTGTGATTGTCCATCAATTCCATCTCTTCCCTATCAATTTGATCATTTAAAAGCAGCGGCAAGTATATGGGAAGGTCGAAAAGTTGATTTAAATGGGTTTTTTGGAAATTCGATGTTTGCTAGATTGGGAGGTGTTCCATCAGGTATGGTTGGAGTTACTTCTTCAGTGAACGAAGAGGGTGATGATGGTGTTAGCGCTTGCAGTACGGAAGAAACAGCTGGTAATTCCCACAGAAACTGGCCAGTGGGATACTTAGCATTCCTCTATCAAATGTGGAGCGTTTGAGGTCCACCTTATCAACTGTTTCGTTGACGGAACTGATTGAGCTTCTACCACCTTTGGGCCGCTCTTCACAAGACCACCCTGACAAGAAGAAATTATTCTCTGTCCAGGATTTCTTCAGATACACAGAGTCTGAAGGTATGGTTTCTCAGGCAGCTCTGAAAACGATTAGTGTTGCTCCATTTTCTTTTTTGTTTGGTTCCTTGAATAGCAGAATCAATGAAGAAATGTATTATGCTGTAGACTATGAGTGGCATAGTTCAAACTATAGTTTTCTTAAATTCTGTAGTGTGTAGCTTCATGCTGAAAGAGCAGGAACTGGGTCGTTTTGGATTCTGGTTTCTGTTATCTCCCTTCCCCAATCCTAATTGAACTTGGCGGTTCAGATTGTAACTTTTGAGTACAGCATAAGTAAGCTGTTTTTGTGTTTGTGACTTGTCATTGATACTATTTTCTTCTACTAATTAATAACCTTATCAAATTTTATGCTCAATGAGTCCAAAATCTTATCATTTGAGTTTTTGTAGCATTAATTTCAGGTTGTGTAATTTATTATGGTCTAATGTGATTAACTATAGTGCATTATGGTATGCTTTGATTTTACTCATGCATTATTCATTCAGGGAGGAGGTTCTTTGAAGAACTGGATAGAGATGGTGACAGCCAAGTAACTTTAGAAGATCTTGAAGTTGCTATGAGAAAAAGAAAATTGCCTCGGAGATATGCTCAGGAATTTATGCGTCGCACTAGAAGTAATCTATTTTCAAAATCTTTCGGTTGGAAGCAGTTTTTGTCCTTGATGGAACAGAAGGAGCCTACCATTCTTCGAGCTTATACTTCTCTTTGTTTAAGCAAGTCTGGAACCCTCAAAAAAAGTGAAATATTGGCATCACTTAAAAATGCTGGACTTCCAGCGAATGAAGACAATGCTGTCGTCATGATGCGATTTTTGAATGCTGACACTGAAGAATCTATTTCATATGGACACTTCCGAAATTTTATGCTTCTTTTGCCTTCAGACCGACTGCTTCAAGATGATCCTCGGTGAGATTAAATTTTCCATTTGAAGATTATCATTTAGAAACTCTAGCTGAGGCATGAGCTCAAATTTAATTTACTATTGAATTGTCTTTGGTTCAGGTTGCATTTTTAGAAGTTCAAACTTTAGTTTTGCAACTTGGTTACCAAATTACAGCACGTACGTTCAGTTTGTGAAATTGTTTGATTACTGCAGTAGTGCTCTGTGCTTCATGGTTTGGATACCTTGTAAAAATTTTGGTGGGAGGCCATAAGGATTATTACAGCAGCTGAATCCTAATAGTGCTTACCCTAACCCCATTTTCTTTTGTTGAACATGTACTTTTTGTTTTGCACATGCACTGATGATTAACTGTTGATAGTAACTTCTTTTTGCATTATATTCAGTAATATCTGGTTTGAAGCTGCAACCGTTGTTGCTGTTGCACCACCTGTGGAAATACCTACTGGAAGTGTTCTTAAATCTGCATTGGCTGGTGGTCTTTCCTGTGCACTATCTACATCTTTAATGCACCCAGTTGATACTATAAAGGCACATTCTTCAGCTTAATTTTGTTTTTACATAATAAAATCTGCCTGTTTGCTAACATCTAGTAGAACCCAAATCATCATATCTTTTCTGAGGACAGATTGCACCCTGCCATGTTAGGATTTGTTTGTCAGTGGACTGTGTAGAGCTCATACGTGTGAGACTTTTTGAGACCAACAATATTCTTTAAGCTGCGTATGGTGAAAGACAGTTTCTTTGTGAGATTTATGATATATTGGGTTCTATTGCAAATTGCTTTTGTTGAAAATTTTGGCTTATTGCTATTCTTCACGATAAACCTACAAATGTTATTAGACACTTGCATTTCTGATTTTTTAGGAAGCCTTATGCAATTACTTTGTATTTTGATACAATTTTCCAGTAGCAGAGTTTTTTCATTTTCTTAGATAACTAATTTTAGTGCTTTTGGCTAATTGTGATGTTATGGAACATTTTCAACTTATTGCATAACTGGCTATACGCGACTTCTAGTCCCTGCTTATCTGTGTCGGGTTGTTTACCTTAATATTTGTCTTCAGATTTGTTTGTCTCCTTCACCTGGTAGAGGCACCCTTTTGGTAGTTCAAAATTTCCGTTTGGTTTCTTCACTAGTCCCTGATCTGGGTGATCAAGGAGGAAAACTAACTATTTGTTCACGTTTAAAAATTAGAAAAAATGCTTCTTTTTTGTTCTTCTGTTCTCAACACTGAAAATTTAAAGCACTTTAAGTTCAAAAGGGAGTCAAGGGAGTGTTTGTGCTTAAATATGCATGTACTCTTACAGGCATTCTTACTGAAACTGCTCATATTTCTGCTCATCCCATCTCTTTGTGTGGAATACATCTTGTAATATGTCAATAGGTTTTTTTCATGATTTTTTTTCTTTTCCCTTTTTGTTTTTTATCAGACTCGGGTGCAAGCATCAACTCTGACCTTCCCAGAAATTATTTCAAAGCTTCCACAAATTGGAGTGCGGGGGTTGTATAGGGGTTCAATCCCTGCAATTCTTGGACAGTTTTCAAGGTTTTATATATTTTTCATAGTTGACCATTCTTTTTTCTTTCTGATTTTGGTTTTGCTTCCTGTCATTCATTCGTCTGTTTGATTTTCTTTCAACATTGCAGCCATGGCCTGCGAACAGGAATATTTGAAGCAAGTAAGCTTGTATTGATCAATGTTGCTCCAGACCTCCCTGACATCCAGGTACTTTTTGCACTCTTATTTGGTTGCAAATTTGTGATTGAATTTCTCTTGTTTCTTTGTAAAACAAAGCTCTAGCTATCCTTAATTTTCCTTTTCATAGGAATGTCCTCATTCCCATAACTTTTCTTACAAATGCCATTCATGTGGCTATTTTTCGTTCTGGCCAGTTTATTAAATCCCCCTGATATCAATGATGTTGCTAGGCTAGTCATTAGAACTAAGAAAAAGGAAAAGTTGCATGTTGAAGCTGAAGTTTGTTCTTTTTTGTATAAATAAATGATGCTGAACACACTACCTTAAGATATTTGACCGATGTTCCTGTATTCATGCATAGTGAACGTTCAATGCACTCTCTGTGCATGAATATAAACAAGAACCAAACTTTAACGACCTGTTAGTAGTATAGTTTGATTCTTAATTATAACTCTGAAAAGCGGTCATTATTTCCTTGCATGTGAGTGCAACCACGCACTTTTATGGTTTGTGTCTCTGTGTGGATGCAGAAGGAACTGGTCTTCCACCCTTAATTTTCCAATTCTGGAAAGGAATGGTTCTAATTAAATTGTCTGTTGATATTTATTTGCAACACTGAGTTAAAATTTGCATTCGCTTGCTTTGTAGGTTCAATCCATGGCATCATTCTGCAGCACATTTTTGGGAACAGCAGCACGGATTCCTTGTGAGGTACTAAAGCAGCGTTTGCAGGCTGGCCTTTTCGACAATGTCGGGGAAGCTCTTGTTGGTACCTGGCACCAGGATGGTCTGAAGGGTTTTTTCCGTGGGACCGGGGCCACTCTTTGTCGTGAGGTCCCATTCTATGTTGCTGGGATGGGCCTTTATGCTGAATCCAAAAAGGTATTGATATTTGTCCTGTCATTGAAAATTTTTATTTCAAATCAGGACAAATGTTTACACTGAAAGAAAATTTTTTATCCTCTACTATTTACTTCAACTTTATAAGGGGAAAAAGCATGGTGAATTGTAAGACTTCATAATAATTTTCATCATTATTTGTATATGAATTATCATTTGGGTTCTGCATGCTGTTGTAGCTTGCCCAGCAACTTCTGAGACGGGAACTGGAACCTTGGGAAATGATTGCAGTTGGAGCTTTATCCGGAGGGCTGGCTGCTGTAGTAACTACACCTTTTGATGTCATGAAAACTAGAATGATGACAGCACCAGGGGGCCGACCCATATCAATGTCAGTGGTAGCCTTTTCTATTCTCCGTCACGAGGGACCCCTTGGTCTGTTTAAAGGAGCAGTACCCAGGTTTTTCTGGATTGCTCCCTTAGGTGCCATGAACTTTGCCGGCTATGAGTTGGCAAGGAAGGCCATGGACAAAAATGAAGACGGGCCTTTGGATCAAGTCAAGAAATTGGCTAGTTCTGGATAGATACAAGTCCTTCCAAAGTAAGAACATAATCTACGGTGGCCTTTGGGTTTTTGTTAGTGGTCAAAGCCAACTGAATGCTGCTGGAAATTTTGTTCTTTCCCCCACCAAAACTAACAGCAGCAAGTTCTTCAAATTTAATTTGTCGACAACTCCACCTCTTTTTCTAAACATTGTAATGTTTCTTGCGGTTTAAGCATTTTGTAGCCTAGACTTCTTTTGAACTATATTTGGTCTGCCAGGGGAGTGGTGGGTCAGATATTTTGATCAGCTCTTGGGTTACAGAATCGATTTTTCATATTTTGTGTGTACATTCTTTGTGCAGTAAATGATCTTTGTTTCAATTGTATTCTTTAAAGTTGTTTCATAAATCTTTCTCCCAAATCCCAATTGACTTGATATTCAGGCAATAAAATTTCTTGCACGGGGCAAGAAGCAGTAGACTGTCATAAATGATGGAATCGAGAATTATAGCTTCTCAAGACTTATTCACGAGTTCTGTTCATCCGAGATGGACCATTCAAGTTGACGGTCACGTAATCTGTTGATAAAGAATAAATTTTAATATCAATTCAAATTTTGACGGTTTTAAATTAAAAATGAAAAACTGACTTCTTGAGGAAACAGGCCAGGCAGATGAAATAAATTTTCCCTTAAAAACATCATCTGAATGCCACTTAAATGATGCATGTCTTAAAATATCCACTTTGGTTTTCAAGTGAACGGATAAATCTGTTTTTCTACACAGAAAACCGAATTATTATTGGAGCCCAAACTTTCCAACTCAGAGCAACCAAATTGCACAAAAAAGGGTTCGGCAATCGTCGTCAGGGTAAAAATAACAGAAAAAACATGACCACTTAGAAATTCTGGCCAAGACAGTGAAAGCTTCCTTAAATCAGTAAAGATATGTCAATAGCCCCAGTTGTCATTCCGGATCTCATCTTCAAATTTCTTTTTCAGCTCAGGGTGTTTCTCGAAGTACTCGTCTGCTGTCATGGTGCTGATCTTTTGCTGTTCAAATAAGAAAGAAAAACAAAATCAACAATTCTGATTATAGCAGAGCCAGCACAGATTTGGGCATTGCTTTCCAGTTACCTTCAGTTCCTGAATCTCAGCAATTTCTTTTTCCAAGCGCTCAGACTCTTTAAAGGATTTCTCCTCTGCTTCTTTCAATTCAACCAACTATAACAGGAAGTAAATAGTACATCAGATAAGGAAAAAGAAAAAAAAAAAATTTCAGACAGTTAAAAGGGAGTCAAGTATCATGTTGATTCTCACCAATGCATCGAATTTTGGTTTGTATTGAGGGGTGACTGTGTCAACAAACTTGGGGATCTCTATGCCTGCAAAGGAACCATATCAAATGTGTAAAAACGAGGATAAAACTCAATCCAAACCCCAAAACATGCACATAAGCAGCTACTACGGGTGCTGCAGCCAGGTGATAATCCAGTTAAGACAAGTGAAGAATAATCTGGTTCAATGGTTGAGTAACATTTTGTTGATCATAAAAATTAGAGGTCTACATTGAGCTTCATTGTACTTTGAACATCCAGTGTATACGAGTATCTGGAGTCTTAGGTGTTCTGAAGGATCTGATTACCATAATAGCATTATTGAAATGAAACATCTAAGGCCTGAATCAGAAACTGCTAAATGCTAATTGCATCATAAAAGAGAATTGCATTCATATACAATATTAAGAATTGCATTTGCCAATAGTATAGCAACAAATTAATGCAATGTCCTTATTGGTAATAGTTTTCCATCTTATCTTTTGATCAAGCATGGGGCACTGGTCTGGGAAAGATAAAAGATATCTGCAATTGAAGAAAGGTTGATAACATTAACTTCCATCATTTACTAATTTCCCCCAACCCCAGAAAATGAAGAATGACAAAAGGAAAATGGTGGCCACTCAAGGTGACTACATCATCATCTGACTTAGAAAATTGTTGACTCATATAAAAAAGTTGATCTAAAACAAAATGTGAGCACAAAGCACAAAGCACAATGCACAAAGCACAAATTCAGGAAGCTAAGCCATGTGAGGAACACAAAACCTGAGGTAGCAATACCATTTACGCTATAGAAACCTGCAACCAATCTAAGCACAACCATGTATGGGGCAACTGAAAATTTGTATGGAAAGTAAACCAAATATGGCAACCATCAAATGAACTTACTGTCATAAGCCTCTTTGTACATATCCACCACGTGAGAGCCAATTCCTTTTCTATAGTATTCCCAGTCAATAGGTTCAGGTTCCTGCTTAACAGAAAAATCAGATTATTAACAAGATAGGGCTCACAGTTACATGAAAGTTAACACCAGCACCAAATCAACAATCATCCCTACTGACAAACAAACGCCTTAAAAATGAAACTTTCAAGATACAAAAATGATATGCATTTTGCTTCATTTTTCCTAGTCTTCGCCCTTTAGAATCACATTTAACCCTCATTCCAAAAGTGATACGTCAAACAAGGATAATGAAACCTTCAAATTTTTTGGTTCAAAAATGCCTAACTGAAAGCAGCTAAATCTAGTACTTTTTTTCGGGGTTTCATCTGGACATAGTGCTAAAGTTAAAAGATTTAACAACTGGACATAGTGTTATAGTATTAACCAGAGATTAAGCCCTTTCGATGTAGGCAAACCTTGAGAAATCCTAAAATTCAAATGTACAGGTAAATTAAAGTTAAAAGATTTATCATCAGAATTCAGAACAGACTTCTACCACTTCTACTTGAAAATGCTCAGAAACATGAATACCAAAACTGATCAAAACTAAAGGGAAATGATATAAAACAAAAAGCTTTAACATCCATAAAGAGTGAAAGAAGAAAAGAGATACTTAAAAACCCAAAATTCCATTTTTCCGATAAAAAAAAACTGAAATTAAATTGTTTTTCTTAACATCTAATAAAATAATATACCCTTAATTGTTTTGTTATTTTAGCAAATTTTCAGGATAAATTAATTTACATGAATTTCTATTTTAAAACCTTATAAATTTAATAGTTTTATAAACCAAAAAATGTAAAATTACAATAACAGATTTCCAGTTTTTTTTTCATGCATTTTCCTTCATTTCTAAACAATATTTTCATTTTATACCTGAATGATAATAAAAACACTAAACATTTCTTTAAAAAAACCTGAAAAAATCCAAAATTAAATCTTGTACAATAAATTCAACGCTAACGAATTTTTCTTTCAATAAAAAAATTAAAATTACCATTTAAAAAATAAAACCCTAAAGATCTAATCAAAAGATTAACCCAAAAAAATAAAAATTTTTAAAAAAGATCTAAAGATGAGAGCGAAGAGGAAAAACAATAACCTGGCTGAATTTTGTCTGCAAAGTGGAGTTAACTTCATCGAAAGTGCGACGAAGAGTGGCGAACTCTTTGCGAGCCTCATCGGAGACCAAAAGCTTAGCCATCCCTTCCCAATCAATGTTCTTTGATGCTTTGAACGCCACATCCACTACTTTCTTTCCTGCTCCGCTCATTTTCTCGCTTCCCAAACGCAAAACGTTCTGGTTTTTTCTTTCAACTTCTGGTGATGAGGGCTGCTTGCTTCAAAATGATTGTGATTCTTCGTGTTGGATAAAATTGGAAATTCAAATTTTTATTTGGGCCGGTTTGATCCACTTAGGTCAGTCGGTTTAACCTAAATTCTCTTGACCCAATTCCTTGATAAAAGGGCTTTGCATCCAGAAAATGGGCCGGTTTATGTCCAATAGGAACCTGATTTTTTTGGGTTCAATTCATGGATAAAAGCGCATGATTAGATTTATGGATAAAAAACACATGATACATAATTTGGGTCCATATTTACATCTTTTTTTTAGATCCATACCGTCTCCAACTGATAAATTGTCGTGAAATGGACTAGGAAAGCACAAAATTTGGCCTTGTTGGATTGGAAGAAAATGAAAGAAGAGAGAAGTGAAATGGAAGAATTCGCTATATGCTCAGGGAGAAACAGGAGAAAAATGAAAGGAAGAGAAACTATCAATCAACAAATGACCCCTTTTTTGATATTTTTCCAAAAGTTTAGGGATTTATCAGAGAAATGAAACAAACCAATTCAAATCTTCCATCTCTGCAAAACTTCAACTTTCCATGAAGATTGATAAGCTTGACAAAGGGTTTCTCAGGGAAGCATGAAAAATAGAGCAATAATTCAGTTTGATAATTGGGAACCTTATTGGTTATTATGCTGCAAGAGGAAATGCTCCAATGCTCAATCATGCATAAACTCCTGAACTGATCTTGACCTACTATTTTGGCTACTGGTTTACTGCAAAGCTCATCGTAGACATTTATTGGTCATAGCAAATTTGCCCTGAAAATCCAACCTGCAATCCATTATACCATACAAATGGTTTGCTGCAGAGTCCAAGTCTATAACCAGAAAACCAAACACGTGTTCAAATAAGCATGCTTATATCAGAAGCTTGAACCAATGGTTTAAAACATGTATGGTGAAAGAAGTTAGATTAGTATACGAATTTAAAGAACAAGGATAACATTCAGGTTCCTCAAGATATACAAACTCTCAAATTCATAGAATTACAGCATCTCCAATCTCCAAAAGCCATGTCCTCCAATTGAATTTGACTTCAGAAGGTGGCTCCGTGTTCTTGACACAATTCCCATGCCAGACATTTCTTTACAGAAGTTTCTACATCACAGTATCTTGCAACGTAAATTCTCATTTTTTGGACCTCATCTCACATTCTAAACAACAAGATCAGCTGTCAAAACCCTTTCTTTTGCTAACATAACTTCCTTAATTGCTGTGTATTTGTCACACATTAATGACATCAGATAGCCACATATCGTTGATTCACTGCCAATACAATAAAACCTTCAGAGTAAAATTCTTCTACCGTTAAAAACCTTACTTCGGCCGCCGTTTGGTTAAAGAGGGTGTGCAGGGTAGAAGCCCATTTGAGCTACTTATTTCAGAAGCTCAATTAAGTTAAGTATCCGTTCAATGTAGAAATCAGTGCAAAAGATAATTTATGAGATTCCCCAATCTTGAATCTTTAGCTCTCTTTGATTGATGCTTTTGCTACTTTTTGTTAAAAAAATGAATAGAAAGGAAAAAAACCAAAAACAAAAAAACAAAAGACGGATAGCACAAGCATCAATCCATCGGAGCCTTAGTTATATACACCCTGGTCTTATGAATGTCAGAGGCCGTGAATGCTGTGAGGTATTCAGTAGAAAGGCCATATATGGGATGAGGCCAACATGTTTGTCCAGCTTCCGGCTACTTTCACCCATAAAAGATTACTTTATGTGAAGTCCTATTCTCCAGTTGCAACACCATTGCCCTAGATATTACGATGATTACAAACAATCAGATTCATTTTGGACTTGATCGACTTATTAAATAAAGAACAAGGGAAGCCAAATACAGAAACTGTTTTCTTACTATAATACATGTCGTATTAGTCAATGACCAACTTTCTAAATTTTAATGCCAACAATTCCACTACAGGCTTCTAGAATGTGTCCGCTAACATAGCCAAGATCCTCAGTTTTTATTGTTTTAGATCTTTTAAGATAGCTGCTTTCATACAGCCAACAAGGATCAACGCAATGTGTCAGCTATTATTTTTTCTTATTATGATTGTCTAATGTTGTTTTTGGTATATTTGTAACTGGTGCCTAGGTGCTTTATTTGACTACTAAACCTTTTTTTTTTATTTTGTAATACTCAAGGATCTTTTGCTTTACTTCATAATATTCATATATGATAATCTAAGAAATTTTGCCTGTAACACTAGAACCTCTTTAGTTGTCATCCACTATAAGTATTCTCCTTAGAGTTCCTAGAAATTAAGCTTGCAATATCTCAGTTAGTGAATGAATTATGTGTTTTGAAATTAACTTGGAAGACACGTGAAGCATCTTCTTAGGACTCCCATTGCAGACACACAGCACTAAGATACTCTGTTCTTAATAACAGAAGAGTTACCCCTTAAAATCACAGCAAAAATAATTTATGCTTCACTGATGCATGCATGTGTTTATTATGCATAAATATATATGTATACCAGATTGCCTTTACAAGTATGTAGAATCTTTTCTATCAATTTGATTTCAGAAACTTCAGACAATGCAAGCAGCGTGAAGCAATGAAAACTATGAGGTAAGGCAAACAACCTAAGTGCCACTCAGTAAAATCATGCCATAAAAAAAAAAAAGAAAGCCAAATAATGACAAGGCACTTAGTAACATTGGTAATTTTGACCATGCAAATGGAACAAAAACCAAACTATTTCTTGGACTTTTCGCACTCATGAGCAAGTGAAGAGAGAAATAACACCTAAGGCTCTATCAGCTGAATCCAAGTCAAAGACATGGTGGTAATGTCGGACTGATGAACATTGCTTAGAAAAGTCCAAGAAATATGTACTACTACCGGACAGCTTTGGATATGCTTTTTTGCCTATTGATAAGTGATTCCATTAAAGCAATACAGGCGGACTTATTCAAAGTATCTTCATCCATAGCTGAGTAAAGAAAGAGATAATTTACCTATCAGCTCAATCTAAGTCAAACATGCTGCTGACAACATTGGCCTGAGAACACTGCCAGGAAATATTCACGAAATATTTACTTCTATTGGACAGCTTTTGATAAGCTTTTTCGCCTTTTGATAAGTCCTTCCATTAAAACAATGTAGGTGGACTTATTTAAAGTAACACCCTTTCGATTTGATTCTTCAAAAATTTGCATAGCATCCTTATATCTTCCCTGATTGCACAGTTCAATGATCTGTTCTGAACAAGCATTGGAATCTGTATTAGATACCTTGGTAGTCTCACTGGTCTTCTCATTCTGTTCCATCAACTGCTGTTCTTGAAATTTTACAACTTCAAACATTTTTGACTTGAATTCTTCTGCTTTGTCCATCCTCCCTTCACTGGTGAGAGCACCAAGAATGGCACTATATGTATAATGATCAGGGCCTAGATTCTTTTCTTTCATTTCTGAGACAAGATGAAATGCAGCCTCAAATCTTCCTTCCTTGCATAGGCCTGATATCATTGTGTTGTACGTAACTCTGTCAATTGTGTTCCCTTTCGAAATCCAAGTATTGAAAAGCTTAAGGGCTTTTTCCAGCATACCCTCACTGCAAAGACCAGAAAGCAGAATATTACAGGTAAAGACGTCTGGCTTGAATGAGTTTTCAACCATTTCGTTGTAGAACTTAAAAGCTTTTTCAACTTTCCCCTCCTTGCAGTACACATGGATCATAGTCTTATAAGTAGTTACATCTGGGACTAAACCACTCCCAATTAACTCATTGAACTTGTATATTGCTTGCCCAGTTTTTCCCAATTGACAAAGCCCTCCAATTACAGTGTTATAGGTTATGATACTAGGAATAATTTCTTTCTTCTTCATCTCACTCCAAAGCTTCAATGCTTCGTCTGCCTTTCCATCCTTAAAGTGTCCTGATATCAAAGTCCCATAGCTCACCTCATCGAGCAAATAGCCTCTTTTACTGGCACTTCGTAGCAACTCGGATGCCTCCTTAGGCTTTCTCTCCTCACATAGAGTACGAAGAAGGGTATTAAGTGTAATAGTATCCATCTTAAAACCTTTCCTTCCCATCAAATCCATCATCCCGAAAGCTTCACCTAAATTTCTTGCCTCGCAATATCCATTAATCAAAGTATTGTAGGTAACCTTATCCGGTGAAACCCCACTTTCCTCCATAACCCTAACTCTTTCACTCGCTTCATCCATCTTCCCTTCTTTGCAATACCATTTAACCAAAATATTGTGAGTAACTGGATTAAGCTCCATTCCTTTCTCCCTCATTTCCTCGACCAACCGAAAGCCCTCCTCACTGCTACCCCATTTAAAATACCCATTAATCAATGTATTATACGTAACAACATCCGGTAACACCTTAGAATTCAACATCTCATCCCTCAACTTAAGCGCCTCATCAATCCTCCCTTCACCACACAACCCATTAATCAACATATTATACGTCCAAACATCGGGCAAAACATCATTTTGTATCATCAAGTCAATAACTTTCCTAGCTTCTTTCAACCACCCTATCCTACAGTATCCTGAAACAAGAATATTGAACGTATTCCTATTTGGAACCAACCCCTTTTCTTTCATATCTTGCAACAACTCCCTAGCTTCCTTAAACCTTCCTTTCTTACACAAAAACCCAAGAATTGTATTATAAGTAACATTATCAGGGAAACAACCAAATTCCTTCATTTTCTCAATAAATGAAATGGCCTCATTAAATTTACCTTCTAAACAACACCCTAAAATCAAAATATTGAAAGTACTTGTTTGGGGGATAACACCAAGCTGAACAGAATCGTAAAAAACTTGCTTACTTAACTGAATGGAATGCAAAGATGGGAACTTTACCAACCCATTGATGAGATTGTTGCAAGTAAGCAAATTGGGTTTCTTTTTATGCCTTTTCATGAGGCTGAAAAGCTCAAAACCCAAATGGGGTTTCCCAGATTGGACATAGCTGGAAACTGAGATTTCAAGGAGGGGTTTTGACTTTGAAAGGGAAGGGTGGTGAATAAGAGAGTTGAAAAAGGTGTTTTGGGGGTCAGAGGAAAGGAAAGAAAGGAGGAGGGATTTGGATTGAGAGAATTTGTGGTGGGAAAGGAGGGGAGGGAGAAGGGAAAGGAGGAAGGAAGGGGAAGAAGAAAGGGAAGGGAAGAGGGAAAGGGAGAGTTTGTGGAGGGAAAGGAGGGTAGAAGGGTGGGAAGAAAGGGAAGGAGAGGAAATGAGGGAGTGGAGAAGGGTGGAAGTGAGGAGAGGAGTATAAGGAGTTAAGGAATCTAATGGGGTTTTTGAGGTTGTTAGGATTTTCGTTAAGGTTTTTAGCAGTTCTGACTCTGTTTGGTTCATTTTTTTTTTTGGGTTTCTCTCTGTTTTTCCTCGGTTTCTCTTGCAGGTCTTTTATGCCGGCCAGGGTGGAAATCTGGCAGCGGACACTGAACCAGCAACGCTGTCGTTTGGATTTAGTTTTATTTACACCCGATTTTTTACTCTTTATACACTTTTTTTTTAAAAAATTATTTTAAATAAAATTATTTAATTACTCTTTTTTTTCTTCTTAATATCCCTTCCACTTATAAGTTTTTAATGGTTCAGAATTTTCATAGTTGAAACTTAAAAATTTCTGTAACATAATTTATCCCAATTGATTTTTTTTTTCAAATTTAAATGTATTTTTTTCAACTTTCGAATGTACATTTTTGATAAATTACATAATTTATACAAAATATATATTTGATAAATTTTATAAATTACAAAAAATTATATCTTGTATGTTATATAATTTATTGAAAATATATATCTAAAAATTTTAAAATTGAGATGAAAAAATAATTAAATAATTTTATTTAAAGAAAATTAAAAAAATATATGTGAAAAAAAATGAAGATATGCTTAAAATCAATCCTTTTATTTTATTTTATTTTTGAACTTCAGAAGTTGTGGTTAACTTTCTTATGGGTGTAAATGTGATTTATTCGTGGTGAAAATAAAAATAATCACAAAAAATAAAACTAAGTGAAATGAGAAAAAAAAAAAGTCAAAGTACGGATTTTAAAATGCGTCCATAAAATTATTAATAATTTTTTAGAAAAATAAAAAATTAAAGAATTTACAAAAAATTAAGAATGCAATTAAGAATAATAAACAAATGTTTTAAAAAATAGCCTGAGTCGGAATAACCCGACACAAATTCAATCCTACCCAACCCGATTGACACCCTAAAGATAAGATTCGTTCTTTATCCCTGTCACGCAATTCACAAGCTAACAAAACAGTGCTGCAAAATAAAGTACAATATAACCGACATTGAAAGATTCTGTGTCTTTGTTGAAACTGAAAAACTGAAGTTTGGGAAAACCAGAAATGGAGATAACAAAACCAAAGTCAGAGCCAACTTTGATGAAGTTAAAGCCAATAGAAGCAACCAAAGAAAGCTTCAAAGAATACGGACAAGTCATTGAAGCATCCGCAGATGGAGAAGAGTTTGGTCCAAATGATGCTCAGTTAGACCTTTCCAAGGGAACTCCCAGGTTTTATTTAACTACTTTTTTCTTTATTTAATGTAATTTATGTTAGAAATTAATGTTTTTTTCTTTTTTTTTTTTTCCAATTAGAAAAGCTGAGGAAACTGATACAATTAGAGCCTCATCTCAATTCTTTTTTTTTTTTTTCCTTTGATTTTATGATTGTGGAAAGTTTCTTGTTTTTGTTTATTTGGGTATAATTCAATTACTTTATCTTACAAGATACAGGTAATATTGCTTAAGTCTTGACAGCTTATATGAGTCTATCGATCAATTGATTGTATTGTTGTTTGGTTGTTTACCATTTGCATGAAGAATTCCCCCTTGATGTTATTTTTGATAATTCCTTTGTTTTTTTAGAGAAAAAAAAAAAAAAACTATGAACCCATAACTTAGTTCGTGTAGCCACCGTTCAATAGGTTTTAGAGGTCAAATCCCAACATCTACATACAGTGACTTCCTTTGTACCAAAATAAAGGAAAAAAAAGATTATTTAATTAGCAAGAGATAATTTAGATGCCGAGTCTTTTATATTTGACGTCTAGTTAATCTGCTATACTTTTATTGTTGTTTTAACTGCAATAAAAGAGTTCTCTAGGGTGGTTATGATGGTATGATTTACTAGATTCTTAATGAAAAAAAACCTATAATTGTTAATAAGCATACCAAGCTAGACTTGAGTTTGGTTGGTTCGTGTATTGATTTCCATCATTTACGATAGATCAGTATAGCTTAAATGTTAGTTAGTCACATTTTTTTCCTACAGTTTTTCGTTCTGCCTGATTTTAGAGTGTTTTATAATGACCTGCCAATGCAATTGTCTATAGGTTTTACATCATGCACCTTCAGGATCGACCACTGGAGTTTTCCACTATTACTCATCATGCCAGTGTGACCCAATGCCTTGGATCCATTGGAGGTCATGTTTGGTATCTTGGAATTGCTAAGCGATCCATACTGGACTCAAAAGAAGTAAAGAGTGACAAGGGGAAGATGGCGGTGCAGTCGCATTGTTTTCATTTCTATTTGCCTCCAGCCATTGATGACGTATGTGTTTTCAGAATTGCAGGTCCCAAGTTTCTCAAACTTGATTGTGGAACATGGCACGCTGGGCCTTTGTTTAAGGCAGATGCTATGGACTTCTACAACTTGGAGCTAAGCAATACCAATGTGAGTTCTTGCGCACTGTCTTAACCTTTCTTTCTTGCACTGTCTTCCACCACCTATAATAAGCAATGCCACTTTGTATTAATGTGTTTCTATTGTGTAACTTTGATTCACATGCCAAGATTAAAATACTAAAACCTAGAATGAAAAAGGAAGAAATATCAGATCTTTGATCTCTTTGGTGAAAATTTACAACTTTTTTAAGCATATGGTATAAGTTGAAGACTGGAACATATCCAGCTACATTTCTGGTTTAGAGACCTTTCTGGAACACTTGAAAGTTGAAACTATGGCTATCATCACGAGTCTTGAATTTCATCGATAAAATTAGCATTTAGAAGTTAATTGAAATTTAATCTTTTCATGATTATGGTTGCAAATTCTTTTCATGACACTCGTTTATAGGGGTTTGACGGATTGTTCATTAATCATTGGTCAAATGCCTCTTGATCCATAATAGCAGTATCTCTTTGGAGTCTTTTGTTGGTGCACATCTCTGTATGATAACCTTGATGAATCTGATGCTGCTAAAAAGTTTGCATATTCTATTTCAGTGTGTTATATTTCTGCATATTATATCTCAGTGTGTTATATTTCAGAGACAGGTCTCTTGAAACGTGAATGGATGGCTTTGAGCTCAAAGAAATTTCAGTATTTAAATATGTATAGTTCTATCTCAGGACAGTTTTCTCTTTTATCTTAGGTGGTGGATCATACAACGCACAACTTCATCAAGGAAAATGGAGTGATCTTTTCAATCAATGAGTAACTGTATACCTTACTTCTTTGGTGTGTACTCATCATCAGAAACTGGTTCTGAAGTTTCTCATGATATAGAAAGAAAAGATATGCAGCTGCAAGACATGTCATTTCTGGAAAGTTTGAAAACTTTACATGCCTAGTGTCAAGTATTCTGGTATTGCATTCTCATTTTTGCTACCATGCTACTATATTGTGATGTACATGGATTCTTGACATAATTTAATACTTTCATCTTTCATAAAATTATTAAATCTGATAATTTTAAACATGACACGAAAATAATAAAAAAAAACAAGTATAAAAGCAACAAGGTATATTTAATACTTTCATCTTTCATAAAATTATTAGATCTGATAATTTTAAACATGACACAAAAATTATAAAAAAAAATGTATAAAAGCAATAAGGTTCAAACAAAAGGATCAATCATTCTGCAATTTAGAACTTTCCGCACTGCAATTGAACATTAAAATTTATCCCCCCGCATAGACAAATCGCACCGATGATCAAATTTGTTAATGCTTGTATTCAGAACAATCTACTTTCACCAAAATCTGTGCGTGCCACCTATGATCCAAGAGGTTCTCTTGCCCAAACACATGAAAAATTTGAGAACCAAAGATACCTGCTTCAAAATATATATATATATATATATATATAAATATACACACACGTACAAACCCATTCTGTTGTAATGGAGTAACAGAAGAACCAAATGTAGTTCCAAAAGCAAAGGCTTATAAATCAGAACATCCTCTTTTACTAACCATACATAAACATGTCCTTACAACAATTTGAGAAAATTGAAAACAATGCATAAATCTAAACAAAAGAAGGTGTAGATAGATGGCAAGAAAGGCTAGAACTTAAACCCTTTGGCATTGGAGCCAACTCATTTGCTTGTGATAGCAACAAGACTCTCCTCATAAGTGTAAACCCGAAGAAGATCCTCCCCACCTCCCCTTACTTTAATCCCCAGCTCCTCGCTCAATTCTTCAGTCTCAAGGTCATAAAGCATTAACTGTCCACTTACAGATTCTAAGAATACCTTACCATTCTTCCAAAACCCAAACGTCCTTTGAACTACAAAATGAGGTTCAATCTTCAAAAGTTTGGTCCAGTGCCCATCATCATTCAACACCCAAACCTCATTACTTCTTAGATCTCTATCCGTCATCTCAATATACCATAGAGAGATTAGATCATCATGTAACGGAAGCAACTTCCCAGGTGATTCAGGACAAGGAGACTCTATCAATTGAAAAACTTCAGTGCCCAAATAAAATGCAAGGATCTTATTGTCAATGAAGCTTGGGCCGTGCTCGACAAACTTGAACACATTCCAGTAGTAAACACCATTTACACATGCGTTATTGGAGCTGTAACAAATAGATAGGTCTTGAAAGAACTGAACATCTTCCTCGTTCAATACTCTCCATGAATCAGTGCTCATCCTGTAAACAGCATAGTGAGTTGGTCCTGCCATATTCTTCTCCAAATCCAAATAATCACGCATATAAATCACCTTGTAATCATTGGACAAAGGATCCAATCCAAATCCAAGAATATGTATATAAGTTTCTACCTTTGGTGGAATGTTTTGATTACATTCAGGTAGAATTTTAAACTCTCTTGTGGCGGGATTCCATAGAGTTATGCGAGAATTCTTATGATCACATAAACAAAATAAACCATTATACACACAAAAAGTCAAAACATAGAGATCAGCAATATGAGAGGGCAATTGTTGGTGCAAATCATGGTAAGAAACAAGGGTTTGATAAACAAACAAGCGCATAACAATATTATCATTGTTATCATCGTGATAATAAACAAGAAGACGCTTATTCTTTTTGCTAATGCTAAGATGCTGAGAAACAAAGCTGGGATTTTGAAAGAGATCACACCAAGTTTTTGCCACACACTTGAAACGAAGGATAGACTTGACAGGCAATTTCAAGAGAATCTCAGTCAATATATCTACGGGCCAATCACCATTACTCATTGCCATTAATCCAACTCTATTATTTCTCTATATCTCAATATGCCACCAAATCCCTAACGGAAAATTTAGAGAAAACAGATTGTTAAGTTTAATTGATAACCTTTTTAAAATCAATAAAGGAATAAAAACCAAAACCTAAAAAGACAGAGAGACTTAAGGTATCAAAGCTTGACTAAGAACAAATGAAAATAAAACAAGACTGCTTTTACATGTAATGAAATATTCCCAAAAAGTAAAATATCTGAGTGGATTTTTCTTTCCAAATTAATAAGAAACCTACTTTGATGTTGAAAAAAAATGAAAAATTAAGAAGAAAAGCAGGTTTTAATAGAGAGTATGCCACAATTTTACAACCAAAACCACACACCTCCGCCTGCCAGTCTGGATTTCACCAAAAAAACTGTGTGCTTGTGGCCCCAACACTGCCTGGATTTCATGAAGAACATTGTATGCTTGTGGTACCAACACTAAAATTAAAAAAACTATAACTAGGTTAACAAAGAGAGACTTGAAAATTGGTGTGGTGGAATGAGAATAATTATCGGTTACTACCATGATCACAAATATTTAATAGGACATCAAAATTTAGATGGAAGTTTTTTAAGTTAAGTTTGCAAAATTTCTTAGTAATAAAATCATTCAATTAAATTTTAATAAAAAATTAAATTAATAAATCAATAAAGTTTAATAAAAAAATTAATAATATGTAAAAAAATTATTAAAAATATTGTTTATAAATAAAATTTTTCGGTACTTTGTAAAATTTTGTTAAATTTTTTATTAAAAATGAATATCTAAAAAAAAAATCAAAATTTATAATTTTTAAAAAAATTTATGTACTTGATTTATGTATAAAAAACTTTTAATTTATTAGTTTTGATTTTCGATTTTAATTTTAAGTTAATTATTTTTAATTTAAAATTTTATGAATTTCTCTTAAAAATTTCATAAAAAAATTTTTCTTAATAGGAAGGAAATGTTAAGTTGTATTAAAAAGAAATTGTTTTTACTTTTTCTTTTTTAACTTTTAATGTTAACTAATGGGTAAAGGTGTTTATAGGTATGACTAAATTGAATTCGAGTCAAACTCATATTTGATATTAACAATTTTTATATTTTGCTCAAGTTTAACTCAATCTTTTATGTTGAGTTTAAATTTTTCTATGCCCGATATGATTAGAAGTAAAATTCAAGCCTATTGATTAAGTCCAATTTATATAATAAATTTTTTTTTAAAAAATATAAATATTAAAATAAAATTTATATATTTATATAATTATAATAATTTAATTATATATATGTATAATTCTAGCTAGATTCAGGTTTTAATTTTTGTTTTTAATATCCGGCTTAAAATCTAAATCAATCTAAAAATTTTATTTAATTTTTTAACAAATTTTAATTTTTTATCCATATCCTCTTTAAACGTTAACGGGCTTTCAGCCGGGATGGGTACCTTAACCAGTTAGAACGGAGGTTTACCGATGACCAAACGGTGTAAAAATAAAGCAAGGCGAAAAGAGTTGACCTGCATTCACTTCTTTTCTCTCTCATACCATTTTTCATAATTTTTTATTGATATATTTTCTCTCAATTTTTTAATATAAATAATCTCAAGCACTTCGATAAATATATATATATATATATATTTTATCAAATATCCTTGGTTATGGTATGTTTATTTTTTATTTGATTTTGATAAAAGTTTAGAAAACTAAATAATTTAATTCTCTTATGTAAATCAAACGTCAAAACGACTAATGATTTTAAAAGTTTTTTTAACCCAAATCATCCAAAATCCCATTTAATTTTTATATATTTAATACTTTTGTTTTTATTGTCCATCAATATATATATTTGATTAAAAAATAATATCTTTAATTTTACATAATTTTTATATATTGAGAAAAATTCTATGCTTTGCATAACTATCTTATGTATAAAATCTCATATTACATTTTAATATAAATTCAAGAAACCGCTTTTGTCGAGGGACGTATGTATCAAGAATGTACATATGGTTTTACCACCATGTAAATAAAGCTAAGATATTTTGTTTCATTTTTATACTAGAAGATTAATATATATATATATATATATATTTATATACAAAAACAATTTCAATACCTTTTGTATGCTAAAAAAATTGTATATTATAATCTCATAATAATATAATGACTCGTAATTTAGGGTAAAATTTTTTTAATGTATAGTAAACATGCACATATAATTAAACATAATGTACATATACTTATCTATATAAGTACATATATTTGAGCTATGATGTGCATATGTTTTACCATTATTTACATAAAAGCTAAGCCATTTTGTTTTCTTTCTAATTTTTATTTTTTAGGATATAAAAAAAAGTATATATGTTTTTTATACCTTTAGGGTTTAAAAAAATTGGATGATCGAGAAAGAAAAAATTTTGAAATCTCTAATTTCTTTGGCATATGGTTTATGCAAGAGAAGAATTATTTGGTTATTGAAATTTTAATAAAAAAAAATAAAATAAGCATACCATAACAATTGATATTTGATAAAAAAAAATTATAATTTTCTTTTTATCAAACTTCTAAAGATTATCTACAATCACAAAAAAATGAGGAAAACATTAAACATACAAAAACTAGTGGAAAGAAAACTGGAAAGAAAAAAGATGCAGATAACTTTTTTTAAGAACATAATAGGTCATAGCTTTAGGATAAAAAAAGAGATTATAAATGTTGAAATTCGAATCTCGAACCTATCGGATAACATCTTTTAAGGATTATTGCATGAACTAATTAAATTAAGCTTTGAATTATATGTGTAACTATTTTCTAAGTAAAAAAGTCAAAATCATTTCCTTTTTAATAACTATTTTCTACCAAGGTAATAGCCACTAATTATTTTTGTTGCACCACCCTAATTTGTAATTTCCCTTAAATGAAACTTTTACATAAGATCAAACATGTCATTTGTTGTTATTTAGCAGAATGAACAAATTTGCTTTCTAATTTTAAAAAATTACTAAATTTGTTGCCTCTCTGTTTTCTAATTTTCGTGAATTGAAGTGATCAAAGTAAAAATGTATACAAAAATAACATTATCACTTTTATAAAACAATCACTTTTAGCTTGCAACTTCAACTTGTATTAAAAGTTCAATTGTTTCACAGTAACCTTTTTTTTCCTAGTAAATGAAAGTGATATGTAGCACATTAATCAGCCTACACACAGATTTTAAAATAATAATAATAATAATAAAAAGAGAGGACTTTTCATACAAAAGAAGGTAATCAAAACCTTAGATAAAGTAGTTTTACTTTCCAAAGGAAAAAAAAATTATTGAAAGCAAAGAAAGAAAATTTTGAAGTTAATTTGTCATACAAAAATGGAAGAAAAAAGCATTATTGAAGTTTCCAAAGCAGGGAACATGAATGAAATTGAAATGGAAACTTTGTATTTGCTGGTAAATGTCAATATCAAATACACTCGATATAACCCACTTGAGAACAAAGTCTACCAAATTTAATTGAAGTGCATAAAGTAGTGAAGTGAAAAAACCATTCTTTACTTAACTATTAATTGTGCATTTGACCGGAGAGTTTTATGAAAAAAAAATAGTGATTTGTCCACTTTTTAATTATTTTTAATTAAATATTATTTTTAAGATAATTTTAAAATAATACCTAACATAACTTTTTTTATTAATTATTTTTTTTTTCATATTCACTAATTTGTTTTAAATAAGAGTTAAAAACAAATATAAAAAATATATGATGCATAACCAAAAGTAAAAACAATCATTATAAGTGTTTCCTTGTAATTTTCCATTGATAATAATTTCTAATTTTTATATTATAAAGTGTTTTTTATGCATATATTTAGAATATTTACAAAATTTAAAATATTTTTATTACTTCAACATTGATTGATTCAAATGACCTAACAATTAAGCTATTGATGTAATGATTTATAGTTTTGAACAGGTCACTATCTAATTTGATTATAGGAAATATGATGTTGATCACTTTTTTTCATAATGTCGAAAAAGTTGCATTAAGATTGCCTATAACAAGTACTCCAATCTAAGTATTTAATATATACACACAGCTTTCCATAAAATGAAACCTTTTCCACTTTTAAAATTCTTTTAATTTAATTATATTATTCTAATCATGTCATTTTAATTTAATTGTAATTCTAATAAGATTTTTTTTAATTTTAATTATAATTAAACAGGTTAAAATTATGTTATAACTCTCAAAATTAAGTGTGCAAAATTTAAACTCTTTTTTATTTGAAAAACGATAGATTCATACTTCATTTTGCATTATTTTGGATACTAGGAAAACTATTAAACTTAACTTAATTTTAGTGTAAGTGGATGAACATTTTAATTAAGTAAACATTTTTTTATTTAATTTATAATGTTTGTCTTAACATATAGATCCAAAAATCTATAGTTAAACTTAACAAATTTAAGAGTGCCACCAATCTATTTTACTAGGTGTGATTGGTCACCTAAAGAATCTATCCTTTTAAGGAGCTCCTAAGCTTGACTAAGGGTCCTTAGAAGAATATGTTCGGATTTACAAACTAGAATAGGGTTCGAAAGTTCGGTTACATACGAGAAAGATTATAGCACCTCCACATGCTCATCGAAAGGATGTTACCATATTATTTTAAATTTATCATAGGGTCTTGATTCTAATGATTTCAAATTTTTATGTTAAATATTAAAAATATTTCACATTTCCTTGACTTAATTATTTGTACCCAACCGCACTAAGTAAAAGTATATAGTCATTAAGTTTAGACTAGTAAAGTTGATATCAAAACTACTTTCAAGTGAAAAAGTGTAAGATCATGTCATGTTTGACTTACACAAAGACAATAAAAATAGTCAGCTTAAGTTGAGATAAGATCATCACCAAAGAAAATTAGTTTTTTTTTTTTTTTAACTATTCTTTATTTCCAACATAAAAATAAAACTAGTTTAATGAAAATATCATAGCAAAAAATGTCTTAAATATTTTACATGAAATTTTTACCCTGTTTAATACTTTTTTTTTGTAATAATAAAAACAATTATATTTAAATGAGATTGTATCTTTCTTAATAAATTTTATTGAATTCAAAACTAGTAAATGAACATCTAATTGTTATAATAAGCAAATGATGCAAAAAAAAAGAAAAGGATTTCTCCATTTCAAGTATCTTGTAGATTTAATTGATGTAATATGTTTATTGGATTAATCCAAAGATGACAGTGATCCTTCTATCAATGTTTCATTTAACCTGATTATAGTCTTTTGATTTTAGTGTTAGGTCACAAGCACATTATTTTCTTTGTGAAATCCAAGCAAAAAGTTGGGTTGTTTTTGTTTGT